CCTTGTCCATGTAGGGTATGTATATGAAAGCTCCCAAACCTACAAACCCAGAAATAAAAACTCAAATATATAAAATTCAGCTAAAACCCAATCATAATGGTATCGAAATGCATATATCCGTGCCGCGTCATATACCAACACACCATAACCAACTCGTAATAACAAACCCCAACTCAGTAATCATTCAACCGCAACTTCTTTCCCACAAACCGCCGTCGTTCGGGTCTTTCGGCTGCGCGTTCCCGATCTGCGCTGACGCCCTTGAGCGCGTGGAGGAGCATGCCTGCGTCGAAGAAGCCGTCTGTTTCACTATTAGTATCTTTTTCCATATATACGAACATGATAAGAAGAGGAAAGCACTTACATCCACCCATGCCATCATCGTCAACCTCGCCACTATCAGTCGTAGGCGTCTCCGCCCCACGATGAATCTGACCCGGATCCCCCCGGACGATTCGCCCCCGACGGTGGTGACTCTCGTTCTGCTGGAGTCGTTCGGCGAGGGCCTCGGTCTCGCGCGCGCGGCTGGTGCGCGGGCTCGTCGCCTCGCGGTTCGTCGTGCGGAGGAGTTTGCGGATCTCGAAGAGGTAGGACTCGAGCGTGTACATCAGACGAGCAGTCTGGCGGTGTTTGGAAGACGCGCAGATGGAGATCGACTCGTCTTTGATGATGTAGCCGATGCCGAAGCCGTCGGCGGAAGTGGGGCCGAAGCCGAAGTGCCGCAGGCAGGGATTGCCGCAGTTGGAGGTGGAGAGGATCGTGCTGTTGATTTTGTCCCAGCCGGGGTCGCTGAAGAGGGCGGGGGTAGGTGGTGCGGGGCGGATCGCGCGGAGACCGTAGCTGTTGGTGGAGAGGCCGTCTTCGGACATTGAGGGGGAGAATTTGGGCGAGTCGAGTCCGTTCTCCACGGGGCTGGAGCCGAAGGTTGAGCTGCCTCCTTCGACGCTGTCGTTGCCGGACGAAGCGGGGGCCTCCTCGAAGGACCGCTGCCATACGCAGTAGAGTGCGTATAAGTGACGATCGTGGCCCTGCGCCTTGGAGCACACCTTGGTCATGGCCGTGTGCTTCTCGGTGGCTCTGCGGAGAGCGTCCACCTTCTCCTGCGGCGGGTTCTCGCCCCAGAAGGTCTTGACGAAGTCGACGCATTCGTTCGTCACCGTGCGGATGGCCTCCGTCCGACCGTGCAGGAAGAATTTCGTCATGGCTGGCTCGTATGTGTTCTCGATGCGGCCGTAGAGGCCGTAGTAAGCGGCCTGGAATGCCATCTGCACGAAGGCATCGGGCGAAAAGCCCATCGACGTGATGAAATTTTTGCCGTAGCCGTTGAATTCAAGAACTTCGAATTCGTGCTGCTTGAGGAGATCCGAGAGGTGAGACTCGGCGAACCGCAGTGCGATGATCAGCTCGGGCGCCATGTCCCATTCGAGCTTGCGCGGGGTGGTGCTGACGTTGCCGAAGCTTCGGGGGTCACGCTTGGATGGGTCGGGGCTGCTGGTCGCCCACAAACTCGGAGCCTGGCCGTTGATGGTCTGGGCGAAACGGAGGATGGTGTCCGTGTAGAGGTCGCTGGCGAACCGGAGGACCGTGTGGCCGTCAACACCGGTGTGTTCGAAGTTGATTCCCGCGCTGCCGTTCTTGCAGACGATGATCTGGAGCTTGTCGTACCACCGGTTGGTGCAGGTGCCGACCTGCACCCCGCGGATCACTTCGCTGGTCCCGCAGAGCATGTTGGCGCACAGGTCAGACGTGCTTTGGGGCTCGGTGTCATCCAGGCAAAGGCAGAAGAGAGCGGTGTCGACGATGTTCAGGCACTCCGCGTTGTTCGATCCCTCGTCCTTGGTCAGGATGTCTCGCACTCCAGACCACACTTTCCGGTTCTCCGTGCTAAGAACGCCGAGGGCGCCCTTCGCCGCATCGTGGATTGGAGTCTGCTCCGCATCGTTGATGATGACTTGGAGATTCAAGGCGATATCCTTCTCACTCATGATGAGATCGTTGTTCTCGTCGAGAACATCAAACCAGTAGAACTGGCCTCGGCACAGAACGACCAGATGCTTCGCATTAGGATCCTGGCTGATCATGCACCCATTCTCTGTCGGAAGTCGTGCGGTTCCGAACAATCGCGAGTATTGGTACATGCAAAGTGGCGTCCCACGGACATTGTCTGGCGGCAATTCCTCCCGACGAACCGCCCTGACGAAGGCCAGTGCTGACACGGCCAGTGACGCTGACCGGGTCACTTGGTTATTCCTTGCAGGGGTCGGGTCATCCTCCAGCAAGAAAAAGGGATTGAGGTTCAGGACAACCGCTGTGGTTTCGGTTAGTACAGGTAATAAATTGAGTAGGAATCAGGCAACTTACGGCTATCGCAGTTCAGATACGAGTCGTACCCTATGGTCCGAGTTATTAGATATGATGTCGCGCTTGATTGGTGGAAATACATCTGTCGAGCACTTACAGAACTGTTCGATGTAACTTGTCTTCGACGTAGCATAATTCTTGAGTTTTTCCTGGAGCACCGGACCGTCCGATTTGAGAAAATCCTGTACAGCCGCCTTGGACTCTATCTGCTCCCTCGGCGTCTGCAGCGCCGAGAGGGACTCGAGGTATCGTTTGCAGGTGTCCTCCAAGCTGGGAATCGGCAGCTTGGGTAAAGCGTCTTGATGGGAAAATGTCAACCCTGTCTTCGGTCCCACCACCGGGGTGGCATTCTCTTGCTCTCCTGCATCCACAGACGTGGGTGTGATTTTCGGCTCCAGCGACGGGTACCGAGCGGACTCCATGGTGTCCGCGAGTGGTTTGGGGGACGTGAAATGGCGAACTGCCATAGAGGAGTACGACATGATGTCAGTAAGCAATATCCGGACCGCGCAGTGAGAATATCAAGCGTAGCGACAGGCAAGTAGAGTGGGGATAGATAAGAGGCGCAAGGCGGTGCGGTAGAAGTAATGGCAATCTTGCGTGCAGTAGGAGGGCATAGAGATTATCGCATGACAGGTATGGTATAGATCACGGGGTGGGTTTTTGTAAGTGGGCTTGGGGGAAGTAGGTCAAGTGAAGAGGTCCAACGGACGGGGAGAGAAGGGCCAGATGATATTTGTATTTTCCTGGGAAACAAGAGGACCGCCCTTGCGGTACCAGGGCCCCGGGGGGAACATGAGAGCGCGGGGTGGAGGGGGTGGCTTCGGAACAATGGGAAAATAGCGCCAGGCAACGGAGGAAAGGGAGGCGAGGTGGAGGGGACTCACCAAGCAGTAGAGCGCTGATACGATGCACCAGACGCAAGAATCGCTGGTAGGTAGTATAAGAGAGCCTGCAGCTAATACAGTAGAGCCACAAGTGGATCACTTTCACACGGGCATAAGCCTCCGCAGCTTTCAGGACCAGACCGGGATGATGTGAATTGGTGTCGGAGAAACGGATGGATGAAGCTTGGTGCGGGCTGTATAGGCAGGTTGCGACAGATTGCCAAGAGATACGATGCCCGTTGCAACGATAGTCCTAGTGGGTCACGTATAGAAATCAACCCGGTAGAAACTAGATTGTAATGTTTCACCAAGCCAACGACACCAGCATCAAACAGGCCGATGCTAATTGATTTTGTACAGCAATGGGATGCCGTTCTCGCCGCAGTAATAGATGATGTCAGAAGGCGGGGACGTCAAGTAACGAACAGATAAAAGAAACTTCTGGCCGAAACTCGGGAGAAAAATCCAAGAAGGATGCAAGTCTATGGACAAATTGCACCGGTCAGACGGGTTCTCTCACTTGACGCAGTGACCAACTGGGGTAATCGAGGTCACCGTAGTAGTCCCAATTCTATAGACTTGACTAGTACCTATAAAGTCAGTGATCCTGATACAAGTCGAATCATCCCCAAACCCAGGTGTATTATATTTTCTCTATTACAAATATCCGAAACGCGCAATGAGCAAACTACCTTGGTAGAAAGAATCAAGAGTCCCAGTCCTCGACGTGTGCAGAAGTCAAACTTACTAGTCAAGGCTTGATGACGTTTCGGGCGAAGGGAAACCGAGTGTAACTGTGACTTTGGCGCAGTGGAAACGCTGAAGGGCCAAGGGAATCGGATGAACTGCTTGCGGGGGAACGGTAGGTCACGTGGTCTCCATCTCAACCCTGATCACCGGTAGGGCAATTCGCCTCAAGATTGGTATACCGAGGCAACAACCATGGATGCACTGCAAAAGTACCGTGGAATTACATCGATCAATTGAACAGTAATTACATCGTTACTATCTACAAACAACATGGCCAAGGGAGATCGTCAATCAGTGTTTGGTCATCCATATCGTAGTCTATTCCAGGCGCCAATTTACCCACGTCACAGGCTAGACAAAAAGAAAGAGTAAAGAAGAAAAAGAGGAGAGATCCAACGATTCGGGTGTGTCATTGGGATACCAAGACAAGAGAAGAATGAATATTCACAAACAAAGACCGGATAACGTCATGCCCAAAAGGCGTAGGGTTGTGGTTCGGGGTGGGAGATGGTGGGGAAAGAGGATATTAGTGATCCCCCTCCCCCAAAAGCACCCCGGAGCAAGCCTTGGCAAGTTGGGCACGGGAGACAAACATGATGATGCAATCTCGAAAGGCCAGAGGTCAAGAAAAGAAGATTAAAGGACAAGACTAGACACAAAGAAGTCAAATTAAAACAAAGACAAGTGTTTCGAATGACTGACAATTGCCAGAAAAAAGATTCTCCATTCAAATTTCGGACGTTCGACTTCCCAAAAAGATCGCAAACGGTCGATATCAAGAGTTACACCCCGCCCCAAAGCACGACTGACTGTGGCGGTCTTCCTGTCCATGGAAAAAAGGACCACAAAAACCCCATGAAATTCCTAATTTCCATCCGGACAGTCACATGCAAGAATCATGGCTGCTTCAAGAACTAGGCGGTTTTCGATGCCCCAGGCGGGATAAAACTCCTGCTACCGTTGAAGCGAGAAACGAAGGTAATACAAAAAGGATTCGGGTGGTTAGGCGGAATACATCTTGTGTCCCTGGGGACGAAGGACGTTGGCGGCGTATTCACCATCGAAGTTTCCTAATAATCATAGTCAGCGCATGCCTCTTGGGTAAAACTTAGAGACGGAGGCGGGAGCATACCGGCAGGGCCGTAATTGCAGACCGTGAAGGGCATGTCCGAGCCATCAACGTTGCCAAGGGACGGGCACACGACCGTGGAGCAACCCACATGAGTCGTGCCCTTCCACACAATCTGGGTGAAATGGCCCCAGGCGTGGAAGTTGGACTGGTCTGGGTTGTCCTGGCCGTACAGACTCTCGAAGAAACCCATCTCGTTGTTGTACATCAGGTTCGAGATCATGACGGCGACCTTATCCGACTTGACTCCGTAACCAATGTTCTGACCATATCCGCCGCCGTTGATATCGCTATACCAAGGAAAATCAAAAGTCAGCCTCTCCAACATGCACCCCACACGGTCGAGAACCGCGGATACTCACGGGTCGTGCTTATACACGCAACGCTTCGCGAGGACTTCTGCGCTAGATTCCAACTTGGAGTCCCACTCCAGGGAGTTGGACGAGTGGTTGCTCCGGTGGACGTTGTGGCTGTACAGCACGTGCTGCATGTAGTCATTGGTCGGCTTGGCCTCATCGGCGGAGGTCGTGGTCGACATGGTCGTGGGCTGGGGGGCATCGCCGGTGATAGTCCACTCGCTAGACCAGGAAGAAGTCCAAGTGGTGGCCTGGCCGTCGGCGGGGGGTTGCGGGTTGTCGGTCGGGGGAGGCGGCGCAGGCTGGTTGTCCGTTGGGGCCGGTTGCGGGGGGTCCACGATAGTCGTCACCACGGGGGCAGGTGCCGCTGTGGGGGGTTCCTGAGTCTCAGCATGCGTACTTGAAGAAGAAGAAGAAGAAGTGTCCGGATCCTGGAGTCCTGGTACTGGCGGATTGGTGGGAGTCGAAGGGGGCAGGGGTGCCGTGATAGTAGTCGTCACGGTAACAACAGTCCATTCGGTGGTGTACTCACGCTTCTCAGCGGCGCTGACGGCGACCGCCGCGCACAGGGCGCTCCAGAGATATACAGAGCGCATGGGGCCTACGGTTCCTGGTAATTGACTGGATTTTCGTTTGTCCCTTGACGATATCGAGAAGTGTTCCCACAGGTCAACTGCGATCGATCAAGAAATGACTTCACCGGGAAGTATATCCGACCAAACAATCAAATCCAAAAGAGCGAATTTCGGGCGGGACCAAAGAGCGAAGGGCGTTCAAGGCTGACGAGCAGATCGACTGCGATAGAACTAACGGGTGCGATTGGGGGGGGAATATTGGGCAGTCCGGGGGATCCTTGAACTTCCGTGGGTAAACAAAAAGAGTGACAAGCCTGAAGAGCACTTTTTGAAAGAGTGGAAAAAGTGCACCAAAGGCGGTTTGGGGAGAGGAACGAAAGTGAACGCTCAACGGTGGGGATGAGGAGGGGGATAAAAGAGAGACAAGGGGAAGGGTAAGTGATAATATAGTAAATGAGAGAGTGAGGTAAAACCGATGGAGAGCGGGAGGTGAGCTGAGTGGAAAGGGGAGAGCGTCTCCAGTGGGCGTGTTTTCCCAGTGGGGCCGTGCGATCTGGGATCATTAATTAAAAGGCAAATTAATCCAGCGCCCAGGGAGCTCCAACCTCACTTATAGTACTCTGTGTGATGCTCGATCGAGGGAATTATGACGGCTAATCTTTTCTTTTATTTAGATTGATGACCATTATCCTCATCATCAGAAAAAGAAAACCTCCACCAGGGAACGCCGGAATGCCTCTTTCCATTCAGACCAGTCTCAAGTACCATGGGAATGGTCTGAGGGGATCAAAGTCTCCCCTGAATGGGGAGAGGAACCTCCCAACCGCGTGTGGCACATGCCACAAATCACTACGGGAGACTGGGCTACAGGGCTACATTACTCTACTTGGTGGACTGCCACGAAGCATTCTTTCCCAGCTGAGTTTGGTTCTGGGATCATATAAAGGATACAATGGATGTCTCGCCTGGGGGAATCCAGAACGGCGTTCTCTTTGTCTATCAGCCACTCCACAGGAACACATACTAATTGTTTATCATTTCGACTACTTTTTTTCGCCAGCGGTTGATGATGATAACCCCTGACAGAGTCTAACCCGAATGGGGATATCCACATGCCGCCCCGTTTCAGGCACTGGAGGGTCTGTAACCAATGAAACAGGCAGCTCGAACCCTGCGACCCCTGGCGCGTCTCCACTTTTCCCACCGTCATGACCCATGAAGGCCTGTCCTCAGGTACTGGTTTCTCCATACTCCAGAACTAGTTCTTACCGCCGAACTAAACAAAGAGAATCATCTCCAAACAAAGGTTCAAGCCCCAATTCATCATCCTGTCAGTAACCATTCCTGTGCCAAGGATTTTTTACCTCTTTTTTACCTTTTGTTTCTGGGGCCAATGAACCCTAAGGAGATCCAGTCGAAAAAGTATCAAAAAATCATAATAACAAAAATATCATGAAGAATACCCAGCGGGTACAAAGAATATGCATAGATAGAAACTTAAAATCAAAGATCCGGCTTTGTTCAGAAATGAAGAAAGAGAACGTGGCAAACCAATTTGCCTCTTATTTCATTTTCAGCAGGTATCGCCCGAGGAAAGACACTTACTCCAGGCGGTAAAGTGTGTATCGAGGGACAGGTGGCTTGCTGTGCAGGGCGGGAGCTCCGTAAATGGGGGTAACTACTAGGTCAGGTACGGAGTACGGAGTAAGGTTAACCAGGGAACATCTGTCGATCAGTGAGAACAGACTCGGTTGTTGTGCCCCATGAAATTTCAGATATATTCGTCATTTTGACACAGTCAGATCAATCAAAATTGTCTGGTCTCGATAATTTGGAGAATTTAGGATATACGAAGGATAGAACGAACAAAGAATAAGAAATCGATGGTAGTAACCATAGGTAATATAACGATAGTAATAATAATGATGATCATTTATAGCATGAGATAGCAGGAAACTACTGCTGACGTCGGTAATAAACAACAAACCCAATACCCAACAATACCCGACCATCTTATTTTCCGGCCCTTTCTTCTCCTTTCTTTCATTGCCACCACAGGACCGTTGAACGGACCACTTCAGCCAGCCAAGAGAAAAGCTCGATTCTTTTGACACTTTTGTGCTCCTGGGGACGGGCACCAGCGCAGGGACGAGCAACCATGATTAACCACCAAAACTTGGCAACTCGGCAGCTCACTCTGTTGGTCCTCCACTAATGTTTCATATTGAGGACCATCGATTCATGATCTGTGAGGGCTCGGAGATTACCTGGTAGGATCCATGGTTGACTCGATTCATCGAGATATCCCACAAAAACAAAGATTTATCTTTGTTGACGGATTTCTTCCTCTGTCTTGTTTGTTTTTTCTCTTCTTTTTTTTTTTTATTTTCTAGTTTTTTTGTTTTCTCTATCTTTCATGTACTCCGTATATATGATAATTTTTGTCTCCAAATCGTTATCACCTACCACTGACTCTTAGACCACATAGGCAAGAGCCTAAGAGCTCTAGCCCATCCTTCCACATCCTCCAGCCATGGGGTCTAGACATATCGGAAAGAATTCTGATCGTGCCCAGCCTTAGGAAGCCTTGGCTGGGGAAATAAAACCAAAATTTCTTTCACCTAACTGACTCACTAACGCTCTTGGCTGGCCCATTGTCATTGCGCATTTTTTGTTCAGAACTTAATTTATTCAATTCCACCGGCCAATGCCCAGTCCACACTGAGTGGTCTGGTCTGGCTTAATCTAGTTTAGCTGGCTTGTCCTGACTCCATCTCTCATTTGAATGGAACCGGGACGCTCAGACGAGAATTGACGGTGAGTATGAGATCTGGGTGGTCTGGATCTGGTCTGGTCTGGCTCTGCAGGAGAATCGCCCAGTCTGGTTCAACCAGGTTGGTTGTCAGGGGTTTCCTTCTGACATGTTCACGGCGCTAAGAGAGTCAGGTACCTGACCAGGTACAAGCGATACCACGTTGACTTTGATGTGTCATTCTAGCTTATAGTTAGTCAGGTTTGTCCTAAATCCAATGGTGTTGATGCCACACCCTCATATCAACTACCTACTACCTTGTACTATTTACCCCTCGTATCTATCAAGCCTATACGACCTCGACTAGTCCAGATAAGACACTCTGCAACAAACCCACTCCACAATTATGATGACAGAAACAACAATAGTCCTGAATGGATAGCTACCGTGGTACAAACACTGTGCATAAAGCACCCCCCCCGTATGCACCTGTTTCAGCCACCGCGCTAGCACAACCATAATATATTGTCCACCGCGTCGGGTAATCTCCTTCGACTCCAGACCGTTAATTAAAGTAATTATACATGACTCGGAAGTTCGGATGAGGTCCTGTCCGGTTTGGGGCTCGCTAGGTAGTTATTCGTATGTTGATGGACAATATACTGTATCCCTGTCGGTGAGAAGAAACCGTCGTGCGGATCCGGATGGTTTCACTGGTTTGGTCGGGTTAATCTATTTGTTTCGTGGGCTGGGATTAGGGAAGGTAATAGGATGACTTGATATGTTTATTGCTTTTCCTTACTATTAACTATGATGAATGGGAAAGAGTAAGATAGTAGATGTTTCATTGAGAGTATCCAAGGTTACTCACATTCTACAGTACCTCCAACTAACTAGCCGCGATAACGCCTAAATCAGCGAGACAAGACCGCCCTCTCTGCATTCATCCGTGAAACTCGATCTACGGAGAACCCCGTACGTCGTACAGAGTACACAAAAATAAACCCCTTGAACAAATAAAAAATACCAATCAGTAAAATATTCTCCGATCTCAATCTCGATCTCGATCTCAACTAGACTCGTCAGAGCGGCTAACTGCGTGATATCATAGGCAGGGACCGTTTGATCTTTTGTCATACCCTTGCGTTTTCGCTATAATCATTTATTTATTTGTTTGTTTGTTTGCTAGTGGCTAAACCTTGCCTTAGGTAGATACCAGATATAGTTAGATATTGAGATCTGTGCGGAGGATGAACATGATCGAGGGTTTAATATGGATATAGTTATTACTTTGTAGATCGTGGAAGCATGGGTCGGACTCGGACAGTTTGGATCTAGATGTAGATTTACGGCTACGTCGCTCTTCGCTGTCTACTCTCTACGTTGTCTGACTGTGTCTGTTTGATGCTGTTTCACGGAATGTCTGTGTCTAACAATTTTGATTTGGCAAGTAAGACAAGTACAAAGCGTTATGACAGGTTTCGAATATGCGGGTGCCTGGTGTACCCAGAACGCCTCCGACTATCCGAAACAACAGTCGACCAAGCCTATACACAGCTTGGACTCCTCTCCAAGTGCACTTTTTGCGCGCAAACGAGACACACAATCCCACCGATACATGCGTTGATTAGATGGGGGGAAAACTCCGAAATGCATGTATCTACCCTGATTTAGACATCGACAATTCTGCAGCTGCCGCTCTCGCAGACCAATAGGTAGTTCTTGGGTGGCTCAGGCGGTGACAGGTCCTTGAACAGCGGGTTCCGTGTCCTCAGCCAGAATGACTGGTTTCCTACGAAATCGCCCACGTGCGACGGGCGAACGTCGACGAGCGAGGCGGTTGCAGTCGAGGTCGACGTCCCCGGTCCGGCTTGGCTTCGGACTTTTTGGATGAGGATGTCCCGCACGGAGAGTGGCTCGTCGGATCGCTTGATCAATTCTTCTGGGGGCTGCGGCCGCGACAGATGGGTGGTCGTGAAGACACCCGTGACGCTGCGCGTGCCGGCCTCTAATCCGACGATGGTGTCGAGGAGGCCCACGAAGAGGAAGGGGTGTTGGAGGATCTCTACCGAGAAGGAATGGCAGGTCTGCCGCGCGAGTGTCCGGTACACGTCGTCTTCTAGGATGTTTCCGAGACGGAGTAGGTTGCGGGCGATCACGCCGTTGAATGAGGGCGTCGCTGACTCCGTTCCGGTCTTCAGGCGGAGAAGAGGTCCCGGCATGTCGGCTGTCATGGTTGAAGGTGTACTGTAATATCCTGCTGGTGTTGAACCTGCATATGCAAGGAAATGGCGGTTGAGATATTCTGATACAAGTAGTTAGTATTGGGGAGCCTCTTGGTTAAGAGGGTCACATACTCTGCAGCTGTTCTGCAAACTGCAAATGGCTGTCGTCAAACGTAGCCTCATACAGTTCCAAGAGCCCACTGATCAGATAGGCGTAGTCATCGGCGAACCCAGGCGTGTCTCCTCGGTCGCCATCACGCCAGATGCGCCAAAGCTGGCCGGTGCTCTTTTCAAAGAGAGCTTCCTTGATAAACCCTGCAGCCTTGACCGCAGCCTCTCTGTATTGCAGCGCTTTCTCGCTCTCGATCTTCTCAAGTAGCGTACTGCACTTGGCGAGCGCACCAATGGCCAATCCGTTCCAAGCAACGATGATCTTGTCGTCCAAGTCGGGACGCACCCGCGTTCTTTCCCTATACTCACGGAGCTTTTGCTTCGCGGACCGGATAATGCGAACCACTTCGTCCTCTCCAAGGCCAAACTCTCTAGCCAGCTTGCTCGGCGTCACATTGATAGAAAGCACGTTCTGGTTCATGAACTCGTCATGGGGGTCGTTCTCGGGAGCGATGTTGCCGTCGGACAGCACGCCCCAGTGACGCGCACATACGCCCGCATCCCGTGCACCGAGAACTTGCGTTAACTCCTTCAATGTCCACACGTAAAAAGCGCCTTCGCGCTTCTCTGTATCGTTGGGACTCGGGAGACTGTCCGCATCTTCGGACGAGTGGAACCCACCCGTCGGTGACTGGATCGGGGGCGTCGTCAGATAAGTGGCTAGATCATAGACTGCACCCAGGAGTTCGGGGTTGTGGGTAATTTTGAATGCATCCACGTAGACGTCCAGGAGCTGCGCCTGGTCGTAGAGCATCTTCTCGAAGTGAGGCAAGCTCCAGTCTGGGGTGACACTATAACGTGCGAAGCCATGGCCGATATGATCTCGGATACCACCCCGGGCCATATTGATGAGTGTATTGACCGCCATAGCAGCCGCAGTCTCACATTCATCCTTTCCGACCACATCAGACACCGCACTCGGGTAAATTTTGAGGTTGAGCAGGAAGCTGAGGTTTGCGGGGGTGGGAAACTTCGGAGCCCCCGAGAAGCCACCGTAGACGGGATCGTATCGCGACACAAAATGCTGGTAGGCTTCTTCGAGAAGCTCGATGTCCAGATCCTCATCCACCTCCCGGTCGCCTTCGAACGAATGCGTCCCCTCTTCCGCAAATTCCCGGAGCTGCTTGGTGATCTCCTTCGCACTCTCCCTACACCGCTGCTGCTGGGTCTGCCACACATCCCTGAGCTTTTCCAATATATCGACCAGAGTCAGCGTCTCGTGACCATGCAGCGCGGTCGTATTCGGTCCAGGCCAATAGGTGCCGCCAAACACGGGCTCCAAGTCCGGGGTCAGGAACACGTTCAGCGGCCATCCGCCCGAGCCGGTAGTGGCCTGGACATAGTTCATATATACGTCGTCGATATCAGGTCTCTCCTCGCGGTCGATCTTGATCGGGACGAAAGACTCGTTTAATATCGCCGCCACCTCCTGGGACATGAACGACTCCTTCTCCATAACATGGCACCAGTGGCACGCCGAGTACCCGATGCTGAGAAAGATCAGTCGGTTCTGACGCCGGGCTAGATTAATAGCCTGCGCGTCCCAGAGCTGCCAGGCGACGGGGTTGTTCATGTGCGCCCGCACGTAGGGCGATCGGCTCTCGCGCAGCCGGTTAACGAGCTTGGGCTCCGCCTCTGCGGCAGCATCGTGGGACTGCGCGTGCAGGCCCGCCGATGTCGACATTCTGGAAGGATTACCGATGGATACCCACGCGGCGGGGGGTAAGTGTTGGGATACGTGTGTATTGGCGCGGGGGAACGATCTTGCCCGATTGTATCCGTAGGCGGAAGTGCGTTGGAGGGGTCCGAAGCACCGATAAGAGTTGGCGGTAAATCGCCCCAAGGGAGCCGCGGCTCCAGTCAGAGATCGTCGAATAATTTTGGAACGTTCACGTAGAACAATTTATACACTCCACACGAAGACTAAATTAGGAGAGCGAGATAAATTGAGAATCAACTAGATCAGACTGGACAAGCGCCTCTGTAAGAAACCCAGCCCATGTGCTTCGTCTTCTGCGCTCTGGCCCGCATCCGGGAGATCGTCGCCCGCAGGCAGTGCGTCATGGCTGCACCAACGGTCACGTGAGGCGCGTTTACGGGGGGCACTGGCGACACAGCGTCTCGTTAACCGGTTCTTGTCATGAAGCTCGATTATGTTTTATCATGGATGATCTTTAGTTTGGTGTCTATAAACAAGAAATATAACCTATACATTCCACGTATCTCATTATGGCTGGCTTTCGCCATGATGTCACTCCATTCAGTCTTCACCCATGAGCTCGGCCAGCTCCCGTTCTTCTTCTTCTGTAAGCTTAGGTCCCGAATTTTCCGGCGTCTCCTCGTCCTCTTCGGTTGGCTTCTTGGCCTTTTCCACTGCGTTTTGTAGATCATCCGGTTTCAAGGACCACTGCCGTACCGTCGCATCGATACTGACGCTGACAATCGTCCATCCCGAGAGTACTAGGCCCGTTACCTCTTCGAAGTGCCCGGAGAACGTGTGATGGAGTTTTCCAGTCTAGATGTTGCGGCGGTCAGAACACAGAGAAAGTGGCAAGCCAGAACAGGGATAGGAACAGGGTACATACGGCTCGATTCCACACTCGAACTTCTTCATCTCTGCAGGCAGTGACGACCCAGCCGCCCTGTTCACACACCACGACATCTCGGACGTAATCCGGGTGTGTTAACGTCAGATTGGGCTTCCAGCTGTCCTCTCGGGCAAGACACTTGGCGGTCTTGTCTGCCGAGGCAGTCCATAAATCCCCGTCCCGATCGAAAAACAGCTTGTAGACGTTGGTGTCGTGAGCCAGAATGGCATCCGTCCCAGTAAGGTCTTTGCTGCCATGGGCGATGTCGAACTGGCGGATTTCCCGGTCACTCCCCGCGCTGAAGACGGTCAATTCTGGGCTCTCGGATTCCAGAGAAATGGGATCCACCGCGAGATCTTGAATTCCTTTGACATGGCCCTTCAAGACCGACAAGCGCTGCCCGCTGGTAATGTCGAAAACCAAGATCTGCGCGTCCGCACCGCCGGAGACGAGGACGTCCTGTCCTTTCAACTGTGTACTGACGACCGATCTCACAAAGTCGGTGTGGCCCTCATATCTTAACTTCGGTTGTGCTGTAGCCACCTCCCAGCTCCAAATAGTCTTGTCCCAGCAACCGGCAAACAGCAATCGGCCATCGGGACTGAAGCAGAGACTCGTAACCGGCGCAGTTGGTCCTTTGAAGACGGCGGCAATTTCCCCTGTCTGCGGTCACGGGCGACGCACAGAGCGCTATCTTAGCTACAGTACCAGCAAGGTATCCAGAAAGAAGGACACCATGCACCTACTTCGAGTATGATCTTCCGGACCGTTCCCCCGCTCTGGGCAACAAACACGACGCCCGCATTCTTCGGGTCTGCCTGAACAGCCAGTATCTTACTCTGTAGCCTTATGGGCGATCCATCTGGATTCAACGACTTGGTGTCCTTGCGATTTTGGTCCTCTAAAGCTGTCCTAGAAGAGGGGAATTAGCAAACATGACGGGATGCTGCTGGGAGGTCTGACGTACGTGGTTTGGAAGAAATCGCCACGGTGGGATGACTGAGCCATATTCGCCTTGTCGTGGATGGAGGTGATCGCGCAACCAATAAATCTGGGACTGTTTGTAACTACAATTCAAGAACAATCGATACCCACCATGTAAACCAAAATTGACTCAATAATGCCAGTCGAATCACCCACTCGCGCAGTTCAGACGAAGATGGCAGAAAGAATCGAAGTATTTGCGCCCAGAGCTCCTCCAGCCCGCCGTAGCGCCCGACCTTTTCCCACCCTAAGACTCCACCGCCTTTCCCGACTTTCCACCTATTTCTTCTTCTTCCTTCTTCTCACCTCGTCTTCTCTTTTCTCTTCTCTTTTCATCTCATACGCGTTTCTTCCCCCCTCCCCCTCCCCTCTCCACCACCCTCACTCCTATAAATTCCTCCATTCACCCTCTCTCTCTCTCTCTCTCTCTTCCTATTTTCTTTTTGTTCTGTGCGCATTGGCGCGCAACTCCCCCCGTCAGCATGGATATGAACCATCTCATAGGGTCAGTCTTCTCTGCCCTCTGGTTTGAACCAGGGTTTGTGCGGCTCGGCTGGAGTTAACACCTGGCAGTCAGCGGTTCAACCTGATTTCCAAAAGTGATATTCGGTAAGCTTCCCACTTTCTAGCTTTCCTTTTTAAATCTTTTTCTTCTCTTCGCTTTTCTTCTTCCTTCCTACTCCCATTCAATGCTCTCATCCTTGAGCTATAGCTAACCCAGTCTTCCACAGCTATGTTGGTACCTTACATGAGATCAACCCTGAAGCTTCAACAATAGCTCTGGAGAATGTCGTTTCCTTCGGGACAGAAGGCCGCCGAGGCAACCCTTCGGAAGAGCTTGCTCCATCTACCAGTGTCTACGAATACATTGTGTTCCGTGGCAGCGATGTAAAGGACATCAGTGTAGCTGAGGATAAGGAACCGGCAAAGCCCGAACCTCCTCAGGTACCTGATGATCCTGCTATCCTGGGTGTAAGTTGAACCCGTTTTGCTGTGAAAATTTTTTCTCCCTGCCCAAGTCCACCGTCTATGTCGCGGTCGGACGAATGATCACATGATGAAATATATTCGGATGTAAACTCACAGACCTGTTCTGAATTGCGCAAAACTATGTGGATATTTTCCGTTGCCTTCCTTCTGATATGATCATGGGCCTTTTTATTTTTATTGCACACAGCCAATGTTGTTTTTCATGAATAACTTGCTAATTGTGTGAACAGAGCATGTCGCGTCCAGGACCCGGTCCTCAAGGTCCCCCCGGGCCTCCCCCTCACTCTCAACCACCCCACCAAGCTCGCCCGGCTCCTCCTGGGTACCCTCCGCAGCCTCCTTTCCAAGGCTTCTATCCGCCTTACGGACAGAGATTTGGCGCACCTGGATTCCCGCCTGGACCAGGTTTTCCCAACATGCCTTATGGAGCTCCCCCGGGATGGTTTCCTCCCCCTGGTCAGGGATTCCCCCAAGGACCGGGCCAGTTTCCTCCACCTCAAATGCCCCTCGGACCTCCTGGCCCGCACCAGACACCTCCGCCACAGCGACCAGGAGTCCCTGGCGCAGGTCCCGTAAACATGCCTAGGGCAACTTCAGAGCTCCCGGTTGGCGAAAGACCATCTAGTAAGCCTGCTAGTCGGGATGTCACTCCGGCGCCTGCGGCGGCCACACCACAAGTCACTCAGAGTGCTCAGGCACCCCCAGTTGACTCTAAACCTCCCGTATCAGAAGCTTCACAGGCCCACGCCGGCGTCACTCACGGTGGGTTTGGTGTGCCTAGGACAGCACCCACTGGACCTAGGAGCGGCCGTGTACAGCCCGCGATCCCGGTAACGGGCCCTGCCAAACCGCCGGTTCCCACTGTAGCCCAACCTTCTGCTGGTGCCCCCGGGAATAATGTATCCCAGGGCCAAGCTCAAGCGGCAATTACCGAGGCCACTCGCGCGGCCACGGCTGCTGTCGCCGCCGCCATGGCGAAGCTTCCGCAGCCTAATGCTCAGAAGTCCGCGCCTGGGGACGCTGCTGTCGACGCAATGACGAAGCAGATGGCCGAAATGAAAGCTTATGAGTCTAACCGTGTTTCACGGGGTGGCCACCAGAACCGTGGCGGGCGCGGTCGAGGCCAGTACCAGGGCCAGACGAAGAAATTCGAGGTCCCCAAGACGGACTATGACTTTGAAACGGCCAACGCCAAGTTCAACAAACAGGACATGGTTAAAGAAGCGATTGCCTCTGGTTCCCCCATTCATGAAGCCGAGAACCCAATGCCCGAGGGTGACGACGAATCAACCAGTGCTAGTGCGGATGGCTACCAGATTTACAACCGGACCAGCTCTTTCTTTGATAACATCTCCAGCGAGGCTCGTGACCGTGAAGAAGGGACTGGCGCCCGACATGGCGGTCGCGAGTGGCGCGGCGAGGAAGAGAAGCGAAACATCGAAACCTTCGGCCAAGGTAGCGTCGATGGGTACCGCAGCAGCTACCGCGGTCGTGGACGAGGCAGAGGTTTCGGCCGTGGTCGGGGTGGTTATGGTCGCGGCTACTCGCGTGGCCGCGGTGGGATTCGCGGAGGTCGAAATGCTTCGCAATCCACCGGCGTGCCTACCCAAACTTGATACAGTCCAACCTAAACGCTTGGCCTTTTCTTCTTTTCTTTCCATTTTTTTTTTTTTTTTTTCTTTTTTGATCTTTAATTCATGATCCACTTAGCGACCGTTTGACTTTTTTATCCTGTGTTATGGAAGTGTCGGATGACTTCCATGTGCTTTATCTGGAATATCCCCGGCGTCTGAAGGTGTATCCTACGGCTATTAACTCGGGCGTACCATGCACGATGTCCTGGGATCAGCAGGTTACGGTGGCCTTGGTGAACTCTTCTGGGAAGGCTTCTACTGTGGTGTCGAATTTTATGGCGTTTGTCCTTCTGCTTTACGCATAGGTTGGTTATGGCCGCCTTGCATCATGTCTGGATTATGATAACATTTGTCTGCTGCGCGTTCGGATGCATAACTTAACCCATGCCGTGGCATGGGTCTTCTCTGGGTCGGATATTCGAGTTACGATCTATCTCCTTTCCCCGATTCCCAACCCTTGGTGGGTGATGTTGCTGGCCAGGTCAGCTAATGCCTCTGACGGAATACACTTTCTGTACCATAATACAGCAAATCATTCCCTGAATGAAAATCCACAAAAAAAGGAAGGCCAATTGGTCTACCAAATGATACATGAATACGTAAACTGAGATGGACAGTTGTTAGAATCAAACTTGTAAACCTGTTGCAAACAACAAGAGAATTCCACTCGGCTACAAGATATCACGACACTTTTGGCCTTGTAAGTATCCTATATCAGTGCGACGAACCCATTCTGTCGGGTCTTTGATATATATTGGTGATACATGTATCACGCCGGGACAATCCTCCGAAGCTTAAGACAGACATACAAGATACGAAATAACAAGGGACGGACACCTGGGCACGTACTCCAGTAGGAAAGAATGACCTGATCAGGCAATGGTGCCACCAAGCCACCCTTCTTGAACCCCAAAGCTGCCAACATCCATCATCAATCCGCATTCCGTTCCCTCCTGTCCAGGCTGTTCCTCGGTAGGTGGGTCCCACCCGGCCCCTCGATTGTGCGGGATGCCGGTGGGCGAGATGTGGGATTTGGAGAGGTTGGCGGTGATGGGTAGGGGGAGGGGAGGGGCAGGTGGACGTCGTTTGTGACGAGTGCGCCGGGTTGCATTGCTGGCAGGTCTTCCCTTCTCTCTGTGTCTTTTTTTTTTTTGTTGTCCTTCCTTCTGCCGTATATCGAGTCCGAGTCACTGACGGGGTATTTGATAAACAGGAGGCGTTGGTGTTGGTTCTCATGGAAATGCGACTGCCATTCTGTGGGCTGCTGGGCTTGGCTTTCTATAACCTAACCGATCCAAGGGAAAGCTGGTCTATAAATGAGGATAAGCAAGAAAGATCTATATACATTGCATATCCTCGACTATGATGACCGTTGACAGTAGACAATGTGATTATGATACGAATGCAGCTTATGTATACAACCACAATCACGGAGTCATTAGCCTCAGCTTGAGACCTCGACAAGACTAGACTCACGTCTTATCTATTGATCTACGGTTGTATATGAATTCATCGCATTGCAAGGCATAAGGCATAGGCATGGCATTGGGTAACTGATTGATCAATCATAGACATAGTCGCGGTAAACATTGTCGTGGCTTCGTGAATCGTGATAACAAAGGAAATGGCACACACATACACACACATATTCACTCCCACCCTCCCGCTCAAGCTGACAAGACACCGTACACTGTATACGGTGTATGCAGCTGTGAAGCAGGCTCTTCATCCACCTCATCATCATCATCTTCCTCTCCTCAAATCCAACATCATAACCCTGCAGTCAAAATCAAAACCACAAACCAACCATATCACCAAGCCCATCAAACAATTCTCCTAGAAAATATCATCCGGCCACTGAAAATTCATCCCCTCCCGACTCCCCTTATTATGCACAACAACTCCCCCATTCCCATTGCCAACCCCACCCTGCGTCTTCTTCCCGCGCACCCTCTTCTGGCCTATCTCCTTTGCAAGCCGTCGGTCGACCTTCGCGGCCGTGGCAGCGAGGTCCTTAGGCAGGGGTGGTACAGGCGGGATGTAGCTGTAGGTAGTGTCGCTGCGGTCTTTGCGTTTGTTGGGCGTCGGGCTGGGACTTGGTGTTGTCACATCGTTGGGGTTGGTGTTGCCGTCGTCTGACTTGGGGGTCGTTGATTCCCCGGGCTGGCACTGGTACTGGTTTTCCTTGTCTCCGTCATCGCCGTCGTCTGGGAAGAAGCGCGGGAGAGCTTCGGAGCTAGCGCTCGCAGAGCGGAGGTTCGAGCGGCCCTTCTTCATGCGGAGGGAGGGCACCCCTGCTGCTGCTGTTCTGTTGCGCGAGTTGGATGCCTTCCGCCGGGAGGAGGGGGATCGTCTGGCGGAGGGTTGGAGGGGTGGTCTGCTTCTGTCTTCTTTGGTCCCTCGGTCTTCTTTGGGGGTTTGTTGGTGTGTGTTGGTTTTCGGCTGGTCTTTCGGCCACTTGCGCTCGACGGACCCCGGGCTGTCGCCTATGATCATTTTCGGGAGTTTGGCTTTGCGCGTGCTGTCGGGCGCTGGGGTGCTGGTGGGCTCCTCGGTAACTCTCCTGGGCGTGGATTGGCCTTCTCTCGCTTGGACGGAGGCTGGGTCTGGGGACTTTCGTTTCCGAGATGGAGGGCTGTCTGCCGTTAAGGAAGTCTGCAAGCGATTTTCGTGGGAGGCAGATGTCGGGGTGAAAGGCGCAGCTTGACTCTTGGACTTAACAGGCGAATCAGGATCGCCTTTCAACTCCTCTAGCTGTCGCTGGACATTCTCCGACACCGCAGCCAAACGAGCAAGCTCGGCAGACGGCGCCGATGGCGACGAAGCCGCAGCATGCAAGAGTCGCTCCGAAGGAAGCGAAGGCAGCGCCCCCGGCACGAATTTCCGGTGATGAGCCCTGTCCTGGCAGAAGATAGTCTCGAAGACTTCGTCCTCCCCGATCAGATCCTGCAACTCGCGACGCGCTCTGCCGAGTTTCACTTCTAGATCGCTCACGCGTTTGAGTAACTTGGCTTGCTTTTGGAGTTCCTTGCGCGACTTCTGGTGTCGCACTTCGGGGTTCCCTGAGTCGTCGGAGCGACGACGCTGTGAACCGAAGATGGACGTCGCGTTGATGGTGGGGATCCCCAGGGAGGACTTGGCCTTGCGAAGTTCCTTGATAGAGCTTCGAATCGAAGTATTGGACTCGTGTCCGTCGCCTGAGTTCTGCCTCGAGTGGTAGCCTGTAGTCGGTTTGTAGTCCGTCTTCTCCCTCGTTGATTTCGACTTCCACATCTGTTCGTCAGGCCCTCCCGGTTTCATATCCTGAAGATAACTCCCCTTATTCGTCCCCTTATACCCCGACTTCTTCAACTCCGCGTACGCCTTCTCCGCCTGCGCCACAGGGTCATCAACAGCATGGTTCGCCTCCGGCGAGCTACCCCTCCACATCTCAGTAACGTTACCCCAAGCACCAAACGGATTAAACGCCGACGCAATCGCTTTCCCGAAGCGGAAGATCCCGGACGAACGTTGGCCGTTCGCATTTGGCCCATCGCCAGGCGCAGGTCTACCATCACGCAAGTAGATACTCGGAGGTTTCTCGCTCACGCTGTCATTCATGTGGGCTTCCACGAACCTGGACCGTCGACCCCTCGCCGGAACCGCATGGCGGTTTCGCGCGGACCCCCGCGGGGAGCCTGTCGTGCGTCCGTGATGGAAGGGCCAGAGGTAGCTGGTGTTTTCCTTCCGAGATGATAATGACGAAGGATCTTCTGGACCGCGCGGCCAGTCGTTGGAGCGACGGCGTTTGGAATACGGTGAGCCGGCTGGCCCCGGGGGGTAATCGAACTCATCGGCGTCGTCGAATTGGCCTGTGACGCCTGACAGGTCGGATCTGTCGCTTGCGGTGCTGCTTGCGCGGGAGTGTTTGCGGGAGCGGGGTGGGGAGCAGCCACTGGTTGATTGGAGGAGGGTCTGCTGCAGCTGGTGGGCTGCTTCAAAGGGTGTTGGAGACTTGTTGTTGTCGACGTTCGCTGGAGCGGGTGTCATCTGCAGGTCAGGGTGCACGGGTGAGTTGGTTTGAACGGGAGGGAGGGGCGCAAGGGAGATGAGACAGAGGAAGAAAGGAATAAAGAGATTGACACGAACCTCCGCGCCCTGCGTCATCTCTACGATGACGAGGTTGGATAGCCTATCCTCTCTTCTTTCGTCAACGCCTGTCTACAACTAGATATCTGGGAGTGAAAGGGAGAGAGAGGGAATAGAGATGGAGATGGGAGAGTGAGGGAAGACAGCATTAAGATAGCATCAGGGTTCTTGACAAGTGGATTAACACCTGAACACTGGGCGGGGGTGTTTGTTTTTGTCTCAGGTGGAGAAGACCAGTAAATGATCGACAGACGGTGGACTATTTTGACCGCCAGTTGTTGTTGTTGTTTATTGTTATTGTTGTTGTTATTGTTTTGCCGCGTGCGGGAACTGACCAGTCAAGTATGTGCCAAGCTCACCTTAGTCATGTCTGCACCTGTTCCCTTCATCATCAGTTCCAACGGTTCGTCATTCTTGACAGTCCTTGATATGAAGGCTCTCATAATTCCATCCTCTCCATCTGAATCATCTTCCAGACCGAGGGATGGGATATCTGGCGTTTGGACCGACCTGCGCCTAGCCTTATAATAAGAATGCAAGGTGTTTGAGAACGAACCGATCGAAGGGCCCGAGTGAGGGTCTTGGACCACATTCTGCTCCCCATCGTGCAGTGACTGCCGGCCCACCTCTGATGGCCCCACCACGGAATGATCCAGAGGGGGGCTCATCTTACGGGGAACCACTTACGTACCAGAGTTGACGAGCTGGAATGTGCAGAGAAATCTAACTATCTCGCATGTGGTCTGAGCGGACAATGTTGTCGTGTCGTGTATCTGGTATGTGGCAAGCTATGTGGTGTGGCAAGCTATTCCCATTGTGTATTATAAAGGAAAACGTGGCGCCCGCAAGATTTGCAGAGCACAAAGTAGGGAATTTTAAGATGCTACATAGGGCATGATGTATCCATAGATTCATCCAGCTCCAAATCGCTGGATTGCGACGTAGAAAAGAACACAAGAAATGAAGTTCATCTGCCCTGGGCAGGATAAATTAACCAAAATAGAATCAGTGTCTGTAACACAACACAGTAATCAAAGTCTCGTCTGGAGTATGAAACGAACAGTCCGGGGGAATATCTAGGAAACACATAAAAAAACCATATACAACAAGGAAAGAAAGAAATGAAAAAAAAAAAAAAAAAAAAAAAATACAGTATAAAGGGAATCAAAGGAGAGACAGGGAAGAGAAGAATGATGAAGATGGATGCATGGGGCCTGATTCACCAACGAATCTATTCAACCTCCACAAAAACCAAACAAAAGAGATCTTCCACCACAACAAAAAAAGCTCCAGTGGACAATATGCCCAGACGCCGTTCTATGAAGAAGCGCGGAGAAGAAAATGATATTGTTTTTTTCTGTTTCGTCTTGTTTTCTTCCTCCTTTTTTTTTTTTCATAATTGCTTCTTTTTCTTTCTTTGTTCTGTGAGCAAAGATCGACGGGCTACAGCATGGCAGGAGTTGGCTTCGAGGCCATCCGCCCGTTCGCTCGCTTATATTCCATTTCATCCCGAGGACTGGGGTGAAATGCCTCCCGGGTGCTGTCTTCCGAGGCTTTCCGTTGTCCCACAGGGTACGATTCGGTGTCGGGCCGCATTCCATTGTACAATGGACGATCATCGTGACCGAACGTCTCCGCGTGCGTCCGCTTGGTCAACGTGGGCGCGGTGTCCCACAGGGTCTTCTTCGTCGGAGTCATCTCGGCAGATTGGTTCTGCGCAAACCCGCTGGGAGGCTGGAACTCGGGGAGTGACCTCTCAAGGGTCCTCAAAGGCGGAAGCGAATGCAAGGGAGGAGCCAGAGGACGAGACGCAGGCGGGGCCGTAGGCCGATAAGTACTCGGATCAGAAGACCGCGATTCATTCGCGGGTACCGTATCCAACGGTTTGGGAAACGCCAGGTGAATCGGAGGCAGCCTAAATTGCTCCCGGTCGTCTCCCGTAGTCTGGCGGGGCTCCGAGGGGGGAGCGGCTCTCATCGAGTCATACTCGGTACCCGTCGAAGGAGTCCGGTGATGAGACGATGGCGGATGGGGAGAATAGGTGGCGGACGGGGTCGTAACGGGAGCGGATTGGGGTGGCTGGGGGGCCATATACTGAGATTGCGTCGAGCCGAAGGCAAGGTGTGACGACGGGTGCGAAGCAGCCGCTTGGGGTGGAGGCGGAGCGGCCGCAACAGGGGCGACGGCGGCGGTCGGACCCGGTACGCCGGGTGCCGGGGCCGGGGGCATGGGTCGTTGATAAGGCTGGGCGGCCGGATAACCATACTCCGCGGTCGACTGCCGCCGTTGCGCATCGGGGCCATAGGGGTACGACAGGTCGGTCGTACTGATGCTGGCCGAGCGGTCGCGATCCGCGGCGTTCCGGGCGTAGGCATCCGACGAGGGAAATCGGTCCGATGATCGATAGGCGTCTTGCTCCTCGTAGTTAAAGTCGTCCGATCGTTTATCGCCACGGCGCCTCATCCGGACGTCACGGCGAATCCGGACCCGGCAGCCTTGCTCCGCGATGACGCGGCTCAGAGAGGTGCTCATGGTGAGCCCGGGGAATTTCTTTGCGCTGTAAACGCTGAACTGGTGAGAGAGAACGGCCAGCCGGAAGTCAAGCGCGGACTGGGGAGGGGCCGGCTTGGACGGAATAGTGCTGGGGTTGGGGGCGGGTACTTGGCCCGCCGGGGCGCCCTCGCTCATATCTTTGCTATCTTTGGTCTCCTCATAAAAATGGAAATTCAGGTGGTAGTGACCCTCGTGCCGCACCGATAGGTCGGGGAAGATGAAATACCCAGCCTGGTGCGGACGGTCCAGATAAGCCACTCCCGCTACGGGCACCCCCGTCAATACCGGACAGGACTGGGGAGGAGGGGCGACCCTTGGGTGTGCCACCGGGCGTGCGCTCTCCAATGTAGCAAAAAGGAAGAAATTGGCATTGTAGGCGAACGTGATATCGGTCTTGTTGTGCTCATCGTGGGGGTCCGACTCGAAGATACGCAGCTCGACAACCGGGGGCGGGTCGACAGGACGACGGTCCGCAGACGCTGTTAGGACGAACGACAGTCAGCTTCGTCAAAGTCTCTTTCTCTGGGGTAGTTTAGAAGTCGTTGCGCACATTTAGCACCGGCACCGCAAGCCCTTGCACGGTGTGGTTCTTGCACCACAACCAGTCGGTAGGTAAGCAACTTGCCGCCGCGAGTGACCCGGCTGACACAGTGCTCCCCGATAGGGCCCGGAGGCGGCATAGGACCTCTGGTTGCCATCGTGAATGTTATCCCGTGCGATCGAATGATAACCTGTTGGATACCATTAGTATACTCTCGACCGTCTCCCCTTGACCACCAAGCATCACACGCATCAAGCGAACGAAAGGCAATGGTTCCGGAATATAACATACCTAACAACCTCAAACGCCACGCTCAAGCTCCAGGGCTGATTTCCAGGTATGTTCTCACACACGTCAACTGATACGTATACAGCGTTCAGTCCGATCTCTGTTGGTTCGTTCCTCCAGGAATCCTGCGGAAATTTCAAGCTGCGACCCGACTCGTAGGTATAGCGGGACAAGGGACGGGCGCAGGTGATCAGGGCATCTATCGGCACGAGAGGAACCTCTATGGTGCGAGAATGGGGAGTCGAAAAGGGGAGGGAGGGGGGGGAGAATATCACTGAGGCTGTTGCTGGTTTAACAAACAGCGATCAATCCCAGCGATTGGCCTATATAGAAAATGAAAGAAAGAGGGTGGACGAGGATCGTGAAGATTAAAGATAGAGTGTGGAAGAGGTCGGTAAGTCGGGGTGGGAGTAGGAGAGATGAAGGTGAACTAGCGAAGAAGAGGGGGGAAGCGCAGATAGACCTCCTACCTGTCAGCTGTAACCACGGTCCCGTTGCCGCCATCATGATTTAACTATACCATGGACACTAAACCCCAGCGGTGGTAAGATTCACTAGCTTGGTACTTACGAGATATCCTGATGGGTTCAGTTTTTCTACGGGGACGGCCCACTTTCTCGATCTTGACCACTGGTAATGATTTATCTACACTTTTTCCTTTGAATCGTTCTAGTTATTCGAGTACTATAGAATAAAAAAAGGGAAAAAAAAGAAAAGAAAAATAATGATTATCCAGACTGCAAAGAATGAGATGAATTCCTCAGGTCGGTCTGGATGAGTAAAATGAGTGGGTGGTACTTTTTCTTTTTCTGTTTTCTTTTATTATATTATTTATTTTTATTATTATATCTTTATTTCGATTTATTATTCTTAGTATGCAAGTTTGTTACCAACAAGGCAGGACCCAGCTGCAACCACGGAGCCGGAATGGTGGGTACTGGGTCAGCACGGCCAAAACTGAAAGGTAAAAGGGGAGAGAAAGGAGGAGGGGCCCTGTAAGCTGTGTATCTCTGTATCTCCGTAAGGGCATTTCACGAGGGCTGTAAGTAATTACTACCACCGCTGCTTGGCAGTCACGATTCAGACAAGAAATCGGTAAATAAAAATAAGAATAAAAGAAGAGAGAGAAAAGAAGAAAGAAGAGAGAAAGAAAAAGGATAATGATAATAAAAGTAAAAATAAAAATAAAGCAAAACCTCGATCTGTGGTTTCACCCAAAGTACGGACTACGGAGCATAAATGGTCATCATTACCAGTGGGCCCTCCGTACCGTCCCAAGTGACAAAACATCACTTACTCCGCCCAGACGATGATTTCAAAGCTAAGAGGAATATTGGGAAAAGTCACGCCAGCGCCAGTGCGGAATGGAACTGCATGACTGGACGGAGGAATCGTCGGGGCGGGACAAGCTAGGACACTTGAAGATTAGCGGCAGGCCCATCAGTTCCAAATTCCAATGCTGTAACTCTGTAACCCCACCGATTACCCGGTCCCAACTTTCCTGAACCCCCCCCCCCCTCTCTGTCCTAGGGTGGATCTTCTCTTCTAGGCGACCTTGTGGAAGACCAATTGTTCTCGGCCATGATAGTCCCGGCGCATCCCAAATTATCTCTCCTAGGTAGGAGGTACCATTACTAGGGCACTAGACGAATTTGTCATAGTCGATCACATACTAAGAGCCCCTGTAAGAAGTCAGCTGGCGTGCTCACCCTCTCACTTTTGATCATCGTGCTGGTCAGGTACCGTTTTCTTTCTTGATTTACTTGATTTACTTGATTAAATTGTTCTTATGATCAGTGAAGAGAAGGGTAGTATCCCTATATTCTTGACCATATGATCAGAAACGAAGAAGTCCCCCGTCGGCAAGACTAACAGACTCCTGGACGGAGACAGGCACAAGGCTAGCAGTGCAGATCTTGGATCGATTATCGTACACGTAATCTCCACTGATCCAGACTCCCCAAAGCCCAGAGTAGCACTGACCCATACACAACCGCAGCAATCCCAAGGATTCAGTGGCACCATGTGTGAAGCTCAACGATTGGATCCGGAAAGCTGGGGATTTGACACCTTGGACTGCCTGTGTTCTCAGGTTCTACCTGTGTGACCAAGACAATGACAGCATTTCCTTTCTTTCTCCTATTTTGTTTATGTATTTTAAATATATTTATTTATATTGTTCCATTATTTGAATCCTCCGGTGGCCATACCCAGCCCAACGGACTGGTCGCAGCCCCTTCGTAATCCAGCGTTCTGGGAACCAACGCAGACTGAACCTAAGCCCGCTGAGAATGTAAGGACCGCCACCTGCAGCCTGCATTCCATTCTGCGCCCAACGCACTAGACACCTGGCGGAATCCGTTGCGCTGGGATAAAAGTTAGTTTCGGATGACATGCATCTATTTTGTTCATTCCTATCAGAAGACAACTGACTCTATCAGAGGGGAGATTAGGAACTGCTGTCGGCTAGATAATTATGGTGTCATCATCACCCTGGTATCTCCAACCTACTGCCTAATTCGTAGTAATAGGATACACCAGACCCATGATCTTCATAAGCACGGTAAACCCCCCTCCTCCCCGATGGCAAGACCTGGTGATTCTATTATGTCGATCAAGTACCCTCCTTATTTCCTACCCAACTCTGGAGGATTTTGCGCATGCACTGTGATCAGATTCCATGAATGAGAAAACAAGAATCTGAGAAACTAGAGCACATTCTCAGCCTAGACATAATACAGGGAAAAAAGAAAAGAAAGAAGAAAGAAAAGAGAGAGGAAGATGGAGGATAATACCGCCTGATTAATCTGCCTGCATTACTTGTTTCACATCTCAATGATCCAGCATATCCAGCATTTCGCATAAGAACAATAACTTTTATCCAGGATAAAAAAAGAAAGAACCAAAATTAATTAATTACACTTCAACCGAAGAAAGTCAAAAAAAGAACGAGAAAATAAAACAGAAGAATCGAAGCAGATCGACTAACCTCGTACCCGATCGAGGATCCTATGGGTGGAGTCCCCACCATTACTCAGTCCCAGTATCGACCAGACCCAAGCGGGCGACAAACCTGAGTCTGGGGAGCGATCATTACCGAATATGACAGGAGCCGGGGTTTGAACAACCACCGAATCACGGACTCCACCAGCCATGACCGAGCTAGGTTGAATCCGGCAAGAGAGATTTAGCCGAAAACAGGGGGCTTTCCCTCCCATCTGTCACATCCACGATGGGTCGCCGGTTGCCCATTGGTTTGGGGGGAACATCCTTGTCCATATCGGAAAAGAAGGCCCCACGTCCGCTTCCTTGGTGCGTCGATCGCTAGGGTATCCTTGAATGACGAAGTCACTTGTCTTTAGTACCAGTAATACATACCTCCACTTATACAGAGTACCTAGTATTAACTTACTGTAGGTACCAGGTACAGAAGTGCTTATCTATGAAAGGAGGCCCACCGCCCAAGATGCTCCGTACCAAGGTACAGAGCTAGCTGGCAAAGGCACATGCACGAACCATCACTGTCTCACCTCCTCCATACCATCACGGCACAGAAAAAAAAAAGAAAAAAAAATCTTCACTCATTACTACCTCGTGCATCGTCCTCGAAAATCCATCCATCATTGGCGGAAGAAGGGGAAATCTCGGCCGCATTCCCAAGCCACGCGCTCGGCTCGTCCGAGACCGTCTTTTTTTTTTTTCGGAGAACTTGACACAATGCTTATTTGTCAATTTGTCCGTGGGTGGAGATGATCGAAGAACCAATAATACATGGTCCCCACCCTCCGACGGTCCGCACCGAATAGATGGGAAGCGGGTCCAGAGCTGACTCCATCCACTCTTTGGTAGGTATCCATACGAGAAGCTTCTTCTGTTCTCGCATTATTCTCCATATAGTAGACCTGAAGACTTTATACGAAGGAAACAAGGTTCCTCGGGGATTTGGACCGGTCTGGTTTGATGCGATAGGTTGGGAGTTTTGATGGAACCAGCCGTGGAAGGTTCTAACGACTCATGCGACGGCAAGGCGGTTCCTTGGGCAAGGATCCCATCCCTACCACGACGGAAGAACTGGAAAATCTCCTCATGCGCCACTAAGGAAAATCTACGGCCCACTTAGACTACACACCATCGGGTATGGAGCGTCTTCCTGAATCATTGAAGCATCGTGTGACTCTCGTTGATTGGTTTGGACTTGGACAATACTTTGTCACCTTCCCCCGGTATGATGCATATTAAGTAATTGAATAGTTGAATAAATAGACACAAAGATATATCTGATGGTATCCGACGCGGGTTAAGCACGTCAACCATGGTAACTAAAGGCTTTTTGGCGCCGTAATCGTCATCGCTTGGAAACTACCTCTGCGGCCGTTTGAACCCTCCACACAGATTGTCCCAGTAACCAAGAAACTGTTGAGCTAGCCGCTATGTTTAAGTCATTAGGTTTTGTTAGAGTTCAGACCTCTTGGAATAGACGTTATACCTATCGATGGATGTCTTGAGGTTGTAGCGCCTCCTATGATCAGTCTGGCTTCGATGTAGGATAGCTGTCGGAGCATTTGGCAGCTATCGCCATGGCTGTCTCAGTTTGATACATTGGTAGATGGCGGTCTCGGACTTCAGAATATCGTCACATCACGATGCTGGGCGGAGTGTCTACCTAGTATAGCGGCATCGTCATGGACTGATACGCGTGGTATCCCACAAGCGAGCCAATAACCACAGTACCGGAGTTGCCCGCATGGATACCTACCTATTAAATAACGGTCTTTACACGTTCATGCAGAGTCGACTTCCCAGTGACCGTTGGCCAATCCTGCAAAAAGTTCCCCTAGCCAAACGTCTACAGGTCCATAGCAGCGAAGTTAAATCTGATTAATAGAAAACAAACATCTATATCAACCAGCAGGGTTGCCTTCCCTCGTCGATCTCTATCCTTTCTCAATGGATATAATTGGACTAAGACACAGGGCTTAAGCGCTCGGTCCTTGTCAGCCTGAGGTCAGGGATTTCTCACCGAATCGGCAGATCTCGAGGTTATGTATCATATGCATGCACGTTAGGCTAGATAATACATTCTTCCAAATTCCCAGCCCCTTTGCATATCTGGGTGCCTCTCTGCCTACTACTTCCTGGCCGTCTTCTATCCAAGGATACACCGAGTATATCTGTGCAATACTACGTTATATATGAACCCCTCGGTTTTGCCCGGCGTCGTCGAAATATAGCGCACACCCTTACCCATTTACCCGTTGTTTCCGGGTGCATCAGGTGAGGGATTGGGGTTGGAATGCTAGTGACACTTTTCTGAATCTGTTTGGGACTGCGGGTGGTGGTTATGTGGTGACCATCTATCCCTGTTGATTCACTGTGTCTAGTGGGTGTGTTTAATAACGGGCCAATACCCGCGCGGAAGATTGTGACGGCACTCATGTCAGAATTTACTTTCAATCTATAAGAAGTTTTTATATAGAGACGTTGTTGATATTGTCGGTGTTTGTCTCGTATATACCAGACACATCTAGTCGTCTTTCGGAGACAATACCACACTTGTCAAAGTATGTAGTTCAGAGTATACAGAGTAAAGTAGCACGCCTTGCTTTAAGGTTTCCATCGTATCAATATAGGAAATGTGGCTTACGGAGTAAATATACGACGTGAGATAGCGTGTGAGACAGCTCCAATGAGTCGTCGTCGCTATAAGTCGCCTCCGTGACACATTCTCCTAGCCTGTGGCCTGATTTGCTCTGCAAGCCTCAAGCCTCAAGCCCTAAATCTCCGTCATCCAAGCCAGTACTCGGTAAGGGAGATATCCCTACATGGCTCATCGGAATAACGAGACTCGATACGTCTGAAATCCTACCTGCCACTTGATAACTACCCCAATAGACAGGGGAGCAAGAAAGAAACGGTGTCATCCCCTGTCATGTCTTCAGGTGATATAGTTAAGTGCAGTGGGGTCGCACTCACCTGTCAACTGACTCCCAACGGCCATGATGCCGTGCAGCCTCTGTCCATTGTCTGACTCGGTGTCTGGCGATCGGCCAATATATCGAGCCTTCACTATACCCTTTTCGATCCAACGTCCAGACGATGTACGAAGTACCCAGATACAACACTGACCTGAAAGCGAACCCCATCACTCACCTCGTATACAATCCCATCGGCCTCGCCGACAATGGAATTGACCCGTCAACAATAATCCTCATCACCACTCGACTGATCCAGCCGTCGTACAATAAGATGATGGATGGGTCCAACTCCTTCTTCATCCTTCGTACTCCTGCTAATCCATCGCAGGATCACCAACTACGTCCCCCGATCCGCTAAACTGCATCAGGTTTAACGACCGTTATTGTTCCCCCATTTTTATTCGGTGGATACGCGACGTACAATGTGATGTATCAGCTTCCGCCCTCGTATCCGGCCACTGAGCGCGATAGTGTCTCGCTTTGACATCTCCTTTTTTTTCTCCGTTGCCTTGTGGTTGCCTTCTGGCTGGATCAGTTGCCTTTGTGAAGGTACTTTATCTGCGTACGTATGGGGTTGGCGGAGTATGATCGTTTATGCAAGTATGGTGTTCGCTGAATACGTATCTCCGTAGGTTATTGTATGTTTTAATAGATCTAACCCAACATGGCAGGAGCCATATTCGCTCCTGGCTCCAGGAAGGGCCAGCTGCGCCAGGAGGCGATGGTGAGCTTTTTCTTGATCATTTTGTCTTCTAGTCTTTCTTTTTGCTTTTTTTCTCGCGCCTTTCCAATACCTTGACTATGGAGCTTACCATACGGTACAGTTGATTGTTCATCATGGGGTCACATAATAGAATAGTCTTATCCTGACAGCTTCGCCAGCCGACGTCGATGGCAAGGTAATCGATCCAGCTAATCACCTCCACTCTTCCAACAACTCGATAGGTAGTCTCCTGATACACCATCAATATGCAAGTGAAAGCACGCGCCATCATGTATGCACAGTCCATACCAATGCACAATGTAAGGGGAGCGAGCCTTGTCTCAGGGAACAAACCGACCTGCGGCACCTTGGCCGTCCATATGAGACATCAAACACCGAGTATGCGTTTCCCCGCCGTTATCATTGCCTGAATACTCCTCGCATTCTCGGGGCTCGGTTACAGCGAGTATGCAGAGTCCATCCCTTGAATTACTCGGTTGGCGCGGTCGGCCGAAGCCCTCGTGGTGGTGAATGCGGTGGTGCCTGGCTTGACTCCCGCGTGGGTACTCCCTAGTCCGACAGAGTAGAGCTAGGGGTGGGCGATCACGTAGATAGTGTCATTGAGCAGTATGTTTTGGATGGCGATGGGTAGTTACGTGTAGTTTAGAGTCATGGCCAGTTGGTTTTTCATTCTGGTCTGGCAGCTTGACATTGGGTGAGCATCAAACAGCTAACATTGGCCTATTGTACTGGGTCAGGGCATGGCACTATGTAGTACTCTGTAGTGGAGAGGCTAATCCAGATCATATGAAAGCAGAGATACCATACAACAGAAGCACATATTAGACATGGATATCTCATGAAAGACATGATTTATACATTTAACCTCGGTGGCTACGAGAAGCTGCTTACCTTACTACGGCTTATGGGATCAGATCACCCCCCAATGCATGCGGCGCAAACCAGCAACGCTACAACATCCCCAGAGAGCAATGACTCTCACCACTAGGAAAGCCAGCAAGCACCACCATGGCATCACAAACACCACTCCAGTCCCTCGCGCAAAACACCCATCTATATGAGCCCCCATCAGTCACAGACGCTACCCCCAACGATCCATCCCTCGTCATCCTCTGCACATGGCTCGGCGGCGCAACACCCCGCCGCATCCACAAGTACATCGAGGGGTACCGACAACAATTCCCTAACACCTGCATCCTCCTCATAACCAGCATCGTCCTCGACATCACCATCCGCACCATCCACGCCCTCCGCGCCCGTCTTCAGCCCGCGCGCGACGCGATCGCCCGTATCCTCACCACCCACAATGGCCGAGCCAACGTGACATCCCCCAGCGGCGACAGCAGCATCAGCAGCAGCAGCAGCAGCATCCTGCTCCACATATTCTCCCACGGCGGCAGCAACACAGCAGTACAGCTCGCCCTCTCATGGCACGAAGAGAACAACTACCCCCTCCCGCTGCGCGGGGTCATCCTCGACTGCTCCCCGGGCGACACCACCTTCCGCCGCTCATACAACGCCGCCGTGCTCTCTCTCCCCACCGAGACAACGCCTCATATCCAGTCCATCGGCCGCGCCCTGCTGTACCCGACCATCGCGACCGTGACGGTCCTCCAGCACCTGCACCTCATGGCGTCTGTGCGCGATCTGCGCCGCCAGCTGAATGATCCCGCTGTGTTTGGGGCGGGTGTTCCCCGGCTATATCTGTATTCAGAGGCCGATGAGATGGTAGGTGCGCATAATGTGAGATCGCATGCGGTGGATGCGAGGCGTGCCGGGTTTGCGGTTGATGAGGTTGTGTTTCGGGAGGCGGAGCATTGTGCGTTGGTTTTGGAGGATGCGGGGAGGTATTGGGGGGCTGTGAGGCGGTTTTGGGGGAGGATTTGGTGAGGTGTGGGGATGAGGGTGTGCAGGAGATTCAGATGAGGGCGGTTGAGGGGAGAGGGTGTAAATTGTAGTTTGTAAATATGTGCTGTTGAGTACTGTTTAGGAGGGGTTGGATGTATATATTGTCTACTATGAACATAGCCTCTACCGCGAAGCTGGGAAATACTAAGCTGTGATAAACGCAGGAGAGCAGTAATCTGTATCTTATAAGCTTAGTTTATATTACTAGGTACTACTCAATCGGAATTGACCATGTCATATCACAGTCCTAGTATTCGTTATTAATGAACCCTCCGACATGTCGGCCGCTGCTTATTACCCGATTGAGTATCTGATTGGTTCACAGCCATCTTCCCGAGCTCCAACAAGTTCATCCACTTCACGTCTCTCTCGATAGAACTGACCTCTATGGATCTTCTCTCAGTCCTCCCGGACTTTCCAACCAGACCACACGCGCATATCATCCCACCCTTAGAGCGAAGCCACATCAGCACCGTCGACCTCATCACCCTCGACCCGCTCGAGATCGCCAAACGCGCCCACGTCCCCCCCGCCGACGTCCGTCGCTTGACCACCCAGCTTGTGCGCGCTCTACACCACGATATCGGATTCGAGGACGAACCATCTCCCGACGAACCGCCCAGCTCGAGCCTCAATGCCGACGCGCCACTCGTCCTGGGCCCGACAACCGCGTTGGATCTGTCGCGATGGAGTGCGATAAGCACGCTCGACCCCGCCCTTGATGCGCTGCTGGGAGGCGGGGTGCCCACGGGATATCTGACGGAGGTTACGGGTGAGAGGTATGTCTGCGCTACTGCACCCTTGCATGTTATACACAGAATTAGTTTGAACAGCTGAACACTGACTGAATGCGAACAGCGGAAGTGGAAAGACCCAGTTCCTCCTCAGTCTCCTCCTCTCCGTCCAGCTCCCGTCACCCCGCGGCCTAGGCAAGAATGCCGTCTACGTCTCTACCGAGGCGCCCCTATCGACCTCCCGTCTGTCGCAGATGCTCGACTCACACCCGGAGCTCTCGGCGGCTGTCCCCAAGCCGTCCCTGCAGAATATCCTCTCCATCAACGCCATGGACCTCGAGACACAGGATCACATACTCAACTACCAGCTTCCAGTGGTAGTCGCGCGCCACAACGTTGGCTTGGTAATTATCGACTCCATCACGTCGAATTACCGCGCCGAACATTCGTCCTCGAGCCTGTCCGGCCTGTCCGCGCGCTCAGGCGAACTCGCCAAACGGGGCCAAATGCTGCGGAACCTAGCGGCCGCGGAGTCCATCGCCGTAGTCGTCGCAAACCAGGTATCAGATCGCTTCGAAGACACGGAGAGACCGCCCGTCCGCATTGGAGGGGCAGCCACAGCAGGGAACGGGACGCCCGTTTCTTCCTCACCGTCGCAGCGGGACCCCGGCCCAGCGACAGCATCCCCGCTGGTGCGGACCCGGATGCAGTACTCACCGGGGAACCTAGACCCGTCGTCCCAGCACACCGCACTGCCATCTTCTCCCGCATCGTCCTCGCCGTACGCAGGGGATGAAGAGGGGGGGCCTCCGCACCAGCAGCCACCATTCGACGGGTCCTACCTGGTAGGAAGTCCAGTGCGCAACGACATGCTCAGCCTGTTGCACCAGCAGCGGTTTTTCACCGGCTGGGGCGATACGCGGCAGTCGGCGTTTCCGACCTGGAGTCCTTACCAGAGGCAGCCGGCTCTGAAGACGCCCGCGCTGGGTCTGGTGTGGGCGACGCAGATCGCGTGTCGGATTGCATTGAAGAAAGAAGAGCGTGTCGCCACGTTGGACGAGTTGGTTTTTGCAGACAGTGCTCAGCAGGTTGCGGCTGACGGGGGGGATATGTCCCATCATCCTGAGGAGAAACCACCTCCGGACCTAGAACAGTCACAGCCGCAGTTACAGGACCCCACAGACACAGTAGAAGGGGGCAATAATGATGAGGAGGAAACAAAACCACCATATCAAGAGCCACCAAACAGGACAACAAGTCGAGAATCCGCTGAAAACTCGGCCGCTGAACCTCCCACCGAACCCCCCCCATCTACTATCCCCGCCGCAAAAGACCGCCTTCCCTCCTCACATCCCCTCGAGCGACCCGATAGGCCAACCCGACGGATAATGAAGCTTGTCTTTGCTCCGTGGACGGGGGGAGGAGTCTACGGGAAAGAAGAGTTCAATATATGCGACGAGGTTGAGTTTACGATTTGGGAGGGCGGTCTTAGAGCTGTTCGATGATGTAAATAGTTAGACATATATATGAAGGTTTTACGACATGATGGATGAATCTCCATGACTGGAGTATGATGCTATACCATGATAGGTAGATAATAGACTGTTTATGGCGTGCTAGCGTGCAGGCACGTACATAGCATAGCATAGAATAAGATAGAATAAACAATGTTAAGAGTTGGCATTTCAAGATTCTTTCTAAGTAACCATGTATCATCAACCACAATTCTGCCGCATCGAACAGTCATGTCATCACAGTGGAAAAGCACCCCCAGAGTATTTCCCACCTCGGGATTCCAAGCTGCTTGACCAGTCTATCAAGATTGACGAGGAGACACTGCCAACTTACCAACCTGAGAAGCACTACCCGGTCAGCCAGGGCGAGATACTCAATGAGCGGTATCAAACACTTGCCAAGATAGGATACGGGGTAACTTCGACGGTTTGGCTTGCGAAAGACTTGATGTAGGTGCAGTAGATTATTTGCTTCATCGACGATATTCTGATAGCGTGTGTTAAAACTAGCACATCATCATATGTTGCTCTGAAAGTTTACGTTACGGGCCACAACCGGGACCATGACCGAGAGCTGGACCTCTACAAGCATATGAATTCGGTGGAAACGAAGCATCCGGGCAGGAACTTGATTCGAAAACTCCTCGACTATTTTTATATTCAGAGCCCGCATGGCCGCCACGTCTGTCTGGCTCACGAGCCCCTTGGGACGAGCGCGAATGTTTTGATAAAGATGTCTCCTGGGCATGTGATGACTCTTGATGATATGAAGCCTGGTATTCGACAGCTACTTATCGCGCTAGATTTCTTGCATTCGGAATGTCATGTTATTCATACTGGTAACTGATATTATTTCTAAATTCCCCTGGAGAAGACCCTATATAGTTACTAGTCTAACATTATCCCAGACCTTCAGCTGAAGAACTTGCTACTCCCGGGCCCAGAGACAAGCTGTCTTGAACGATTTGAAGAAGCCGAAGTCACAGATCCATCGCCCAGAAAGATACTCAAAGATCGAACTATCTACAAGACATTAAGTTTCATTCCAAGAGGCGGGCTGCCTCTCCTCGCCGATTTCGGGGAAGCTCGAATAGGCGATGAAGAGCACAACGAAGATATCATGCCCAATGTCTACAGAGCTCCTGAAGTGATTTTGAGATCAAAGTGGAGCTATAAAGTAGATATATGGAATATTGCCATGGTCGTGAGTGAACATAACCTAAGCTGGTTACCAAGCAAATGCTGATACTCTGTCTGATAATCAGGCCTGGGACATCGTCAGCCCCCGCACCCTCATCAACGGCAAAAACCCAAGCGGCGTATTCGATGACCGCGTCCACATGGCAGAGCTAGTCGCCCTGCTAGGCCCCCCACCGCCTGAATTCCGGGAACAAAGACACCTCAGTTCGGTCTTCTGGGATGAGTCGGGGGACTGGAAGGAAGTAGTCCCCCTTCCAGAGATCACCCTGGAGAGCCTTGCTGAGATGGTTAAAGGGGAAGACAACGAAGGGTTTTTACGCTGGCTACGGATGGCTTTGCAGTGGGACCCGCGGGACCGGCCGACGGCTTTGGAACTCTTGTATGATGAGTGGTTGATGGAGGGGTTGGGGGAGTGAGTGAGGGTGGAGTAAGCTGGATACTCTGTAACTAGAGTATGATACTCAATTCCATTGATGGGTGGATGGTAGACTTGTTTATAGCGTAAATGGCAGTAAACACACCCATGATATTAGAATAAACTACGCAGTCACTCCACAGCTACTAATGAATGATCCAAGTTGTTGTGCGGTCTCGAAATTCACGGCACTGCTCGCCTGTATAATTGAAACAGGAAAGGCAGTCAGGCATGAGGGTACTTGTGGATTTTTGCTCGGTATCTGTATAGGTAGATAGGTAGTATACCCACGTCCGTGTTCCACAGTAACCCAGCCCGTTATTTCATTATCCCGGAAGTACAAAGTGAGTACCATATGGATATCGAAAGAGGCAGGTAGGTCTCTGCCATATACTAACTCACTAACTCTGTACTCCATGAAGTGGTAGGTATAGAGGTAAATAAATAAATCATACAGGATAGAGGAACAAAACCCATAGATATCAAAATATAATCAATCCATCCACTTGTCAATTACCTCGCCTCGCCTCCACATGACACGACAAGACACTCCAAAGCTCTATCCTACATTACCCAATACAACACAACACAAAATTTAGATTATTAAGAAAGAAAGAAAAATCAAGTCAATCCAACCCATGTAAAACCATATCTGGTGGTCAAAGCCCCAGCAACTTACAGAGACGTACATAACAAATCAGGGCTAGTGCGCGGATCACGGAGCTACAGTATATAAATATCTTTCGCCCCCGCATCTTGCTTCGAACGTCCGATCTGGCTTGTGCTTTGTTAGGATAGTCAATCTTCATTCACTTTCAAGCTTGATACTTAAATGGTATAAGGGATCTTCTGATCGCTGTATCCACCTTTATTTCGCTCTTCCATTTATTTAGAGTACTGTGGTCTAGGCCTAAGCTTGGGCTTTACCCCAGTTGCTGCACCTTGCTACTGCGTTACTTTTGATGACATCATAGCTCGCTTCACGGTGTTATTATCTATTGACAGATCGAACAGCGCGATATGATTCGCTCGTAACTCGTGGGAAGAATGGCCTCAGCTGCGGTGCTCGATATGGCTCACTGTCTGATCCCTTCAATGATAAGGCGTATTAACAACCACACACAACACACACAAACATATATGTCAGATGATACAAGATGGCAGAAAAACATCGATGAGACCATTCGCAATTAACAACAATTAGTGAGAAGAGAGAGCGAAAGAGAGAAAAAAAAAATGGAACATCTTTTGAATACGCCTTAATGTCAACCGACTGGCAGTCGCTCTAGGAAGGTCCAGATCGTGGCCATATCGATCCTGCGAGAGCACCACGGAAAAAACCAAAATAAATACTGCAACAGCCACACGTTCTATGTATCGACAGATCGAATCTATTGGGCGTGGATCTTGGTGGGGGGAAGCCCGATTCCGTTCGTGTTGCGGAAGAAGAGCACGCCCTTGCCCTCGCCTTCGGCGCCCTCGGTGGGCTCCACGAAGTGGCACACGCGGGGGCTGGTCCAGAGGGCCTTGAGGAAGCCGGTCCATCCGGTCTGGGCCTCGGTGCGGTAGTGGTTGCCCATCACTTCCTTGATGGCCTCGCTGGCCTCGTCTGCGTGATAGAAGGGGATGGTGCTGACGTAGTGGTGCAGGACGTGGGTCTCGATGATGCCGTGGAAGATGTGACGGCCGACGAAGCCAAAGTCACGGTCGATGGTGGCAGCGGCTCCACGGGCGAAGGTCCACGACTCGGGCTCGTAGTGGGGCAGGCTGGGGTCGGTGTGCTGGAGGTAGGTGATGGCAACTGGACACTAATTAGAACTGATCATGATTTCAGGAAGATGATTCGAAAACTTACCGAGCCAGTGGTTCACCCACAGATAGGGGATGCCGTACCACACCGAGAGGTTGAGCCAGCCGTACGTCGAGCCAACATAGTACAGGACGCTGCCGACGATGGCGAGACCGAGGTCGCTCAGAAGGATCAGCTTCGCATCCTTGGCCTCATACAGAGGGCTGGACGGGTTGAAGTGGTTGACACCGCCGAAGTATCCGTTGCTCTTGCCCTTGCCACGGCCTTCGGGCTGGCGTTCGTGGTGGTTGTGGCCGGTCACGTTGGTGAGGAGGTACAAGGGCCACCCGAACAGCTGCTGCAGGATCATGTGAAGGGCCGTCGCAATGGGAGTCTCCTCCATCAACTCGCTGAGCTCATGGACGGCCTTGCCGACACGAGACGCATACTGTTCACGGGTCTTGGGGATGAAGACCATGTCGCGGGCAACGTTACCGGTAGCCTTGTGGTGCTTGCCGTGGGAGATCTTCCAGGAGAAGTACGGCACGAGAAGGGCGGAGTGGCAGATGAAGCCAACCGTGTCATTCAGCACCTTGGAGGGCGAGAAGGCCTGGTGGCCACACTCGTGAGCCAGCACCCAGACACCAGTACCGACCATACCCTGGACAACGGTATACAGAGCCCAGAGCCCAGTGCGGACGGGCAGGGACGGGATGTTCTCCGGAGTCACATAGTTGTGGAAGGCATAGAAGACGGCGGCCAGGATCGCGATGTCCCGGAAGACATAGTACAAGCTAGTCCAGGCCTTGCGCTGGTAGCAGTGGGCCGGAATGGCATCGCGGATCTGCTTGATGGTGTAGTCGGGGATCTTGAACTCGTTGCCATAGGTGTCGAGGAGCTTGGAGGCCTTGGTGGCCTCGGCATCAGAGGCCATGGACGACAGGGAGGTGGACGAGGGGGACTGCCGGGGGCTCTCCATAGGGGAGGGGGCGATGGAGGGAACGGACGAGTCGGTCCCGGGGTTGCGGTTCAGCGCCATGCGCTTGGGGATCGCGGTGGACGACATGATGTTCTGGAGCAATTGCTGTCAGCAACTGGATATGTGGATGTGGATGTGTGGGCGTGGTGACATGTGATTCTTGACCATGCGAAGTGGGACAGGAAGAACACGCCGGGGTAAGGAAGGACAAGGAAGGACAACACCGGGGGGGGGTGAAATATTGCCCATCCTGACCACGATTGACAGTGCGGGGAATTTACTCCTAACGGGAGACTTACCAAGGGACGACACCACAGGGACGGAGGGTGTGAGAGAGGATGATCCGGTCAGGGTGGATAGGAGGTATGTAGACCGATCTTCGTCAAGGACCACCACCGGAGGCCTGAGAGGGGGAGAGGGAGGGGAATTGGAGAGGAGGAGAGAGGTGAAGGGAAGGAAGAGGAGGAAGTAGGAAGTCGGCGAGAAGAAAAAGGGACGAAGAACGGTTCAGCTGGTGAGCAGAGGCAAAAAAAAATAAATGTAAGATAAAAAAATAAAAAAATAAAAAATAAAAAAATCCAAATAAGGTAAAATATACTGAATCAATATAAACAATGAGTTGAAAATTGGAAAATTAAAAACAGTTCACCAGATACAACTGAAAAAAGCTGTAAATAAATTCTTTTTTCCTTCCGAAATTCTTTACTATTCCGTTTCAGATCATTCTATTCAGATCATCCAAGCAATCAACTACTAATCGACTTGTAGGGATGAATGGAGGGAACTCAAATGGAAATATGCAAAGAATCGCGCAAGGGGCGCAACCAACCAATGAGGATGTCCACAAACCACCAGTGGCGCAGGGAAAAGAACAGGAAAAAAAAAACCGAAAATTGCAAACCAATCCGAAAAACCAGGAAAATCAGACCGAAAGACACTTCCTTGCGACCCGCTTTCTCCATCATGGGTAATTTTGGGTCTCCCCGGGGCCGAAGAGGATACCGTTAGGGGGGTGAAATGGGTGGTGGCGCCACTGACAAGGCGAGGGTCGGTTGGATGGGGTGGTATCTTTGGTATTGGGTGGTAATTTGCGTTTGGTTGGGGATGGTGTATTGTGCCTTGGTCTGTGCGGGTTCGAGAGAATCGAGAGAATATTCAGGGTTCTACAGACTAAGACTCGACTGGCGATCAGCCAGTATGTGTTACTGTCACTATCAACTCTTGCTTTATCACTCATATTATTATTGTTACTATCATTTGATGTACTCCGTACATCAAGAGTCTCTTACATGATATGGAAGCTATAAATAATAACTGTCAGCTTGATCATATAATAGACACAGTGGTCACAGTCCACTGCAGACGACCTGCATCAGGAACAGTGGTTCTGCACACTGCATGATCAGCCCGCCACCCAGACGGATAATCCTCGATCGATCATCTGATTGGATTTTCTCTCTGTCTCCCAACATATCTTTATCTTCCATTTTTCTTATTATTATTCATCTTCATATTGTCACATGTAAAATAGTAGACGAATAAACGGATATACACCGCTCCTGTTGAGGATCGATCGCCATGTGGATGGCTGATCCCATCAGAAAAAAAAAATCCAGGGTCCGGACACCCGCAAGTTGCAAAAAACCCCGTAAAATACAGACCAGGAACCGGGGGATCAGAAACCCACAATACACAGCCAATCAAGAGAGATAGGATCCTGTCTCGACCCACAGAAAGAACGGGTTCTGCTCTCAACAAACGATCTGACCTGATCGTCTTTCCTTCTTTTCCGGTCCCTCACAGGGGCCCGAGGTATCATATGATAGACCTTTCTCGCTGGAAAGAAAGTGTGGCAGACCGAAGGACGATACCTACTGTGTTGGGCGAGGAACGGAAACACCTGTGAATGGAATTGGTCGCCTTCTTTCTTACCTGACGGAGATGACTCGGTTTGGATCTTATCGTTCGTGGTGGGACTGGATTGGGTGTCCTTGATTTGGTCTGATGGGTGCCATGTTCTTTATCACGACTGGTTGACCTGTGTAGGGATTGGCATGGAGAGATGGTACACTGCTACTGCCTTATCAAGCCAACAGCACATTCGGCCTTTGTTCTGGATATTGATAGACTGAGTCGCCTCATGTGATTCTACAACGTACGGAGTATTCTCAGATGCCAACCAGGTGGATATTCCAGCATATGACTATAGTCTCTACCGATTACCGACAGATGCAGTATTCCAAACACCGATCTATCTTTCATCTGACTTTGGAAGTCATAGCATATAGCCCGGCCATTCAATCCGTGAAACAAGGTAATGCGATCCCGGCCATTGGCTTCAGTAGTAGATGGTGTGGCCCCTACCACCGGCCTCTGGTGGATGATGGTCCCTGCCCATCGAGACAGCCATGTCCATCTGGTGGAAAGGGCCACAAAATGGTGATCATTATGATCAGACGATGGACGGGAGAATTTGCAGCATGTGATTGTCTTGGTTTACAATTTGAATATTATTTCATCGTGATTTGTATTTGTATTTCTCCGGCGGGAGCAAACGATACGGTTGAAGAATCCCCTATCCGATTTTTATATACGATTGGATCAACATCAAATCGACAAAGTCATATCAATCCTATACTTCATCTACTCCCTCTTTACCGTAGATAACAATCTACCGTAGACAAAACCTCCTATAGAAGAAAGAAGAAACCACCCAGAAAACACTGGCACCTACCTACCTCCAAGCAACAAAAGAACCTGATAGGCCCCTCCCACCCGTCAATTCCTAGATTTTGTTGGGGCAGCCCATCGTTTTGTTGAGAAGCGGGTCCGACTCCACCCAAGTGGGGCGGAAACTCTCTTCCCTGTCTTCTAGTTTTTTTCCCGCCTCGGGATGTCAATTGAACAAGCCCTTTTCCCATCTCTAGAGTTCGGGCGCTAATACGGTGGGGCTTCACTCCAGTCTATACCTAAGTGAGAGGGGGAAAAAAAAAAAAAAAAAAGAAAAGGGCATGTTTTGATTTGTTGAATTGGGGGGGATTTTTCTGGTTATTTGTCTTCGTTTTGACTACGTTCGATACCTTTGGGAATAGAATGGGCGGGCTGATATATGATTGATTGTATTGGGCCCGTCGTATCATAGAGGGTCGACATAGCTGACCAGCTGAATGACTGTCTGTGAAACAGTCCTTGTATGTACCGAAGCAAGGGACGGCATCTCTGCGCTTAATCATTACAGTCTAGTCACATATTACTGGTTAAATTTCTATATACTTCGTAATGTACTCCGTAGGTAATCAATGTATCATCCGCTTTCTACCTCCCCACCCCTCATTCCATGAATGCAAGGAAACAGGTGGTACCACCCAAGGCACCACCTACGCAGGCATCACCCGCCGCTCCGAGTCAACCAACCACGCCACTCCATGCCCGCTACTCCCAGGACTCAACCGCACCGTCGTCGCCCGCAGATCCGGCAACACCAATAGCGTCTCTGCGTGGTTGCGGTAGTCTAGCTCGCTCGGCACCTGGCGCCGCTGCACCGTCCCTCCTCCCGCAGCAGCAGCAGCCGCAGCGGCGGCAGCATTTGCCGACTGCGTCGAAGGAGGCGGGGGCACGAACGTGCGGATCTCGAGGCCCGGGAGCAGGACATGGCCTGATTTCTGGGGTAGCAGCATCACGGGGAAGGTGGTGGTTTCGCCCTCGCTGGCGCTGAAGTTGCCCCGGCGTCGCCCGCTGACGAGCCAGTGTTCGGGGTTCGCGTGGATCTCGTATGTGAATTCGAGGCTCCCGGTGCCGTTTTCGCGGTTTGCTGGGGTGCACCATCGGCGGGTGTGACGGAGGACGAGATCGCCGGAGATCATCTGGCCGACGGCTGCGTGGCGCGGGTCCGTGGCTAGGTTGTTGAGGCGGAGTTCTGCGGTGTGCACTACCTGTACCTCTGGGATGTCGACTGGGATGATGATGTGTCGGCGTGGGATGGAGGGCTGGGTTGGGAGTACGATGACGGGGTGTTTCTGTCGGGTTAGAACGTCAGTCTTGGGTCTGTCATGATTAAAGCAACACGGCCGTAGATGGTCTAAAGCGTTCGTGTATGCGGTACTTACCGTGTGCCACTCCTGGAGCCACGCTCTCAACTCGTCCATTGACCCCTTGAGTGCTCCTAAAAGCCCATCCCAACCAACACTCGTGTATCCCAGCGTTTCCGTCTCACGCACCAGCGCAATCACCTCCATGTCAGAGATCGACAACTGCGCGCGGACGGCTTCCACGATGTGCGACGTGAGCAGCGTCGTGTATTCGCGGAATTTGCTGGACGCGATGCTGTCCTGGAACGTCTGCTCCACTGCAGACAGGTACTCGTCGTCGATGCATGTGAAATCCACGCTGAGGCGGAGCGACCGTCTCGAGCCCGGAGACGTGACGCAGTCCTCCCGCTGCTGGATCTTGTAGACGAGGGACGCGGGCTGTTTGGGGAATACGTCTAGCGCGACGGATTCGCCGACGTTGGACTGGACCTGGTAGACGTCGGAGCTTGGGATGCGGCATGTCAGGATCCGGAGCGGGATCATCATGGCCGGACTGATGGTGAACCGAGAGAAGAGGACGCTGTCTTTGAAGGCATCCTGCACGTTGACGCTGATCGGGAGACCGGAGACGATGCTGTGTGTCGACGAGTACGAGAACTGGCCGATTTCTGTCTCGTATCCAATTTCGGCTCGCGCGAATAGGACAGGGTGGTTTTCCTCCACTGTGTAAGGGATCCGTAGACGGACGAAGGACTGTGCGCTCAGGCTTGCGAACTCGATGTTTCCGTCGCTGTTGCTGACAATCGTGATGTCGCCCTCCACCAGCTCGGCCTCTGCCACTCGGAGCCGTAGCCCCGCGGTGGCGGGCCTGACCCGGAGAGTCCCTGTGCTGATATCGTTCCGCCCGCTATTGAGTTCCAGCTCCAGCGTTCGCATTTCCTCGAGATTGACTAGGTGAGGGGGTACGATCTTTGCCTGCAGTCCTTCCGGTGGGGGGTAGCAGTAGATGTAGGGCCGGCTGTCTTCAACTTCGGCCTCCCCAGCTTCTCTGAAGCCCACCGGGAGAGCCAAGTTCTTCCCGCCGCCGAATGTGAAAGTGAGATTACCAGATCGCACCTCGAGACGATCCACATAGTACTTTCCATGCAAGGTGATCTAGACAGATATGAGCAGAGACCAGTGTAGGTGGAGAAGAGTTTACTTACCGATGAATCCACCAGGACCTTTGTGAGGGACGACTTGACAGTGGCTTTGGTAGAAGCCTCGATCCAATGCTCGTTGCTTTGACCACCGCCGGCACTGACGAGCCGCACCTTAGTGGAATCGATATTGATCCGCTTTCCCAGCAGAAACCGCAGAGAAAGCTGCATCTGGAAACCATCCTTGTCGGCAAAATGGAGGACACACGGCTTAACTTCCAGATCCGCAAAGAAATCGGTCAAGGAAGCTGAAACCTCCTTCTGGAGCGTGCTCGACACCTGGAACAACTCTTCGACATACTGGAAGACCAGCGAATTCTCAGCAAAGATGTGCGAGGCATCTAGCGTCTTTTGCCGCGCCGATAGGCTTGATTGTATGTAGACTGCATATTTAGCTAGCAGGCGAAGCGTCATTCGGACATACTCCTCGTTGCGCTGCAGTTGCTTGAGGCAACGTGCGTACATCTCCAGCATCACGCCTTCTAGGACGACCCAGCCCTTATTGCCGTAAAAGGGCGTGATCTGGTGGAAGTAAGAGGCGGCAGCGCTATGATCGTCCCGTCGGAATCGCAGCAGGGCCATGTCTGCCAATGCCATGTGTGCTGAGTAGCTGCGATTCGCAATGACATAATGTCGATACATCAGATCTGTGAGCTCCTCGTAATGCGAGCGGAAGGCTTCCTGGCCACAAAGCGCTGCTTTCAGGCGGGGAAGATCGACGCCGGCAAGAGAGCCCACTGGGGAAGGCTTGACTGGTTTCTCTGTATCACTCAAAGACACTTCGTCCATGTCGTCATCTTCCTTGTCGTCGAAAAGAAGTCCAAGTTTCTGCCACTTTTCCTCCCAGCCGCATTGACTCGCAATCTCCTCTAGTAAACGCCGGGCCATTAGGAGAAGATCGCCTCTCGTAGAGGCCAGTTGTTCACCGCCTGTCCTGAGGGTGATTGGAGGCTTTGATGCTTCGTGAACAGATCGAGAGGGTACATGCGAAAGCGCCTCGGCCGGTAGAATTTCACTGCTTCGAGAGGGTCGAGCTCCAGTCGTAGTAGCTAATGAGCTGGACCGCTTGGGTGTGTCCGGTCTGCTCTCCGCAGACGCTGCCACGGCCTTATTGATGGTATTGAGAGACGATTCGGGGAGTGTGAGGGTAGGGGTGAACGTCTGCACCAGGACTTGCGACACAACAGCATACGCCCAGGACGAAACCAGATTGTGGATAACCTCCGATTTTGCAGGAGACTCAACATCCGCTAGACCGGCTGTTAGATCACCCCGGAGCGTTCGAGCGGCAAGACTGGCGAATTCAGCCGCTCTCTCGCAGACCTCGGAGAGTAACAATAGATCTTCGGGTTTCTTGCCGTCCTTAGTTGGCTTTTCACTGGTATCAACGTCTGTAGTGGTCATTGACGGCGCCTTTGCTGCCCGCAAAAGCAGCGTTAGCTGCCTTGAGAAAACATAGGCGCGAAAATCAAGGACCGAGATATTGCTGGCCAGGATCATATCACGATACGCCTTTTTGTTCGAGTCAATGGGAAAGTCTTGCACATCGATTTCCGGAATCGACGCTGGTTGGGTGTCATCGCTGTCCTTGCGGGCAGACGCCGAGGCCAGAGCCGCTTTGGCTTTTTCTTGCCAATCTTTACTGTACTCCAAGAAAATATTGCCGTGCTGCTCGACGCCTTCGAGCTGGTCATTGATCGCAGCATCTAGCCCAACAGACAGCTCATCGTATCCGAGTAGCGCATCCTCAAACAGCCCTACATTCTCAAACCCTCGCGCAAGCCCTTCCTTCAGAATGAAGAATGTACAAAAGTTCCAACCAGGCAAGCTCCGCTGCGAGTCCTTCTCCTTGATGTCTTCCTCATACTGCGCCACACGGAGATCCAAGGACGCCAGGATACCATTCTTGACCTTCTCGATAAAGTCCTCGACCTGCTCACGCAGCTCGGGCGACTTCTGCTTGTTATCCGGCTTCGGGAGACGAATCTGGGCCACCCTATCCACGGCAGACTTCGAGGTACCATTAAAGTCGGCCTTCACCTTATCCAAGACCGTCGTCGTGGTGCGACCCCATTTGGTGGAGGGCGCGACCTTTTCGGTGCCGTCCCCGTCCTGCGCCACATGAAGAATCAACCACTCAAAAGCGTCATGCTTCTCCTGGCTGCTCGGCTGGGTGCCAGACTGCGACGTTGACGCATGGGACTTGATCCACTCCCGTAGTGCTTTCCGCGCCGTGTTCTTGTATGTGTCGTTGTCGTCGCAGCGGAGGAGGTAGATCTTCAAATAGGGGGTCTGGCGCAGACCGGGAATTTGGTGCCGTCGATGCGCTACGGTGCCTGACGCACCTTCGCTGGAAGATGGGCGTTCATTTGCCCCCTGCTGGACAGGTACGAACCCAATGCGGAGCGACTCGATTGACCGAACGGGGCGGCTAGGGGATTTCCAGTGGAGGTTCTTGAGAGGGACCTTGTCCGCGATGATGGGTTGAACAAGAGGAAACAAGCCAGACGGATCAGTATACTCGACTAAGGAAAATGAATACAGCATTAGTTAGCAATCCACAAAAAAAAGCACTGTGTTTGCGGGGAGGGGGAGCGGTCCTTTCGCCTCCCTTACCGGTGACACTGTTCGAGCCCGCCTGTTGTGATGGCTCCATATTCCCGAGCTCTATTCGGGGTATAAAAGACAAGACTTCGAGGACATGCCGCTTGTGCGACTAACGCAGATCCCCAAACAGCGAGAGCTTCTTAGTGGAATGGAGGGCAGGGATAGGAGTTTGTTGTTTTGGGGGGGCACCAAGGCGGCCGCTGTCTTTCTCCGCGTTGGGGCTCGCTGTCCGCTTCTTGGCGTGGGCTCTGGACATCCTAATTACCTCATCACGACTAGTTCCCCAGGTACGCGATCTATATCGACGGCCAAAGCAGGGACTCAAACATAATGTCTATTAAAATAACCCACACATATATACATGTTTATATACAGACGAGTAGATGAAACCGCAATTTATCACTAATTGTGTAAAGTATAACAGGTCGCCAGTGATCCAAGACAAACATACTGAAAACTACAAGCCCCTTATAAAATTGAAAAAAGCAGTCGTATCCCGTCATTATGCAAGTACCAATACTTGAAACAAAGAAAATAATCACATGTCCAATGTGATATCCGTCCAGAGGACATAACGCCCTAGCTTGTAGAAACAAAAAGGAAGAAGGAAAAAAAAAAGAAAGAGGATAAAACAAAAGAACGCTAAACAAGAGCTAAGCCCCTGCTTCCAAAGCGGGTTGCGCAAATCGTGCCTTGATAAATTGAGACCCTTCGGAGAAGACTCGCCAAATACCAGGAATATAGCTTCGGGCCCAAGCACAAATGACCAGAAGTAGGAGAGGGATCTGTAATGAGTTAGCAAGAGGCTCGCAAAGGCTGGAAAGGGGGATATGAGGGGAGGCTAGAAACTTACCCAAATGAAGTACAGATTCCGGTCACTACCGAGTCCCTTCATCCGGCGCGCTTGTTGCTCCCGAAGGTGTTTCTGCTGTTCGCGAGATATCACGTTGCGACCGATCCGTATATCCTGGATATCTTCTCTCTCCTGTTTCGCAGGAGCGGCCGCGACCGAGGAACTGGCTTGTGCTTCGAAATGTTGGTCCAGAGCTGCTTCTGTGGCAGCTCGCAGTAGGGTCGACTTCTTCGTTCGCTCGGCTTCCTCTTCATCTACGTTCTCGCTGTGTGGGTAGAGGTCGTCGTAAGATGGTAGTTCGGTGGCACTGGGCCCAGAGTTGCCTGTCAAGAGGTCCCACCAGCCATCCTTCGCAGTTGGCCGGTGCGGCACGAGGTTTGTAATGCGCCGCATCATCGGATGAGCCTGATAGTCAGGCAGAGCCGGCATAGGAGGAAGCGCAGGGAGATTAGGGAACGCATTGGAGACGCTCTGCTGGAATTGGTTAATCTGAGCCTGCAGTTGATTGCGCCAAGCCACGAGGGCGGCAGGAGGGGAGAATGGCCTGGCGTCCTCTGCCGGGGGAGACGCCTCAGGCGTGGGAATAGACGTAGCTGCATCCTGATGGATGCTAGATCGCCGCGACGCAGCGAAAATGCGTTCGTCGTCCTCCGAACTATCGCCTTCAGAATCTGAGGTTACATCATCGAAAGAACCAGAAGAGGTCTCCCAAAGCGAGTGGACGGATGCAGAGCTGCTGCGTCTGCGCCGCGAGGAGCCCAATGATCCCACGCTGCGCGAGCGATGATTGCGAGGGGGGATAAACGCAGCCTGGTGTGCAGGGAGTGTGGATGCGATATCGGCAGGCGTGAAGCCACGGGCACTGCGAGCACTTGCATTGGCGCCTGTCAAACGGAGCCTGTGGACGATGTGGGCGTGGCCATTCAATGCGGCTAGATGCATGGGTGTGTTGCCAGTGTTGTCTTGGACATCTGGGTTCGCACCCCTTGCCAGGAGTCCCGCAACAAAGCGTGTCAACCCCAGAGAAGAAGCAAAGTGAAGCAAAGTCTGACCCGTTGCACAACGAGAATTGAACTTGGGCGGACGAGGGTTATCGTCAAGGTCCACAAATTCGAGGTAGGTTAGCATCCGGGAATCCAGATCACCCAATTGGCCCTGTGACTCCAGCCCGGGGACCTGGCGCTGATGACCACCAGACCCGCCTTGAAAGTCTTTCTGGAGGCCGAAGATTGATTTAGGATCGCTACCCATGATCTGCTGAGCTGTGTGGAACGCATCGGCTTGGCTACCGAGTTTCTGCCCCAGGATTCCAAGCGCGAGCCGGTACATCTGCAATTCTCTGTCATCCACGTAGCGGAAAAACTGATGCTGTTTTGGCATCAAAGGCTGGGCGGCCTGCACCTGGCCAAATGTGGGATGCTCATGTTTGAAGACAACGGCCACTAGCCCAGGTTGAAGCGCAGGGGGAGTTAGACAATTGAGGCACTTATCACCCCAGAAAGTGGTTGTTGTAGCCAAAGTGTCTCCAAAGACCACTTCCATGCCGGGGTAAAACCCGCTTCCCAACAGCGTGACTTCCGTTCCCCCGGTTATAGACCCCTCCGCTGGTACCAATTTATGGATGACGGAGGGTAATCGGGTCGCCGGATTTGTCAGCGGCGGCCACATCGAAGCAGAAGAACTTGGCCCAAGCGGGACATTGAAGTTCTGATCTTGAAAGGTGTTGCGGGAGGAACCACCGGGCGTGCTCGGGCGACTAGGCTGGGCTGAGTTAGGCGCAGACATCAATTGCTGTTGGATAAAGTTGTCTAGGCTCTGTTGCTGTGATGGATTGAAAAATAGGTTGTTTTCACCACTGTTGGGGGTCGGAGGACCATTGGCAAACTGCCCAGACATAGCAGATGAGGTAACAAAGGGCCTTTCAACAGGTGATGCGAATCCACGAGGAGCAGAAAATGGCGTATCAGCATTGACACCCGGCGTACTTGAGGCCGCCGAAGAACCTTGTGCTGACTCGAGTTTGGTCATCGTCAACTCTGACGGAAGTCTTCCAGAGCTGCTATGTTTGCGTCGTTTGCTCATCGGACCTTGGAAGTCGTTGGGAGAGGTTTGTCGCGAGAGACTGCGTGGAGTTTGCGAATTGGGCGATGCCCCACTAATCGAGCTTTGGGAAGCCGGCAAAGAGTGCGAGTTCAACCGATATTCCGAATTGAATTTTTGCCGAAGATCCGTGGCCTCCGACGTCGGTTGTGACGAGGCAGAGCTCTTGCTCACCTCGATGCTGGGGCCCGACGGGAATACGCTAACACCAGGAAGCTGCGTTCCGTCAGGCAAAGAAGGAGACGGACCAGGGGCGGGAGGTCCCGGAGGAGGGTGGGTCTTGTGGTCATCCGTGATCATGATGGAATTCGTGATAGCCTGAGCGATCACGTTGTCTTTGTAGTCTTTGACCGTGAATATGACCTGGAACCCGAGTTTCTCGTTCTGGTGCCTGCAGTAGCAGGCTATTCGCATAGGCAGCTCGACCTGCATAGCTCCCGGAGGTGCGGCTGGCAACGGAGCATCGTGATAGCCCGGAACAGCGTTTTTCGATGGTTCAGTCCAGTCCTTGATCTCGTTGGTGTTGAATACGATCACCCGTTTCCCTTCATCCTTTTGAAACAGTTCATCTTCCTCTGGCTTCCTCTGCTTCTTGCGGAATGCCCGCTTCCGTTCTCGTTGGATGCAACCAGCACAAATCTTCACTTCACCACCCTCCAAGGGTTTATCATCTTCCTGCATGTCATCAACATGAGGACTAGAGCTGTATGAGTGGCGGAAGTCGCCGCGCGCTCGTGCATATGCCTTCTTGAGCTTATCCTCATCTTGCATTGCACTTGTACAAACCAAGCTAGTGTGCAGCTCCACGGTGTCTGGAGAGCGTTCAGCAGATGGGGGCGCCAGAAATTTTGGTTTCGAGATGGTGTGACTTGGCAATCTGAGCCTTTTGACTCCGGCAGGCAACGGGAAAAGCGTTAAACGGATGGGTATCTGAGTTTCAACTCGCGATTTCAGCGACGTAGGATGGACGGTCAGGATCGGGCGTTGCGGGATTTCCGGTTGAATGTTGGTTTGAGGAGACGGCGCAAAATTGATGCCGAAGGCAAAGGGATTGGCGCCGAAAGTGATATTGGAATTCAAAGGAGAGCTGCCGTTCATGTTGATCCCTCCGAAGCTTTCCTCTAGGAGCGACGACGGAGATTGTCCTCCCCATTGATTGGGCGTGTTTCCATGGCCGGGTAACCCTGATGGCGAAAATGGAGATGCTTCCTTGATATGATGAGTAGGGAATGGCGAACCGCCGGAGGCGATGTGCTGATGAAGGGTTAGAACGTTATAATCGCGACAATGGCCTATGGTCGAATTACTCACAGGGGACCCAGGTTGTCTAATCATAGTACTAGAAGCACCCCGAAATCGCGGCTTGGCTTTCTTCTGATGGTTCAACTGCGGAGCTGGCTCCGTCCTCAAGGGGCTAGGTGTGCTGGCGGCGCTTTCGAAATCAAAGGCTGCATCCATCGCTTTGTTGCTGGTTTCCAGATCGGGCTCGGTAGAAAACGGGACTTCGACGTTTGGTAAAGACGGATCGAAATTGAACAGCGATTCTTCCTTTACCGAGCCAAGGTCTGAGTTCACCCAGTCCTCCGATGTGTATCCAAAAGGCATCATGTGGTTTTCGCTGTGGACGGCAGAGGTAGACGAAGAGACTGATGGGTTCCGCAGGTGATTACGGGGCGATTCCGAGGACGAACTCCGACTCGAATCATCCGCCGACTCTGCAGGAGAGTCTGACTTCACGATGTTCGGCGGTCTCAGCGCATCCTGTTGTTCTTGGTAGGGTCTTTTCACAGACAGTTCTGAGGGCGACAGACAGGCAGATCCCTGTTCGGTAACGGTACGGGAGGACGTGGGATGGGAAAAGAGATCGTCAAAATCTTGACCAGCATTCTCAGACGACATCTGCAACCTTGCGGAGTCCAAAAAATCCATGTTGGTCGTATGATAAGGGTTCTCCATTTCGTCGTCCACAACTATGGGGTCCAGGGCAGGAAACGCAGGCGAAGAGGCGGCCTCTGCTGGTCCCATCGTCGGAATCCGCGGGTCCACGGAGCTGGAGATAATAGGGCTGCGAAGCACCCAGTTTATCCACTGACACAGCGCCGACCTCCAACACTACCTGTGCGTAACTCCAAGCCCTCCGGGACAAGTCGGGAAGAAACTGCGATCGAAGCGATACGGACTGGGCGCAGAATATCCGACGTCTCGAAATCAACAGCACCCGTCACCCATCGAAGCGGATCACGCGATACCGAGTGTTCTGAAAGGTGATGGATTGCCGGTCCGTATTGTTATCCAGTCGAGAAGAGGAGGGGGTTTTGTGGGAGAAACGATGTTGGGGGGTCTGGACCGGCGTAAGAGATGGCGGAGGCGGAGGCGACGCGGCAGAGATCGAAAGGAGAGTGGAAAAACCGGAGCGGCGACGGGTCGGAGGAGGCGGTGGGCGCAAATCTGACGAACAACAATCGCGTGGTAGAAAGCACAAAGATACACACTCAACGCAGAGATAGCTTAAGAGATACGATAAATAAATCAATAATATTTGGACGGATAGTAGGATATCATACGCCCACAGTCGATCCGCATGAGGGAAAAGGAAAGGGGAGAATGGCATCAACTCCTTTGGGTTGGGGCGGTGGGTGTTAGTCAGCCACAGTAGTCCGGTACTTAACTATTTAGGTATAGTTCAGTAAACACACACTGACAAGGAGTCAGTTTCCTGACTCAACAACAAATAATCTTCCCGATTGTCTGGAGTAAATCATCTCGCGGTGAGTGAATCCGCTAAACCTTTTGAGAACAGGCCGGAAATCAACTAGGCTACCGGATTCCTCCCGAGTCGGTGCTTTCTTTGTCCCATCCTATCTAGTGTGTTAGATCTTCTTCGTCTGGCGAGTGGTACTCCACCATTTCAAATACTATTTGCCTCAAGGATGCCCGCTTTCCTCCTGGCTGATTCCTTTTTTGAGCGCTGCGGTACATCATAGCGGGCATTATTATTTACTCCTATAACTTAACGGTCTACTTATTTGACTCATCCTATATGACATGGTACTACGAAGTACTAAGGTCGGATAAATACAATACGCGTGGGCGGATATGTGGGCCGGATTTATAGTAGGCTGGTTTGGGTAGTTTCTTGCCTTCTCTATACATCATATAGTCTTCTAGTGATAGTCGCTTGAAAATAAGACAAAATAGAGTAATGATCAGTGATAGTCTGGATCTCCAAGTGTTCCCAAATAAGATAGAATGATGAAATAAAAGAAGCATTATAGTTCTAATAACATATTTCAAACAAGGACTCGTGACTTGTCTATAATCACCGGCTGTAGATCTCATATTCCTTCACCCTTTTCCTCTTTCTATTTCGTGCGAAACCTGCGGTAACCCCAAAAAGGTGTTCGGTATTTGTTACTTATTTAATCCCGCGTGGGTCTCAAGAGCACCAGTTAGTATCAGTTATTTGATTTCCTTGCTTCCCTAGGCCAATGAGTAAACACATTGTGGTTTTTAGTGCACAACTGGTGTCCATGTCTGCCGATAATATCAGTCATATCAAGCCCGACGAAATACCGATTCGGCATTGGTACAATGGCCGATCTCTGAACAGAGCATAGCGATTGATGTCACCGAGTAGCCCGGCATTCGCGATACTCCCGCGGCCTTCATTTAGATAGCGCAACCATCCTTGATTGTAAGTAAAGACTGAGATAAATATCGGTCTCATCCTGGGCTAGTCGAACTCGCTCGCTTATCGTTTCTTGGTCCACCAGGGTACTGCTTCATCCAAACCACTATATATATAAACAGCTGGAGAATAGTATTGCCGCGGCTATGGGTTACACTCGACGAGTGCCAAATGCGACAACTGGACGTCTCTTGTTGTCCGCCGGTATATGCAACAGACTGCTTTTCCCGTCGCTGGGTGCTAAAGCCAGCCGTTAAGCGTATTCTATCAGCTGTCCACTGGCGCCCGGACTGAGGAAATAGATCCGCAATGGCTTGTAAGAGAATGAGACGAAAGTAGTGTTAACAGCAGATTCGTAGGCACACCAAAAAGCAACTTGCTCAGCCTTGTTGCGAATTACCTGCTGTTGTTGGATCGCTGGGGTCCTGAACAGTCTGCCATGGCCCCCCTGTTGCATGGGAGGAGGATAGCCCGGAAGAGCAAATACTGCTTGTAGGTGACTTTCGACGCAGAACACAATTTCTCGTTCATCCACAGGGATTGGTGTTCCTTGAATTCAACGGTAAAACCGTCTCCATTCTCTTTCCGTCATGGGCAATGGGTCATTAGCCATTCTGATGGCGTGAGCTGGCTTAAGAGAAACAAGAGTGAGTAAATATTTCAATTAATATAGAATGTTGAATGTAAGGATATGTTGATGACGAAAGTAGTCACCAGTAAGTTGCTAGGTGGGTTGTTCAGTATTGGAAAAGATTTGCTTGCTGATAGGCAGGTTCTGGGTTTGCTCTTCCCCGCTCGACCCTCACGCCGCGGGAAGCTCAGCGATTACTTTTCTCTTCCAGCTTCAATCATTCCCCCGACACATTTACCGGGTTAGTCCAACATTGAGCTGGATATTGATTCAGGCTTTTTGGATATGACAAGTACATGCATCTTTTTAAATAACACTACCTATACTTAGCCCAACATGTTCAAGAAGAAGCCGACGGTGTGTGAACCCCTCCCCCGCACTGTTCTCGCAAACTGCACCACCACATTTGAGCCCCCACCACATGAATAACTTACCCTACACGACGACGCGCTAACACCAAGGAGATCAAAAATATTTCCCCGCTGCGGTCTTCAGATCGTCGGAAAATCGCCGATCAGATCATACGTGACTACAAAGTCGAGATCCCGTCCAACCCTCCCCCCGAACGTAGCGGGGATGATTCAACCGATCCCGGCGCATCTGCCCCCCAAACCCCCAATCTCACTACCATCCGGAATGCCTTACTGCCCGAGAACTCCTCGTCTGCGCGCTTCACGACCACAGCAGGCCCACAGTTGAAGGAGGTCCAGGGCACTGTGTATGTGGGGACTCATACTGGAGGCGATGAACGGATCCTGTGGTTTAGACTAGATCATGGTCCTGGTGCGGACGGTCGCTTATATCCCACGGTATATACGCTCTGGAACAATCCCAACCTGGTGCCCTTGCTTTACACTCCGGAAATGGTGATGCGGAAATTGCACGCGGGCGCGGATCTGATGACCCCCGGTCTGGCAAACGAGCCACCCTTCCCTCAAAGGGCTGTGAAGGGGGCCGTGGTTGCTGTCGCGGGCTTGGACCGTTGGTCTGTGCCATTGTTTGTGGGGGTTTGTGAGATCGATGTCTCGTCTCTTGGGGAGGTACAGGGTACAAAAGGCCACGCGGTTAAAGGTTTGCATTGGGAGGGGGATGAGCTGTGGGCCTGGAGTTCGTCTTCTCGGCCTGGTCAGCCAGCCCCCGAGTATCTAGAAGGCTGGGATGAGGAGAAACAGGATCAAGACGCATCTAGTGCAGGAGAGGTACAGGAGGGTGTCGGTGGCCTTACCTTGGATGAGAAAGAGAATGGGGAAGGGTTTCCCGGACCTTCGGAAGATCAACCAGAAGAGACGACGGCTACCGAGAAGGAGCCTTCGATGAAAGGTACGCTATTTCCAAAAAAATCTCAAATTTTGTCTAGGACAATGCTGATGCTGTGCAGAAATCGACGATGCTTTTGAGAAAGCTTTCCTTTACTCTCTACACAAACTCAAACAGGATAACCCCACATCGCCCAACCACGGGCTTTCTCTTCCTGTGCAGCCCTCTGCCCTGATATCTAACATGATCACGCCATATCTGCCAATCTACTCAGCCCAGCAGATGCAGTGGTATCAGATCAAGAAGACAAGCTGGAAGAACGTCAAGAAGTTCATCAAATATCTCGACAAACAGCGCCTAGTCAAATCGAAAGATCGCAACGGGCAAGAGACCGTCATCCTGGATGTGGACTTCGACGATCGCCGGGTAGACGAATTTGTCCCTTATAGGCTGCCGTCGAAGAATGCCATCGAGAATGCAGGAAAATCTGCCTCGAACAAGAAGGCTCCGGCGACAGATGACCATGATCCTTCAGTCGGCCAGACAATCACGGTGCAAAACCTTTATCGACCCACCGGAAAACTGGTGCCGACCATCTTTCCGGCCTTGTCTGCAACTCACCCGGATAACTACTATAAATACACCGATGTCTCCAGTCGTTTAGATCAGTATATCCAATCCCAAAACCCACCGATTGTTGACAAGGGAAACCGTCGCATCATTTCAGTGAATCCATACCTTGCCAACACCATCTTTACGACATCAACTTCCGAGGACAAGAGCACCTTGGCACGTGGAAAGACCACTCGAGACGGCCTTTTGAAACGCATCGTCGAAGACCACGGCCTCATGACAGTCCATTATGTCATTCTCAGACAAGGTCAAACGATGGCCGACGTCAAGCCCAAAGCCGGCACAGCACCAAAGGTCAATGTGACTCTTGAGCGGCGGACGGGGTCTAAGACCGTCACCAAGGTCTTCAATCTGGAGATATTTGGAATCATCCCTACCTTACTGGCCGAAGAGCTGCAAAAGAAGTGTGCTAGCAGCACCAGCGTCACACAGGCTACAGGGGCCACTAAGGGTGTGATGGAAGTTTTGGTACAGGGCGACCAACGCCGTGCATTGGAAACCGCTCTACTTCGGCGGGGACTGAAGACGCAATGGATTGACGTGACGGACAAGACCAAGAAGAAGAAATAGACCTCGGTCAACGGACTCGGGTAGTGTACAAAGGCGACGATAGCTTATTATGGTTGACTTGACTATTCCGCTGGTACCATTTTACACTTCATAGCAATTTGATCTGACCCTATCATGAAATCACATGATGTATACTTTCCTGCAATTGTTCGCAGAGGTGATGGCTTTTCGCTGGAATGAGGGGCTTCGGCAAGCCAGGACACATGAACCCTCATACTATGATATCCCATTATAGATGCCTGGTACAGAATAATGTCTTGGGGATGAATTGGGAACGTATTAAACAATCCCGCTTTTTATGCCCCAGGCGCTGGTGGTGTCAAGACCACAATATACGTATCGTCACTCGAGTAGTAGAACGGGGACAGATACTAACATCTGAGATATGTCACCTACTAGGGCTAGGTCCATCGAAAATAGTCTGAGCATGATAAGTATCTTTTGTTCGTGTCTGTCGGGCTACTTTGAATCAGTACTCAAGCCCCTACTTACCTTACCACCAAGTACTAACCTACCTCCAGTCCAGTCTGCGTGCGCCTGCCATTTTGGGACCGCACGTACACACCCGTCCTGGAGCTTGATGGCTTGCTCTTCACACGTCCATTGGAACTCATTTTCTGAGAACTCCCAAGCTCGCGACTCCCAATTCACCATCTTCGTTACAATTATTTTCTTAACCCTACATCTATTCCATCGTGCTCTGTGAAAAACACTTTCTTTGGTTTTGTATGAATCATTCGTTTCCCAGCTTTTGTCTATTGTGGTCAACGTGGTCAAGATATCTCTCCTCCTGAAAAGCGCAGCCCTTCTTCAGACGACAGATACGGCGATCAAGTCTTCTAGCAAAGGTTCGATCAAAGCCAACACGGTCTCTATACTTGCTCCATTCCGACAAGTCGACTCTTTGATGCGCTGCTTCCGTCTTATTCCTAGTTACGCATATCGCCATATACTATAGAACGCTTTTTGGAAGGGAGGTGAGGACCATGCATGTGCCTGAAATTGGCATTCTAGGATTGAAGGCGCTGCCCCGGAACATATTAGCGATGGGCAAAGATGATGGAACCGGGCTCTTGAGGCCATGGCCTCCCAAAGACGTAGGGTCTATTCCTTGTCCTTTTATCTCCTCAATGATCGCGTGTCCCACAGCTGATGGATGGTTCAGATAGCATATATGTCGATTGCCATGCCACTTTTACTGGCGGCATTTCTGGAATGGTTCCTGTTTCTAGCAGCCTTCTTGTACTGCTTTGTCAAGGCCTACCAGAAGGCAGACCGCTGGAGTATCAAAGCTCTCGCAGTGGTTCTTATAATTATTTTCTCTATGCTAAGGTACACTTATGATCAGATTTGTTTGACAGGACATGGTACTAATGGATCGCCCAAAGAGGTATTTTCCTCCCGGTTATGCTTGTCACTCTTCCATTGCCGGCTCAGATCACACGGCGTTACCCCAAGCGAATGATCTCCTTCCTTCAGTGGTTTGCATTCTGGACGTTTGCCACGCTTCTGACTTTACCCTGGCTTTTTTGTGTCTACAGGGTGGTCACAAGCTCATTGGGGCGCACAAAACGAATCAAAAACGCCCTAGACGACCGTACAGCGCCCAAGACAGTTATTGTCATCCCAGTATACAAGGAAGACCCGGAGATTTTGGTAAAGGCCATCGATTCGGTTGTTCGCAGTGACTATCCATCATATTGCATTCATGTGTTCCTCTCGTATGACGGAGACGCCATCGACGAATCCTATCTCCAGGTCATCCATCACCTTGGTATTCCCATCGCATTTAAAGACCATCCGCGAAGCATAGATGTGACTTATCGAGGCGCCAGAATTACAGTATCGCGCTTTGAGCACGGAGGAAAACGGCATTGCCAGAAACAGACATTTAAGCTAATCGACCGAGTGTACTCGGACTACCTTAAACACAACGATAATCTCTTTATGCTGTTCATTGACTCTGATTGTATCCTCGACAAGTTGGCTCTTCAGAATTTCATGTACGACATGGACCTGAAGCCGGGCAGCAAGTCCAACATGCTAGCTATGACAGGGATTATAACTTCCACCACAGAAAATAACTCTCTTCTCACTGTGCTTCAGGATATGGAATATATCCATGGTCAGCTCCTCGAGCGTTCCGTGGAGTCGGGCTGCGGCGCTGTGACTTGTCTCCCTGGGGCATTGACAATCTTACGGTTTTCGGCCTTTCGAAAAATGGCCAAATACTACTTCATGGACAAAGCCGAGCAGTGTGATGACCTTTTCGATTTTGGGAAATGCCATTTGGGCGAAGATCGTTGGTTAACACATTTACTTATGATAGGGGCCAAGGAACGCTATCAAATCCAAATGTGCACCAGTGCATTCTGCAAAACTGAAGCAGTCCAGACATTTCGCAGCCTTTTGAAGCAACGGCGTCGTTGGTTCCTCGGGTATCTGACCAACGAGGTGTGCATGTTGACTGATACTCGCTTATGGAGGCGGTACCCTCTTCTATGCCTGGTTCGCCTTGCGCAGGATACAGTTCGGACGACAAGTCTATTATTCCCCGTAATGGTTATCTCACTCATTACCACCTCGCACAGGGTGGAAGACCTTCCTGTAGGATTCATTGGTGTGTCTCTAGGGCTCAATTACCTACTCATGCTCTATTTTGGAGCAAAGCTGAAGCGATACAAGGCTTGGCTTTATCCACTGATGTTTATATTGAACCCATTCTTCAATTGGCTCTATGTGGTGTATGGAGTTTTGACTGCCAGCCAACGAACATGGGGAGGACCGAGAGCAGATGCTGCCAAAGCAGACGGAGATACCACCTTTGGAAGGGGAAGTTTGCAAACTAAAGCGCAGGATCATGAGATGATCGCCTGGATTGATCCATTTCAGACAAATACAGACGAGGAAAAGCCATCCATTCACTTTGAAGATCACACCGAGGAGTATCTCCCATCACACCACCCCGGGATCTACAAGTCTAAGCGATATGATTTGGATACCTCTGTCCCGAGGCTTGCGGCCAACCCTGTCGACGTCCCTCTCCATCCGTACTGCTCAGCCAATTCGGCCCAAACGTGGGATTCTGGATCAGAGTCTATCTGTTTGCCACAACATGTGGAGTGCCTAACCGGCGTTGGAGATCCAATAAAGCACGTTCGAACTCGAAGAGCACATGATTCCGTGGCGGCTTCAAGTCGATGCAGTTGCCAGGATGTTGATAATGCGCTGGAAAGCCCAATATCCCAATCGACCGGGTATACTGAGCTTTCTGGTACAATTAGTCCAATTGTACCATGCCAGGGGACCCGAAAACAGCGGAGAGCCGCAAAGGACAACAGCGATCGTGTCCCAATACCACTGAGCTACCAAGATTTCGGGCCCCGATACCCACAGCCACGAGCTGCGAGGGGAATCTATGAGCGTGATCTCGGCATAGGACGCCATCCAGAGAACTTGGGCACTCCGATTTAGACAGTGAGCGAACGATGAACAAGAACAAGTTCTTGAGAAGCATCCTGGGGGAATGAATGTCCGGACTGAGATGAGTTAGAAGTTGAACGAGCGCTGTACTTTTCTTCTTTCTTTTGAACTCTTCTCCTTCTCCTCTGTATTACCATGGTCCATAAGTGTCTGTCTGATTACTTTTATATTTGTATAGTATATACCTACGGTGATCCCGAGCGAGGAATAAGGTCGGCGCAGCCCTTATTGATTATCACTTTCTTCAAGCAATTCAAATTCTGGGTCTTCCATGAGATCTTACTATATAACTCTTAGTGGGAAGACTTTATTGCACGGTTGCGAAGGCGATAGGTCTAGATTGGAGGGTTTGCAGTAGTGGCATGGTTCCGTTTGGCTTCCAGTCTTCATATGCCGAGCCCTTGATATCCGGATGTTATCGGCAACGTGCACGACACATGAGACTCATGTTGTCCGACTGCATATGGTGCTTGACTTGTACATACCATGCCACGTGGATAGGCCCTGAAACACTACGGATATACTCCTAGGTAAGAAAGTCCTATGATGTGGAACGTGGGCCTACACCGTAGTACTGCAAGAGTAGTATCCTTGAAAACTATGACATAGGATGGTTCCACATGAAGCAGGAGCCAAGAAGCCAAGAAGCCAAAATAAAAACCCGTCTGTTCATCTTAATCAAATTTGGGAGGGAAAGAAAGAGGAAAATGTCCTCGACAAAGGGAGGGCAGAGGGTGTATGAAACCTGTCCAACTGATCAGTCCGATCAACCTGTCACATGTGACTAACTGGATTGGACGGCCAAAAGATTCTGCCACCGCTTCGGGACAACAGGAAGTCCACTAGTAGTTTGTCTTGTCTAATGAAGTGACTAGGTAAGCTGGGCATTAGCTAATAGCAAGAATTAATTACGTGGTTTGTGCCCATTGTAGAAAAATAAAACTCTGATCGTTACTACCCAATGGGTTAACATTATTAATATTATTCTATCGATAAGCCACTGGGTTTGCCCCGCCAAGGCGGTGAACCGCGGGTTCTGCAGGGGTGGGCGCAGGCGGTGAAGGGCGGAAAGGATCCAGCAGGAGCTAGAAGGTTCGACGGGATATGATCACTCTGGCCTCTATAGTTGTTGAGAATGGGCTCAGGGTATCATTTGGACTTTATAGGGTTATATATTCTGTATAGAATATGTCATTTTCTTCTATCCTTTCTAGTTTGTACAAAAATTCACGAGATTAAATAGTGTGGACAAAGTACAGTCAAGTTCGTGTGGTTGATACGGACGAGCCAGGACAGCCCACGTCGGCACTAGCCACATCTGCAATCCGTCATCGCCTTTCCCCCCCAAATGGTGGCGGCGCTCTGGAAAATCTCCCCTCCTGCTTTCTCGCTCTTTTCTGCCTCTGCATTCTCCCACTCTCCTCCATATCACATTTATTCCACTTTTCTTCCCCCTCCCCCTCTCTCTTCCTCCTCTCACCTTTCCCACCATACCATCCATTTTTCTCTAGACAATGAGTGTCGTCGGCATTGATTTCGGTGCGCAGAGCACCAAGATTGGTGTTGCCCGTAATAAGGGTATTGATATTGTGCGTATATCTTATGCCCTTATCCAAGCTTGACTTGCTACCCGTTCCACCCCGGTGTGGACGCCGTCACTGCCTGGACTTTGCTAACGTCGCAATGTGTGATTTAGATCACAAATGAAGTTTCCAACAGATCTACCCCGTAAGTCAATTGTTTTGTCTTCCTCCTGTCACTTTTCTTGGGGGAAGTTTGCATGGGGTGATAACTAGATAACTGACTTGATTCCTTTAGCACGTTGGTTGGGTTCAACGCTAGAAGCAGAGCCATCGGTGAGGCAGCTAAGACGCAAGAGACTTCCAACCTGAAGAACACCGTCGGCAACCTGAAGCGCTTGATCGGCCGTTCCTTCAACGACCCCGATGTCCAGCTCGAGCAGGAGTACAACACTTGTCGCCTCTGTGACGTGAACGGCCAAGCAGGTGCCGAGGTTAACTACCTGGGAAAGAAGGAGACTTTCAATGCCACGCAGCTCGTGGCCATGTACCTGACCAAGATCAGGGACATCACCTCCAAGGAACTGAGACTCCCGGTCTCCGATGTCACAATCAGCGTTCCCGCCTGGTTCACAGATGTTCAGCGTCGGGCGATGATTGACGCCGGTGAGATTGCCGGCTTGAAGGTCCTGAGACTGGTCAACGACACTACCGCCACTGCTCTCGGCTATGGTATCACCAAGGTCGACTTGCCCGGCCCCGAGGAGAAGCCCCGCCGAGTGATGTTCGTCGACATCGGACACAGCGACTACACCGCCTCCATCGTCGAGTTCCGCAAGGGCGAGCTCAACGTGAAGAGCACGGCCTACGACCGTCACTTCGGTGGCCGTAACTTCGACCGCGCTCTGACGGAGCACTTTGCCAACGAGTTCAAGACCCAGTTCAAGATCGATGTCCGCACGAACCCCAAGGCTTGGGCTCGTACCCTGGCCGCCGCGGAGAAGATGAAGAAGGTTCTCTCCGCCAACCCCGCCGCCCCGATGAGCATCGAGTCGCTCATGGACGATGTCGATGTCCGTTCCATCGTGAAGCGTGAAGAGCTGGAGATCATGGTCAAGCCCCTGCTGGAGCGCGTCACGGACCCTATCCAGGAGGCCCTTGCCGAGGCCAAGCTGAAGCCCGAAGATATCGATTTCGTCGAGATGGTTGGTGGCTGCACGCGTGTGCCCGCCATCAAGGACGCCATCGCCGAGTTCTTCGGTGGCAAGACTCTGTCGTTCACTCTCAACCAGGATGAGGCCATCGCTCGTGGTGCCGCCTTCAGCTGCGCCATCCTGTCCCCCGTTTTCCGTGTGCGCGACTTCGCCGTGCACGACATCGTGAACTACCCCATCGAGTTCACCTGGGAGCAGTCCGCCGATATCCCGGATGAGGACACCAGCCTGACCGTCTTCAACCGTGGCAATGTCATGCCCTCCACCAAGATCCTCACCTTCTACCGCAAGCAGCCCTTCGATCTGGAGGCTCGCTACGCCAAGCCCGAGATGCTCCCCGGCAAGGTCAACCCCTGGATTGGCCGCTTCTCCGTCAAGGGCGTCAAGGCCGATGCCAACGACGACTTTATGATCTGCAAGCTCAAGGCTCGCCTGAACCTGCACGGTATCCTGAACCTCGAGTCCGGCTACTACGTCGAGGATGTCGAGGTTGAGGAGCCCGTTCCCGAGGAGAACGGTGATGTACGTTCTGATCTTCCCTTTTTCACCCCCTTGCGTCCCCCACCAGTCAAGTGACATGCTAACATGCAATCAGGCCATGGACACCGACAACGCCAACGGCGAGCAGCCCAAGAAGACCCGCAAGGTCAAGAAGCAGGTTCGCAAGGGCGATCTGCCTATCTCTTCCGGCACCTCCTCCGCCGAGGAAGCCGTGAAGAACGACCTGGCCGAGAAGGAGAACAAGATGTACATGGACGACAAGCTGATCGCCGAGACCGACGAGAAGAAGAACGAGCTCGAGTCATATATCTACGAGCTGCGTGACAAGATCGACTCCGTCTATGGAGACTTTGCCAGTGAGGAAGAGAAGGACAAGCTGCGGGCGAAGCTGACCGACACCGAGGTATGATTCTCTCCCAACCCTACGAACCTACCAGGCACCGATACTGACTTGCCATGCAGGATTGGTTATATGAAGACGGTGAAGACACCACCAAGTCCATCTACGTCGCCAAGATGGACGACATCCGCTTCATCGTGGGCCCCATCGTCCAGCGCTACCGCGAGAAGGCCGAGGCCGAGGCCGCGGCCATCCAGAAGGTCAAGGACGAAGAGGCCGCCAAGAAGCGCGCCGAGGCAGACGCCAAGCGCAAGGCCGAAGAGGAGGCTAAGAAGGCTGCGGATGCCGCCAACAAGTCCGATGACAAGACCGACGCGGAGATGAAAGATGCCTCGGAGGGCCAGGCCGAAGAGAAGCAGTAGAAAGTGTCGCCTATAGAAGAACCGCCCGCCTTATATCAGTGAGGCCGAGATTCACATATTCCTGATGACTATGGCCATGAACAAACAAATCAATTATTGACCCCAAAATCGTCATTATTTTTTTATTTCATTTTTTTTTCTTTCCCTTTGTTTTATATTCTTTTTACCTCTTGATTTTTACCGCGAGATTGGCCAGCTGGTGTAGAATGACTTTTGGCGATGCTTTACGTGATGACTGGACTGCCTTTCGGGCCCGATGCAAAAGCAATTGGCCAACGAAACGAAAACGAACTGGACTGGACTCCTGTCGGTGTCGGTCTTATTTATTAGAAGATGACGGTGTTGGGATGGAATGGAAAAGTGAAGACCTAGATCGAGCATTGTGCATAGACCACGGAAAAGGAGACATTTTTACTTAGGTACATTAGGAATAATAGGATTCTGTCATGATTGCATGTCATAATGGGTTTGTAAGTTTTCAATCTAGGATAATTAGGATAAAGCAAGGAAAGTAAGAAAGAAAGAGAGCAAGAGACTAAAGGGTGTTATTGTCGAGGCTCGAACTGGGCTGGTATCCGCTTCGCCACCCACTATGTCGTCCACACTTTGACATACCAGCAACTGCTAAATATATGAGCAGACATGACTTACAGGTGGGTGATAAGTTCTAGTTTTGGACTCATGTAGTGCTAGTACCGGACTCCATTGATATCTGCTAAAAGTAGACAAGACCAGCCATCCCCACCAGCCCCCTAATAAACAACCCATCAAAGACAAGGCTAAACCAAGCCAAAAATAAACCCAAGTGGGGGAGTTTCTCCGACAGACGAGGGTCCCCGGCCACCGACGGGAAATCGTTCATTTTAGCCCGCGATGATCCCACCACCAAGCTCGATTGATCTTCAGGAACGCGGCGTTGATTGCCTTGCAGTGTGATCCAGTCACGTGAGACGGACTTAGTGTTGTTATCTCCGGATGACAAAGCGGGGATGGGATGATGGAATGTCATCGAAGGAGTGGATGTTGCCTCCGGGTTGAGTTTATTATTATATCTACGACTGCATAGCGTTCGCGTTCTTCATTGTACATTTGTACTAATTTGCTTATATGACATGATCATAACCACTTCATCTCTGCAGATACAAATACAGCCAGAAAACCACGACTGAAGAGAAACAATATGGACCTCACAATCCACCACAGCGGCACCCCGCACAGGCTACACCTGCCAGACCCAACAACAGCAACCCTCCAAGACCTAGCATCACAAATCGCATCCACCCTGCACATCCCCCCGGAGAATCAAAAGCTCCTGATTGCCCCCAAACCAGGCATGCAAAAGCCCCCCTTCGCAGCAACCCCGCTCCACACACTCATCCCCATCCCGCTCGACTCCCCCCGCCTCAAAATCACCCTCTTCGGCACGCCCACAGAAGCTATCTCCGCCCTGCACGCCCAAGGCGAATCGACCCGTCGACAGGCAGAAGCGCGCGCGCAAGCACTCGCTTCTCAACGCCAGCGCCAAATCAAACCAACATCATCAACAGCACGAAGCGGCGGCATCCACACCCTCTCCGGCGATAGCAAAAACTACACCTTCCACACCCTCACCCCCCTCCCGTACCTGCCCAACCCCAACCGCTCCCTCCAGTTTTTGACCCGCCTCCGCGACGACCCGGGCATCCGCGCCGCCATGACAAAGCACCAGTTCTCCGTGCCGCTGCTCACGGAAATGGACCCCGCGCTGCACACGACGAGCGACTCGCGCACGCTCGGCCTCAACCGCAACAATGGGGAGGCGATTGAGCTGCGTTTAAGGACGGACGCGTACGACGGGTATCGCGATTACAGGACGATTCGCAAGACGCTGTGTCATGAGCTGGCGCATTGTGTGCATAGTGAGCATGATCGGGCGTTTTGGGACTTGACGGCGCGCATTGAGAGGGAGGTTGAGGGGGCGGATTGGTTGAGTGGGGGGAGGAGGGTGGATGAGGGGGAGTTCTATAATCCGGGGGAGTGGGAGGGGTTTCAGGGGGGTGGGGGCGTTGTTGATGAGAGGGGGTGGAGTGGGGGGGAGTTTGCGCTTGGTGGTGGAAGTGGGAGGGGGAGGGTTGGTGGTGAGGTTGTGGAGGGGAGGAGGGAGATGTTGGCTAGGGCTGCTGAGGAGAGGATGAGGAGGGAGAAGATGGAGGATAAAGAGGGGGAGGGGAGGATGGGAGGGCTTGATTTAGTTGACTTGATGTAGGAAGATTGATTAAGATAGATTATGAGATATGAATAACGTGACTTCATTGAGATACACATATTTCCTATATGCTATCTACCGACATTTATTTTGCCATTGTACAACCGTAAGTCAAGGATGGATCCAAAGGTCTATCTATGCCAAAGCGTATCCAAGACGCAAGCACAATCAAATCTGCTCATTCACGAACAGCCCAGCCATACCCTGCCCAGTCCCAATACACATACTAGTGACCAAAACCTTCTTATTAGCACGACGCGCCTCGCTCAGCGCGGTACAGATCTGGCGCGCGCCCGTCGCTCCCAGCGGATGGCCAAGCGCGATGGCGCCACCACGGGGGTTCACCTTAGCGTGGTCCAAGCCCAGGTTGTTGACGCAGTAGACAGCCATGGACGCAAAGGCCTCGTTGATCTCGTAGAGGTCGATCTCATCCTTGTTGAGGTTGAACTTGGTCAGCAGCTTGGGAATCGCCGCCGTGGGGCCGATCCCCATGATGCGGGGCGGCACGCCGGCGACGGTGGCGCCGCAGAATTTGGCCAGGATGGGCTGGTTCAGCTCGATGGCTTTGGAGCGGCGCATGAGCAGCAGCGCGGCGCCGCCGTCGGTCACTTGGCTGGAGTTACCGCCGGTGCTGCGGTTGCCGAACTGGGGGAAAGCGGGGCGGATTTTCGCGAGCGATTCCGCGGTGGTGCCGTAGCGGACGCCCTCGTCTTTGGAGACAGTGATGGTCTTCACCTCGCCGGTCTTGGGGTCCTTGACCTTGGTAGTGACCGGAAGGATCTCGTCGTCGAACCAGCCGGCCTTCTGGGCGGCTTCGGCGCGCTGGAACGACTCCGCGGCGTACTTGTCCTGCGCTTCGCGCGGGATGTTGAAGTCCGAACCGACGTTCTCGGAAGTCTGGCCCATCGGCTGCATGCAGTCGGCGGCTTCCTGGTTCTTGAGGACCTCTTCGTTGAAAGGGCGGCCGATACGGTCTCCGTTGGAGGACATGGATTCCGCGCCCACGGCGACTCCGATGTCGATCGCTCCGAGCTGGATCTGGTTCGCGATGTCTTGCACGGCCTTCAGACCGGATGAGCAGAAGCGGTTCACGGAGGAGCCGCCGGCGGTGTGGGGGATACCGGCTGCAAGGGAGGCGGCGCGGACGAGATAGGCGGCTTTGCCGTCTCCGACCTGTTTACCATTGTATCAGCTTGTGTTGGGTTGATGATTGAGGGGAACTGAGAGGAGAAGGAGAATAACAACGTACATTGCCGAGACAGACATCCTCGATCAGAGCGGGATCGATCTTCGACTTGGCGATCAGCTCCTTCAGCAAGACGTAGACGAGGTAATCCAGTTCGGTGTCCTTGAAGCTACCCTTGAAGGCTTTGGCCAGGGGAGTACGCATCGCAAAGGTGATGACAATGTCATCGGGGTTTTTCTGGGTGCTTCTGGCTGTCAGAATACGGTCTAATTGATACAATAGCAGCTCAAGAATACTCACACAGCATTGATACCGCTTCCACCACCAGGCTTGAGGTGGCTCAGGATGGAGCTCAGACGATCGGCGGCCATTTTGTTCAGTATGTGGGTATGGTAGTTGATTCACAAATGTGGATTGGATTGTAGGACTAGAAGAGTGGTGTTAGTGAGGTAGAGCTAGGAGGTGGTCTGAGAATGCGGGGAAACCCCGATAAATTGGGGTTGCAGCCGGGTTACGCACGGAGTTGGAGATGGGGTTGTGGATGTATGAGATGGAGTGTAGGAAAAGAGGAAGAAGGGTACCTACACAGGGTTTAAATAGTAGAGTGGAGAGGACAGGGAAGAGTGATCAAGGAAGAAAGAAAGAAAAGCGGAGAGACATCCAGAGTGAATGGTATTAGTATGTCATCGCAGCCGAGTGACAGCCGAGGCCCATCCAGTTCCAGTGTTATCCGATGGTTGTAGTCCCTGTATACCTGGCACACCTTCATGATTCAGTTAGATATACATTTGTGTAAATGATATCTAGTCATCTGCAAAGTCTCTTTGCTTCTACCTGTCTGTGAATTTATGTGAAGTAGTGTTTCCCATTGTCACCCAAGAAGTATTATTACTATGTCTGTTTACTCAAATACTAAATGACAGGAAGTCCACCTGATGCTATTCGTGAACTATTATGTAGAGTGGTAATATCTTCTTTGTGACTATCAGTGAATCTAAACAATCTTTATTCTGCTTTGTGATGTCCTACAGCAAATTACCTAAAAGAGAGGAAAGGGAAAAAGAGATCAAAAACTAATCAAAAACACCGCCAACTCCTCAGACACCTTAATCGAAATCCTGATCCTTCCGTGTGCGGTCCCAAATAGCGCCTATCATCTTTCCTAGCCCGCGGAAATTCCCAATGTCTATGCGCAGCGCTCTCTGCTGGTTACTTACAGCTATTGTTGATGGGGGATATCGTCTTGGCTAATCACACTTCCAATCTCCGACCAGCTGGCCGGGGTAGCAATACCGCCCATCGAGCGTCCCAGATCGCTAATTGTGCCGTCGGATGTCATATCGTCAATCGCAGATTCGTAGATCTGACTGAAACTTCCCGTAGTGGATGGCGTAGCTGGGCGATCTTCGCGTCTGAAGGCGGCGGGATCCATTTCTGACAGGTCTGAGAAGGGGGACCGCAACCCCCGCCCAATGTCGTTGCCTGAGGTCTCATGGTGTGGGTAAATCATCGGAGAGAAATCAACGGTGTGACTAGATGGAGAACCGGGTTGGCTGTGAGTCCGTAGGCCTTCTGCGTATAGATTCGGCTCGGGTCCGTCGGAGGTAGGGGTGTACTCGACCGGCGAACTACGGAAATTCTGAGGCGAAGGAATATCCAAACGTAATCCATCTTGACCAGAGACATTTTCGACAGACTTGCTTGACTCTGCTCCTTCCACCGGGATCAGCGTGTCTTTCTGCTTGCCTACTCCGCGCTGCGTGATAGACTGCGACCCTGCTGGTTCCACGGCGGTCGAGTTCGCTAGAGAAGAGCTATCCATCGTTGGACCCCCTTCATGGAGTAGACGACCGTCGTCATCGACCAGGGCATCAAACGACCCGGGACCTGCGCGTTCTTTCCGGGTCCGATGCTCAAGCAAGGATCGTCGGCGTTCCAGGTCCTCTCGGGCCATCCGTCTCCTCTCTTCAGCAGCCGTGCCGACTTCCTCGGTCATCGATATGTCCTGTCGAGCGGCGGAGGTGGCATTTTGTGGCTGGATCTCGTCGCCGAGATTATGCAAGGCAACCGCAATCTTACGGCGTGAATTGTCGACCCATTGTCGGAACTGAGGGGATTCGTAAACCGCAATACCCGCGGCGACGAGGGCTGAAACAGTAATGATAAGACCTGAAGTTCCGGTTAGCATAATTTGCGTCTTTTTGTTCTCGACCTGGTATTCTTTGTGTTGGTCCTTGGACTGCATGTGAATTGGGGGCCTTGCGGTAGTGGAAAGCATATCGTCATATCAACGACTGATAAGCACACCGCCCCGCTGAGTCTGAGGAATGCACCTAGTGCACCTACTAGGTTGCATTCGATGGGAGATGGGATACAACGTAGGAACTGCATCGAGCTCACCTTTTGCAACCGGTGAGGGCATCTCGATGGTTGCGTGTCTGACTGGATGTAGTTTGCTGATGTTCTTTGATAGCAGGCAGAAGATCCGATGTCATCGGCGACAAGGCGGCTTCGTTTCCCCGCCCTACCACGTGACCGCGTCCAGCCCACTGAACCAGAATAGTGCCCGCGTTTTTCCTCGCGTCACCACCGAGTAGACTTGTATACTTGCTTTTTGGGTTGTCCTGGATATCTTACAGGACTCTACCTTGATATTAAGAATTTGGAATCGTCATGTCTCGCCCCTCATCCATGTCACAGCGTCCTCTGACGCTCACTGAGGAATTGGAGAAACTGGAACAGTCAATCACACTGACGCTTCAAGGTAAACAATGAACTCACAATTATCTAACCCAATTGTCTATACTAATTGCACCTGGAATATAGAAATCGACCACAATTTTAGCCAGGCCCATCGCATCGTCACGACGAGCATTCTACCAGTCGTCGAACAATATGCCGAGAGCTCACGAGATGTCTGGGAAGGCGCCAAAGTTTGTCACAACATACCTGGAAGCAACAAAACCATGGAAAGCTAATCAAAACCGTCAGTTCTGGAAACAATTCTTCGAAGCCAGCGCCAACGTCTCCCTATCCGGCTATGAAGAGCGCCCCAACGAAGACGACTCCATGCGCGACCAAACCGTCACAGAGGACGACGAGTCCGCCAACGTGACCCAGACCACCGAGCACACATCCTACGAGGGGGCCTCGTCGGAACAACTAGACGCTCACCACCGCGGAGACGATCTGGACCTGACAGCACTCAGCCTGTCATCGCACAGCACCCCGCGCCACCCCCAGCAAGAGAGACTATCCCACGACAACGACACAACGGTCACCTCGTCGATCGCACGCCCCTCCCCCTACGAAACCCTGAAGCACGAAGTCGACGACTTCGACTCGCCACTCCCGCCCTCACGCCAATACGGCGCAGAAGAAGAATACGACCTCGACCACGATGACCTCCCCACCACCCCCGGAAGGGGCCAACCCCGGTACGGCGGGCCCTCCGACACGCCCACAATGTCCTCCTCGCCCTTCGTGCCGCCCGTCTCGCACGACGCCCACAAGTCCTCCGACCCCGTCATGCACCGCCTCCAGGACAAGACCTACCGCGTGCAGGCCACGCCCATCGGGAAGTCCTACGGCAACAGGCCCAAGTTCACCGTCACCCCGAAACAAACATCATCATCATCATCCCGATTCAACTTCGACTCCCCGCTCTCCAGCCCCGAGCTCGAAGCCCCACAGCTCAACTCAGAGATCTTCTCCCCCATCAAAGGCGACCCCGAGACTCCTAACATCAGCCGCAAGCGTCGTCCCAGCGGGCCCCGCTCACGCACAACCCCCAAGCCCGGTATCAGCGTCTTGACCCCAGCCAAGGGCAAGAAACCCGTCTGGGACAGTGACGACGATTTCGACGATGACGATATGGACTTTGTGGGTGGACCGAGTCCGCCTAAGACGATGCAGTTCCATATTCCTCAGAGCCGATTGATGAAAACACCCGGTTTGTCTTTGCCCCCTCACCTCACCTACGACCCTCCCAACAATCAAACACCACTAACATAAATAATCAAAAACAGCCAAAGAAGCCTCCAAACGCATCGTCGAAGACCTCCTCTTCTCAGCCGGCGCAAACGACACCACAGACGACCTCCCCGAGGACCACAGTCCGAGTGTGATCCGACGAGCGGAGCGACTGGAGGATGAGACTTTCTAATCCATTTTATATGGGTCAGGCACTGCTTTCATTATTCATCTCATCGGTCTTTAACGAACTTCATCACTTTATCTTATAGAAGTCACACTGACAATGGGATCTAAATGTAAATATTGAACACTGTTCGTGTATATCGGTTATCTATCATACTGTATACTTATACCTCAGATCGATCATGCTCATACGTCCTACGTATCGGGTGAGAAAGTAGCAGAATAGTACTGTACTTGGTGTACATGAGACCATTTAGTTTGAACGTCAGATTCCTACCTAGAATAGATAGACAGGCATAGAGTCGACAGCCCTAACAAGCTACCTACTTCCTACCTATCTACCTACCTTACTTCAACCTACAAACGGACCATCCCTACCGCACAACCAACCCTATTTAAAAAACTCAATAAATAGAATTAGCTTCGAACCTGCGGCATCAAACGGAAGCATACACTCTCTCTCACGCACACAAGGGTATATCAAGCGGGAGGCGCTGATCAAGTAAAAAAGAGGAGAGGTAGAGCTGCGAAGAAGTAATAATAAAACTGAGGCAGCCACGCCAGAGGGTATGGTATGTATGGTATGTACAAAACGTGGTGTAGTGTGTAGAGTGTCTGTCTGTCTGTCGGGGTATTCTAACGCTGAACGAGGGGGGGGGGGGTGGGTAGTAGTAGTAGCAGTAATAATAACAGGAGGCAGTGCGGCAATCAAGGAGGAAGAGAAAGAAAGAAAGAAACCGTCCAAGGCCGAGAACGAAGCAAACAACAGCGGAAAAGAATAACAAACACCCAAAAAGTCAATTGACTTAAACCTCCAATTTTTGAACTACCGGGTTCCCTTCCACGATGTTGATGATGAGTTGAGTAATAAGATGAGATGACTACCCCTGCAATCCCATAAATACCTCCTGGCAGTTATCCACCAGGAACTTGAGGACCTCGTTCTTCTTCTGCACGTCTGTCATCTCACGGGCCAGGCTCTGCGGCCGCATGATGGTCGGGGCAAACACCACGGCGATGTTCTGACTGCTCATCAGGTTCTCCTTCTCGCGCTCGACGACCCGCTTCAGGTGGAATACGAGGAATTCCAACACGTCCTGGTGCACGCGGGGCAGTTCGCGGAGACAGTTCTGTAGGCTCTCGATGCGAGCTGCGGTTGATTGGATCTCGCCCGTTTCGATGACCATGTCGTAGACTTCGTAGGTGATGAGTGGAGTGGGGAGTTTGCGGAAGTATTGCTTTAGTGCCGATGTCACGGCGTGGATATCCAGGTCGGGGTCGGAAATGTCGTAATCCTGCGGGGACTGCTCGAAGCCTTCCCGGATGGTTTGGATGGCGGATGCGGCTCCAGACTTGCGGTAAATACCCTCCATGTCCATACCTAGATTCTCCATTAGTCGGCTTCTTTCAAATGAGACGGGGGCGAAAGACGTACCTCGAAGTTCCACTTCTTGGATGCAGCGAGTGACGATAGCAGGGATGATGCTCTTCTCATACTCCATCCGCTGTTCCAAATCGGTGCCAAACAGCGCTAAAAACCAATCGTTAGCTACCACACCGTGATGAAAGGTAATTTGACATGATCCTTACTTGCGGGTCCATTTTCAGCAACAACCGGAACAGTGTCCGACTGGGGCATCCGACCACCTTGTTGCTTGTTCCGTTGGTTTCCAAAAAATCCAAATCCTTGGCGGCTAGGGTCCTGCGTCTGGGAGCGAGGTAGACCAGGCCCGCCTTCCACCGCGTTCTCGCTCGACATGAAGGCGCCCTTGATACCCTTGGTGACACCCTTGGCGACGTTCTGGCCGCCCTTCTTCCAGTTGAACTTGCGAGGCTGTCCCTTCCGGATGCTGACCACCTGCGGCCCTGGAAGGATGGTCGCGGGCTCCGCTTCTTCGGAGATGTTGGCCGTCGAAGCACCATCGTTGGCGCTTCGCAGGGCGTCGATGGACGACAGCGATTTCTCCTTGCCGTGCGAGTAGATGCCAAGCCCGTTGGCACCGCCTTTGCCTTCGGTGGGGGTGGCCTTGTAGAGTTCCTGGATCTGATGGACGAGCTGATTGTTCAGTTCAGCCAGTTGGGCATTCTTAGACGACAGCTGCTCGAACTCCTGGAAGCTCTTGTCCTTCATGCGGTTGAGATTAGCCAGCTCCTCCGCGGTGTCGTTCCGGCTCTGCACGAGCTCTTCAATCTGCGGCGTGAAGGAGTCCTTCAGCTGCTGGATCGATTCCACGAATTCCCGGAGAACGTGGTTGGTCAGCTTCCCCAGGTCCAGGTGACCGCTGCCACCGCGCTTTTCGGCTTCCAGATGGTCGGTCAGGACCGACAGCTCGCGCATGACGATCTCCTTCCGCGCATCCAGGACGACCATGGTCGACCGCTTCTCATTGAGCTCCGTGTTGACCTGCTTGACGTCCGCGGTGGCGTGCAGCACCGATTCCATCTCGGCAATCTTCAGCTCCCGCTCATGGACACGTTGGCGCTCCTTGCGCAACTCGCTCCGCAGCCAGGCGACTTCGTCCGCAGCCGCGGCGTCAGGAGAGACGGCGGGAGGACTCGCGATGCCCTGGAAGGTTGTCCCGTTAGCTGGTGATCTGGGCGACTTGGAATATCGGGAAAGACGAGAGCCCCTGTCGCTGAAGCTCCGACCGTGACGCACCGAATTTGATACACGGCGCAAAAACGAGTCGCTCGTCTGCGCGGGATGGGAGTCGTCGGGACCCATCAGCCGAGCCATATCCTCATCCATCGACAGGTCGCCGCCTGCGCTATACCGCAACAACGGGGAACCCGTGCGGTCTACTTGCTGGATGGTGGTGATCGAATTCGGGCGGGGTGGCCGGGATTGGTCCACGCCGACGTCGCCACGTGGAGTGCGCGATTCCCCGATCTTGGTCATGGTCTTGCTACGTTCATGCCACGTCTCACCGGATTGGACGGACGGTGGCCGGGGGGAGTGTCCGGCGGCGTCCCTCCGGGGGGCCTGATACAGTTTGCTCTCCAAGGAATCGCCTCGCCGGGGGAGATGATGGCTGCTACTCGACGACAGGAATGAGCGAGACGAATCCAGGGAGCCGCTCGTTTCATGGAGGCGACGGAGCTCATGCGACGGGCGCGTTGGGAAGGTCAGCGAGCTATCCGCCGCGGTCGATCGTTGCGAGCCGAGCGTGGACCCATCCTTCTGCAGCGTGCTGGACGATCTCGTGCTCTCCGGACTCGGGGACGAGAAGGTGCTGGTTTCCCCCCGACCCGTCCGCAATTCAGACCGGGAGCTCCGGACCGACTCGGACTTGGTACGGCTGGGGACCTGGGGGGCCTTGAACCCATCTCCCGGTGGAGCCCGCGCCGTACCGTTGGCGGTCGCCGCCAGATCATCCTGGTTCCAACGGCCCGGGTCCGCAGCGGCACGGTCCCGTCCCTTCTCTTGGTAGGCAATGTGAGGGGATGTGTGGCCGGACGGGAGAGAACTGTGACCGTCACTGGCGTGGTCGTGGTCGCACGACGGCCGTTGCTCTTCCGACGGATCGAATGCGACAGGGATCAGCAGTTCGCCGGCGCTGTCCGCTTCCGCCTCCCGGGGAAGCGTAGAGTGACGGTGGCTTCGGTAGGTACTCGAAGGAAGGATTAGATTGTCTAGAGAGAACAGAGGGACCGACCCTGTTAGAACTTCCGACCCTGTATGAGGACACGAAACCCGACTTCGGGGAAGAAGAACACAAACGCACCTGGCTGTTCGGCCGCGGGTCGAGGGGCCGCAGCGTTCGGGGTCTTGCCCGCGTCCAGCGCAGGAGCGGCACCTCGAGATGCCACCTCAGTCGTCGCATCCGCGTATGAATCCGCAGCGAGGTCCTCGGCGACCCTGCGGGAGAGCGACGCGGCTTCTTGGGGGGGCAAGGAGGGAAGCGATTTGTCCAGCTTCACGTTCGACGAGGGTGGTTTTTTGGACGTTGTGGCGCCTCGGTTCCGTTTCCGACGACGCTGCATCAAGGACTCATGGCAGTCCATGCAGAAGATGCCCTGGGAGGTGCGGGCATAGCGCAGGTTTTCGATCTTTCGTTTGCAGTTCCGGCAGCGAAAACATTGGGAGCAGAAGGCTTGCTCGCCGGTCAAGATGGCCAGGTCCTCGATCTTGTTGCCGCACGAACTGCAGCTATAGGTACAGTTGCTGCAGATGAGAGAGCCGTCTCCGAGAAGGAGCAGGTGCGCATCGGAGTCGAGAAGGGTGCCACAGGTGCTGCAGCAGAAGCATTCGATATGCCAGCGATTACCCGCTATAGAAAGAAATAGCGGTCAGCGTCATGTTTTCCAGTCCGGAGATTCCCAAAGCGACTCACCCAATTCAAAGGCCTTGCCTTCTTCGAGGATCTATGCACGTTCAAGCATGGGTTAGCATCTCGACCGGTCGATTCTCCAACGACGGGGTCCACGCTTACCTCGCCACAGCCCTTGCAAGGGAACGGGACGTCCTCCTGCTCCATTGGCGATTCCGGATAAACAGCGGGTGATTCCATAGTGAATGATAGCGCCGGGAGTTAACCAGCGATATGACTGCGATTCCGATCGCGACAGGGCTATCGTCCGAGTGTAAGGTGAAGGGGGAGGAGGAGGGGGGGGAAGTAGGAGTAGGCGAAGAGCGCGCCCGCGATAGAGTTGCCAAGAACGCCGGTGGAAGTTGGAAAGGGGAGTCAACAATCAAGCCCCGCATCCGACCAGACACATCAGCACCGTGAGCGAGATCGAGAGTTCAAATTAAAGGGGTGGTGAGAGCGAGGTCAAGGCGATCGACGGTAACGAGAGGTGAGTTTGGCGCGTGGGAGCGCAATTTCCCCAGGGTCTGATTAACGGAACAAGGAGGACTCGGACTAATAAGGACCATCAACTAACTGTCTGCGAACGGATCGACCAGGGTCCGGGGAGTAAGTCTGATAGTAGGGGAAAAGACAAGGATCGGAGGGGGAGGGGGAAGTAGTTATCTTTTTTTAAAAAAAGAAAAAAAAAACGAAGGAAGGAAACACAAGTACCCCAGATCGTAACGAGCAGGGGGGTTTGAGTGGGCGTTGCGGCGGGCGGAGGGGCTGGAACTTTGGCGGTGATGGAGACTAACGTACCATGCAGGAGAATAGGATGGGATAGTTGTCTGGAAGTATGAGACGGAGGATGTAGTCCGAGTGTGAGAGAAGGAGAGATAGAGGAGAAAGAAAGACCGAGAGGAGGAAGAGAGAGGAAGAGTAAGAGAGAGAGAGAGAGAGAAAGTGAGGTGAAACACAGCCGACGGTGGGAGAGGTTTCAATGTTTCAGGTAAACTCGCGCTCGATTCGGGCGGGAATAACAATCTCACCTTCCTCCCTAATTATCCTGGTTGAACTCAAACCAACCCAGTCCACTTGATCTATACCCATCCGTCAAATATATAGAAGGTAATTATGGATTTATCATCTAGATCTTAACTACAGATGATCATATGGAATAGATTCGAACGGGTATCGATTGCGCTGACCCATATATTAATAGAATAGACCGGCTCTATCCATGGAAACTCAACTCTCAGACCATCCAGAGTGGGGTTCCTGACTACCAACGAGATCGCTTCATCCCAGGGGCTGTGAAGGGGAAAGGATCAGGAAGAGTTGGATCTGCTAATCTGGTTGAGTACGACGAATACGAGTCCAGATCGCGTCTGACAGAGCTCAGACTCCAATGTCAGATACTAACTAGGTTAAAGAAACTACTGACTAGTACTAAGATAACGACAATCCTGATCGACAGATGGCTCCTGATCATCTAAGGAATACTAAATAAACCCGGTCCAGAACATCTTTCTATATTCAGCTCGTTCTGGATTCAACGATCTTGATTCTATATACAGACAGAGTACCCTATGTATGTACTGACTGCTATGTCCAACATCACGGTAGTAAGTAACCCTCTATTCCCCCAACGCCAGCAGATGTATAGGTATAATTAAGGACCATCCCATATATGCAGATGCACATGAGTCGCCAATATGTATGAAAATAATGCAATAATGCCTCCCCTTTCCCCTGTTTTCTTTAGGAACCAGTTATATCCCAAACGGAAGAGTGACGTTACGTCTCCAGCGACTGGTGGATCACGCTCGTCCGATACGTTTCACTCCGCTGGATCAATTCCTGGTGCGTGCCCTGTTCCGCACACCGGCCGTCCTCAATCAGATAGATCTGGTCCGCGCGGTGGATCGTGTTCAGCCGGTGCGCGATCGCAATGATGGTCGTCCGGCCGGCGAGCGTCGCGAGCGCCTCCTGGATGCGCTTCTCGGACTCAACGTCCAGCGCGCTGGTTGATTCATCGAGCAAAAGCAGGCGCGGCTTGCGCACCAACGCGCGCGCAATCGACAGCCGCTGCCGCTGTCCACCCGAGAACTGCTTCCCGTCGTGGCTGCACATGGTCTCATACCCCTGCGGCAGCGCCATGATGACATCGTGGACGTTCGCCATCTGACAGGCCTCCTCAATCTCCGCCTGCGAGGGCTCGTGGCCCGGGCAGGCGCCCAGGCCGATGTTGAACGCCACCGACCCCTCGAAGAGGACATTCTCTTGCGGCACCAGCGCGATGTCGTCGCGGAACTCGGTACCAAACTGGCGAGTGATGTCCACCCCGTCGATAATGACCGACCCCGCATTGGGTCGGTAGAACCGTTCCAGCATCGAGAAGGTGGTCGATTTACCCGATCCGCTCGGTCCAACCAGCGCGCAGAACTGCCCAGGCTGGATGGTGAGATTGAGCCCCTTCAAGATAGGCTGTTCCGGTCGAGAGGGATAGGTGAAATGCACCCCACGCAGTTCGGCGCCAATGGCCGTGTCGGAAGTCCGCTTGTGCGCGGGGGTCGAGTTCTCCGCGTCCTGCGCCTGCGCGGCCGCTTTCTCCTCTAGCAGGGTGCCGGCAGGCTGGAAGCTGCGCGAGGACCCCGGGCTCAACTCATCCTCCGCAGAGCGGGTGGTGAGCAAGTTGACGATATTCGACGAGGCGACGCGTGCTTTCGAGATATCAGGCGCGAGCGCAAACATCTGCCCGCAGGACTGGGTGCTGAACAGCAAAGCCGGCAAGACGATGAAGAACTCCGTCTGCGAGTAGCGGTTCTCGGCGATTTGGCGCGAACCCCACCAGTACGCGAGCGCGTAGACCAAGTTGCTGATGCTGAACGCCAGCGCCAGCCAGACGTTTCCGGATGCGATGGCCTTCATAGTCTCGCGGTAGGGCTTCTGCAGCGCGCGACCGAACACCTCGTACGACTGCTTCTCTAGGGAGAAGGCGGACACGGCGCGGATGTTGTCCACGGCTTCGACTGTGATGGCTGTCGCCTTGGCGAAGGCTTTTTGATGCCTCTCGGCGAACTTGGCCTGCACGCGCAGTTTCATCATACCGGCCACGAGCAGGACTGGGATAGTCGGGAACAAGACGATGGTGATCCTCCACGCGACGGCGAAGGAGACCACTAAGCCGGCCACCAGGTTCACGGCCGTAGCGAGGAGCAACCCGATCGTCGACCCGGTGATACCGCTCAGCGCGGAGGCATCGCCGGTGATGTGGGTGATCAGGGTCCCGGGGCTGCGATCGTCTTCCCCATGCCACTGCTGGGTCTGGCCGAGGAGAGACCGCAGCGACAGGACGCGAATCCGATACAGGATCTTATCAGCAGCCCAGCCAAAAGCCGCGCCGCCGATCACGTTCGCAAAGAATTCCACCAAAGCGAGGACGAAAAACAGCAGTCCGTACAGGTTTCCGTCGCTGCTAATGTCTTCCGGAGTCCGGCACGGGCTCAGACTTCCAACAGTATGACCGAACACAACAGCCTCAGCCGAGTAACTTCCACCGATAATGCAAGACATGCCCAGACCCAAGAAGATCATAGCCAGATTGGGCCGCACGAGCGAGAACGTGTATTTGGTGGAAAACCACCCGGACCGCTTCTGCTTCTTTTTCTGATCGCCGTCCCCGTCCTTGGACCCCGGCGGCGAGTCTCCCCCCACCACCGTGTCCTCCGTGACATCGGACCCGCTCACCCCGACCATGGCTTCCTTCTCGTCCGCCGGCTCGGTCGTCTTCGCGGCCAGCGTCCTCTCATCGCGGATCAAATCCTCAGGGATAGCCGCATCCTCCACGCTCAGCTTGCCCAGGTTCTGCAGGCGCACCATCTCAGCATACACGCCTCCCTGCGCAACCAGTTCCGCATGCGATCCCTCCTCGGAGACCTGGCCGCTCTTGACGACCACGATCTTATGCGCATCCTTGGCGGTCGCGAGACGGTGCGCGATGGACACCGTAGTCACGCGCTCAGACACCTTAGCCAAGGCAGCCTGGATAAGCTGCTCGCTGGTCGAATCCAGCGCAGCAGTCGCCTCGTCGAGGATGAGCAGGCACGGCTCCCGAACCAGCGCACGCGCGAGCGCAATCCGCTGCTTCTGACCACCGCTCATCTGGTTCCCGGCGGTGCCAACACTAGTCGACAGGCCATGCGGCAAGCTCTCGATGAAGTTCAGCGCATTAGCGCTGGAAGCCGCCTGTCGGACGAGCTCGACGACCTCAGCGACACAGGCATCGTGGTCCGCAAGCGCGTCGCGCTCCGACGCGCCGGCCCTGACCTTCTCAGCCATTTCAGACAGACTCGAATCCAGAATGCAAGGGGCCAATCGCCGGTGCCGTTCCACCGAGGACGAAACGAGCCCGTACGCGATGTTCTCCAAGATAGACCGGTCGAGCAGCGACGGCTCCTGCTGGACGAATCCGATGTTCCCCCGCAGGTAACCCACGTTGAGGTCCTTGAAGTTCTTGTCGCCGATCATGACGTCGCCCGAATCGGGGTCATAGAAGCGCTCCAAAAGGGCAACCACCGTCGACTTTCCGCCGCCCGAGGGTCCGACAATAGCGGTGTGTTTCTTCGGCGGGATGGCGCAGCTCAGCCCCTTCAGGACGGGGGCGTCCGGACGCGCGGGGTACGTGAAGTGGACGTCCCGGAGCATGATCTCCTCTTCTCCGAAGATGGCCGATTTGTCTCCGTCGTCTGCGGTGCCGTCGATCTTAGACGGACGCTCGATCACCTTGAGCAGTCGTTCGGAGGCACCGGCCGCCTGCGCGAACACGTGGATGAACGGAGCCACCTGACTCAGAATGAACGAGGCGTCGATGAGCACGAAGATCACGGTGTAGACGGCACCGACAGAGACGCCGTTGTTGTCGTTGGCCACCGAGTCCGAAATCATCTGCGAACCCTCCCAGAACGCCAAGGCGTTCGCCGAGTAGGCGACGAAATAGAGGAAGCCGAGCTGCGTGGAATGCGTGCAGGCCTTCTTAACGGCCGCTACACGGGATTCGGAAAGATACTGGGCGAAGCGGGCCTCGAGGCGGTCGTTGGCGTTGAAGGCCTGGACGAGCGACAGGTGCGACAAGCTGGAGGTCGCAATGGAGGTCGCCGCGCCGATCTTGTCGGAGAGGATCCCTGCGTACTTCTTAATGTAATGCCCTCCGACCAACGACATGACCATGAAACATGGCACGACCGACACCAGCATGCCCGCGATCTGGGGCACTTTGATAAACGCCACGACGTACGAGGCCACGAAGTAGGAGATGGTCGTGATGACCAGACCGACCTTCTCGGACGTGCCGGACTGGATCACCTCGATGTCGCTGACCAGACGGGAGTACACGTCGCCGGCCGGGAGAGATTCAATGAAATTAGCCTCCTGGCGGATAATGCTCTCGAAGTACCGCCGGCGGTAGCGGCGCGCGAGCCGCTCGCTCACGGTACACCAGCACGACATGTGGATGTAGATGAAGCAGAAGTTGGCGATTGTAATGTAGATCACGTAGAGCACCTTGGTGCGCACGCTGGACGCGAGCTCGGCGGAGGCGGACCCGGAGCTCTGCGACGAGCAGGTCGTAGAATTCATATCGTTGACGAGATCGCCAAACACGATACCCAGTAACGGGAACGGGATACCGCCGGCGATCGCGAAGACCACACCCAAGATGATGAGGATGACGTCCTTCTTGGTGTAGTCTAGCGAGAAGAGGAGTCGGATGTAGCCGAAGAAATTCCCAATGTCGGCTTTCGTCGGTTTATAACGCCGTACCTTTTGCATCTGCGCGCGGGATGCGATTAGCTTTGACTTGAGATATGCCCGCAGACATCTTGAAGAAGTGACACAAGGAATGACATACAAATGAAGGTTTCTGGACATCGCCGACAGCATTGGGGCCCGGCTGCCCTTCGTCCGCCGCTTCTTTTTGCGACATGATGTCTATCGCGGCGCGACAGTATAGCTCCCGAAGGATGCGGTCTCAACAGCGGGGTATATCGCCGCCCCCCAAATCAGATAGCCCCGCAACCCCGTCGAAAGCTTGTCGAAAGTTCAACAAAGGTGTAAAATGTTGGCAATTCGTTTGCCGAGAGGACTCAGGAGTGTCCCTGGTCTTGTCCGAGTTATGGTGAGGAAGGTATAACGGTGGGATCAATGGCAATCAACAATTGCACATGCAAGATCTCCCACAGAGTTAGCAGGTTATAGTCGACGAGTGAAACAGCTCACTCAAACAAGCTACCTCCAAAGCATGCCCGCTAGAAAGACAACCTTGAATTGTATGGGTTATTGTGGGATGAGACACGGCAGGCCGAGGGGAGAAAAGAATCAAAGATAAAAATCAAAAGAAAGACAAGAAACCGGAAGAGAGAGAGAAAGGGAGAAAGATCGGACCAGAAAAAGAGACGAAAAGATACTGGGGAGGTAAAAGGGCCCATGACACATCGCTATATCCACCCACGCACTAAAGGAGAGAGAGGGGGGGGAGAATTTTGGAACCATCACAACGGCTCCGGTTACGGCCCAGGGCTAAGAAAACAAAAGCTGCAGTGAACATCGGGGGGGCCAGCAATGGCACGGAATCCAGAGGAGGGTCTCTCCCTCGAGAGCAGAAAAAAAGCGGAGAAAGCCAAATGAAACCAAGCCAGAATGGAGGTTAGGAACCTCCACTTGGCAGGGGAGCAAGAGGGGCGGCCGGATGGATTTGTTAGTGTGGGCATCTGATAATGCCTCTCGGCGGATATCCATATTGGACTTGTGAAGATGATCCTAGGGCAGACCATCTTTTCTCCCTCTTTTTTTACCTTTCTTTTTTTCTTTTCTGTGCTGGTCTTCATTTTGTTGGCGGTTGAATGCCCCACTACCAAGCACTTATTCGTGGATGGGGACGAGCAGACCCAGTGGAACCCGTCGTTGTTGCGCCCAGTACCTGATAACCGAGGCCACGCTACTGCACTCTACTGCCTATCTGATCGTGCTGTTTTTTTTCCCCTCCGAGGGTTTTGATTTCTGAGATTAATGTCCGACGCCTTGCATGATGGATGCAATCTGATTGTTATGTATCAGAATAAGAATCAGGAGCAGTCTATATCACAATTATATACCGCAAAGTAGAACGAGGGGGTGGAAAAGAAAAACAGGAGGGAATAAAAAATCAGACTGCCAAGGACAATGACGACGAGTCTCGGCAGGAAGGTCGGAGGTTCCTCATCTGATAACTCTGCCCGGAATCCCTCTCGGCCAATCACTCTTCCGTCCTCAGCCCACCAGGACTACGGAGTACCTAGGTACACAGAAGGAAAGAGCAGAAACAGACAATAATAAAAAGGTGTAATTAAGAAAAAGATAACGAGAAGAAAGAGAAGAAAACCAGCAGGTAGAAGGAAGACAGTTGAAAAAACGAAGAAAAAGGGAATGGAAAACTGAAAAGAAAAAACAAAAATAAAAATAAAAATAAAAAGCGGTTTAACCCGTCCGACCCAATGCTACCCGACTACGTACAACCTATACATAATAGAGGTAAGAGATTCCGGTCGATCCTGTAGGGAGTAAGTACTTGTCTCTATCCATCTTGCTCTAAAGTTTGAGACATCCCCATAATAATAATCAGATCTTTGGCAAAGCAGATGTCCACACGAACTACCATCATCATCGCATCATACAGGAGAAGAGTCCGAGCCTCCGAGGGATTGGAGACTATGGAACAAATGGAGCATCCCAATTTTATCAGATGAGGGTCAACAAGTAGCCATTTCTTGGAACGCCCGAGACAAACTCCACTCCTATTATTTCATTATTAAATTACTTCGGGAAGTTAAGTTCTGACCCCTCAGCCCAAGACGTTCGGAATAAAAGTCCCAGTTTATCTAATCTGATTGATTGATTGATAACTGATTCCCGTGGCGTGGGCTAATGTTACACGGTGTTCTGTTTTCCACCGCCTCGTGTCACCATCGCCTCTGTTATCAGATTGTGACACCAACATAATCCCTTTATACTGTTTCTCCGGAATAAAGGAACAAACCATACAAAGCAAGAGGTACAAACTACCTTAATAAAAGTAGAAGATATCCGACATACATATTTGCGCAACATTGATTATGGATAAACAATCAGTGGGGATGGGCCCAGCCAAGGAGGACAGAGTCTCCATTCCCAGCCATAAAACGAATCATAAATACCTAGCAGAAAAGGGGCGTCAATGTCGGAGCCCAGGACCACCATTCCAAAAGATATGACGATGATGATATAATTGGGACGTACGGATACACTATTCCCGACTATTCTACTTCATTATAGTTCAATAGTTTGGCATTCTGGAATATTTTATTTTGTTCTATCGTCATTATTATGGTAATTTCATTATTCATTTATTATGTTGTTATTATTTTACTTTCCCCCCTTCCTATCCCCCAAACTAACGAAACCTTGGAAAAGGAGAGCCACACCTCAAAATGCTGACGGCAGAAGCGCAAAGGCTGAAGACACATCTAATCAGATCAACATCATCTAATCAGATGGGCTCCTGCATGCCGCCGCCGCCGCCGCCGCCGCCGGCCGATGATCGGCCCTTGCTCCAAGTAAAGTCAACAAGTCGCCGGTCGGTCGCATCAAGTTTCCACTTCCTTTTATTCCTCCATACATTACAACCTATATTTTCTTTCAAGATACATACACAAGTCCCACTCAAAGCCTGTTACTTGATTTTGACAAACTCAGAATCATATTCGCACTAATGGCTGGCAACTTCTTCGGTACCCTTAAATCCCATGTCCCGACAGATCCCACCACATGAATCACCTAGATAGCTAAAATAATTTCCCAAATCACATACATCATGCACTCACTCTACAATTCCCCAACAGAGCTCTCTCCATCATTCAATACGGCAAAGATCCTCCGTAGGCTTCGTTCGCTGTGAGTTTCACTTTCGATCTCATAGCATTCGATCGAGAGATGTCTCTACAAGGACTGGTACGGGTTCTTCACATTTCTGAGACCGCTATAGTCGAGATGCTGAATTGGTCTTGTATATGAAGGAGTACCAGGGTACTGTCCTCTAGCCTAGCCCGTCCAGTCCTGCCTCAGGGGCAGAACGCCATGGCAACATCACATTCCACTCCCCAAAGACCATTAGCGGATGGCTTGAACTGTTCTACGACAGCTGGAAGTAGTGGTAATAATAATAAGTATGATAAGAATGGCTCAAGGCTATTGATACAAGATATCCATGCTTCGCAACATAAAAATAACCCCAAGGCCCCGAACCCAAAGCCTCGGGCTCGGAGCCTTGGGGTGTAAAAATAAACAACCACGGTATACCCCCCCGCCCCTCTTCCTCCTCCCCCCCCCAGCGGGGCACCCCGTCCCGGAATCTCCTAGTGTATCATAACACTATCCCCTAGTGATGTAGTACACTAGGAGATTCCGGGACGACTCCATTGGGTGCCCCAATATCTCCCAAAACCGGGCGTCGTTGCCCACCATCGCATATAGCCTCTGGCATAACAATGCTACCTGTCTTCTGATGTCGGCATTCGGCGCAGCGAGAAGTTTCGCAGATAGTAACCCGATTTTGTCCACAAGTTCCTCACGAATAGTTGTCTTCCCTTGAAGAAGACGATCCATGATATTTGACAACGTCCAAACGCCCATGGTCACAGTCTCGTCTCGTTCCTCCCGTGAAACCAGCTCGACCACCGGTTCAACAACGTCAGCATCGCAGGCGGCGACGATGTCGTTGGCTGTGTCATAAAGACCAGCAACGATGTGTGAAGCTGCTGGGTAATGTTTTCGGGCGGATAGGATGGCAGTCAGGACACGGGGGAAATAACCTAATAGGTTACTGTGTACAAACATGCGGCGAATCGTAAGGAGGACCTGAGCCTTCAGGTCTACCGAGCGCTCGAAAGGCAAATCGGTGGCTTCGGGTGGCTTTTCCAGCTCATCAACAAGGGCACATAGCATCTCCTCCTGGTATCCCCGGCCTCGGGGAAAATATCTCCTCGTTTCATGAGCCCTTGAAGCTTTCGATAACCGAGGATATCCATCGTATTGTTTCGTATCCTTTCAATGGCCTTGATAACGATTCCACTGGATTTGCTTTTGTTTCGGACAATCTTCTGCTGCACTTCGGTATCGCCGGCACGGTCATTTTGTACGTTCTTCTGCTGGGCTTCGATTCCTCCTGGTCCGTTACTGCCTGGGTCGCTCTGCTGGACTTCGATTCCGCCTGGCTCGTCACTGGGTGCGCCGCTTTGCTGAACTTCGGTATCGCCTACGCGGCCATTCTGTACGTTTTCCTGGACTTCGATTTCGCCTGGTTTGTCACTGGGTGCGCCGCTTTGCTGGACTTCGGTATCACCTGCACTGTCATTCTGTATGTTCGTCTGCTGGACGTCGATCCCGCCTGGTCCGTTACCTCGTACGTCGCTTTGCTGGACTTCGGTTCCGCCTGGTTCGTCACTGCGTGCGTCGCTTTGCTGGACTTCGGTTAGGCCTGGTTCGTTACTGCCCGCGTCGCTCCGCTGGGCTTCAATTCCGCCTGCTCCGTTACTGCGAGTTTCGGTCTGCTGGGCTTCGATCCCGCCTGAGCTCTTACTGGGTGTGTCGCCATTCCGGTATTCGACGTAAGTGTTGCTCTGTTGGATGTCCCTGGTATCGTTACGGTCCGCTATACCCTTCTCCTGGACCTGGACATTGCCTGCTTCGTCACTGTGCGCGCCATCCTGCCTGACTGCGATCTCGCTTATACCGTCGTTATTTGCGGCCCACTTCTGCCAGACTTCGAGGTCGCCTGTATCACCACTGTGACCGCTCCTCTGCTGGTCTGCGCTGTCGCCGATATCGCTCTGGTGTACGTTCATCTGCTGGGTTCCTATGTCGATTGCAATGTCGCTGTCTGTGATTTTCCGATCCGGTACTGCGACGTCGCCTGTGGCCTTACTATCGGCAATGATTTTCTTCTGGGCCTCAATGTCGCCGGCATCATCACGGTGGACATCGTTTTGCCGAACTTCGATATCGTTTATACCGTGGCCGTTTGTAAAACCAATTCCTGGGACTGCGATGTCGCCTGTGCTCCTAAGGTCTTCCAAGCCCTGTTCATGGGCCTCGATATCGTCTATCCTGACCTTATGCGCATTCCAGTGCTGGATTTCAAGGTCGTCCAAGACATCACCATGCCCGTTGTTATGACTCTCAACAACCTCTTTGAATGCAGGGGCCGACTTTTTGGTGGAAATGGTTGGGCCTCTATTCGACGACGGCGCCGTGTTTTCATTGAGAGGATTCCTCTTCTGCGTACGAGTTGGTGGACGTATAGGAGCGGCAGAAAGGGTTGAGGCAGGTTTGGCCAGTGCCTTTTTCTGAGCGGCGATTGCTGCCCGCAACGCAGTGCTGCCGGTCTGCTCAGCCTGCGAAGGCTTTCCGCTCTGCTCTAGAGCCGTGGGTTTCTTTGGCGAGCCGGCCTTCCGCGGCGGTGCCACTGTCTCTTCCATTGCGGTGGTAGGTCTGTTGGGATGCTTGTCGAGTAAGGTTCGACTCTTTTTGTCCAACGTCGATACAATCCTATCGATGCTTAGTTGATCACATGGCATTGATATGAGATAGAAGGCGGGAAACTTACTCGTCGGCTCTACCTGGCCAAATACTAACGAAGAACCAATAGACCCCCCGCATAGCCTCTCTCACACCAGGGTTGGCGTCCGAGAGACACTTCTTGAGAGACATGATGATAAGAGTCAAGCCGCCGCCGTGTTCCATCGAACTTTTATAAGGGGCTTGTCTGGTGAGTAAAGTTTTGAGCCAGCCGGTACCAAACAGGCGCAGCTGCACATTTTTGTCCTGGCATGCATTGGACACATGCTGGAGGAGACGTATGTGGTAGGAGACATTTTCAATGATCACAGACACTGTCGCATTGCCATTCTGGGCGGTGATCTTCTTCATGTTCGAACAAACCTTCACCATATTCTGCATGATGATTTCGACCATAGAATCAATCTGAGATCCACAGCATCGTGCCAGGTCCTGGATAAACAGACACCCATTTGTGGACACTGTAGTTCGAAGAGAATTGACAGCCTTAAAGCTACCATCAAGGATCGTCTTTATTCCTCCAATAAAGGCCTCTGGGAATCTATGTGGGGCACTTCCGAGTGTAAGGCGTCGGAGAGTGATGATGTTCTTCTCCCGCGGCAACCAATTTTGCTCGGTTTCTCTTCCCTCGAAGGAAGGAAGCATGTCCCTTACCAGGTCGTCGATCTCGCGAGGACTGGCAACCGTCATCGGCTGCAGGTCCCCCTCTTGGGAAGGTGAAGGTCGGGATGATGACGCCTGCGCGGGCGTACTGGCAGGTCGCGGGGGCTGGACGCGGGGGGCACTGGCATGCGAGGACTTCGTGGGAGAATCAAGTCGCGATGCGGGTCTCTTAGGAGAGTCCATCCTGGAGGCCGGCCTTCTGGCAGTCTCTACCCGCGATGCCGGTCTCTTGAGCGGCTCCATTCGCGACGCAGGCCTTCTGGTGGTCTCCACGCGGGAAGCAGGGCGCGAGGAGGACGATGTTTCCACCGGGTCGAGCCCGACAGTCTGCAAGAGATCATCGGCAATCGATCTTCTCACATTGTGTTCGGCCAATTGCTTTCGAAGATCCGTTTTGGCGGTCACGGAAGCACCCCTAGCACTCGTTAGCAGCCAATTATCGTACGAGTGGGAAGGATAGCGGCCCAAGAAGAGAGAAAGAACAGGCCGCCGGTTTGTACTTACTGGAAAAGGCCAACAATCGCCAGCTTCGCCGCTTCTCGAACGCCACTATCGGCGTATTCGAGACAAGCGACCATGTTGGGGACATATGCACGAAAGCGAAAGTCATGGATCTGGGCCATCTACCAGGGGAACCGGTCAGACAAATTGGCAACAGATGGATTCAAGCACTTACGTTCGCGAGCCAGGTCATGCTCATCGCTTTCGATTTGGGGTTTTTACCCTCAAGGGCCTTTTTCAGAACATTGTGTTCCACCTCGTCCCGAAGGGCTGGCCAGAGGCCGGTGAAAGCTTCCGCGGCTTTTGCACGGATGTCTTCCCTTTGATCGCCGAGACGCTCGAGGAGAACGGGGCATAGATCTCGGCCATGGGATGCAATTTGATGATCCATTCTCTGAATGGTCAAGCGAGAGAGAAGGTGTTTCAAAGTCGAGAACCCTGCATTCTGCAGAGTCCAGTTTTTGGAAGCAATGGCTGACCGAATAGATTCGAACATGTGAGGAAGGGCACCCGCTACTATGTTTCGCTGCTTGATATCCCACTTCAGAGACAGCAACTCCTCAAGCTGCGCATCCGCGGGAGTGCTTCTCCCTCTCATCATGCTCGCGGACTTTCCTGCCTTAGCCTCCATTCTTTGGTGAAGGGCTCTCAATGTTTTTACAGAAACGAAGAGTGTCACAAAAAGCTCATCCTCACAATAGACAAGCAGGCTCGTGATGAGTTCCCAAATCGATGTGATAAGGCTGTGGAGGCCCTGGATAATGGGACTGGGGTTTTGTTGCAACGCCTGGAGAAATCCAAGCAGTAATTTCACACAGAAGATGTAGATAGAGGCAACGAGATTCTCGATGTACCCAAGCAAGAACGACTTGGCAGATGTCAGTAAATGATCGAGTCTGGCATAGGACAGCAATGTGTCCCAGAAGAGGGAAAAAGCATCAAAAATGCGAAGGGGCAAAGCCGCAGTATACTCGAAGCAGAAAAAAACACAGAGGAACAAGGAATTGTACAAGGAAAAGGCACAAGCCACAAAGGATGACGCACAAGTAAACATGGAAGAAACAAAAGCGAGACACGAAGAAACAAAAGACAACAAGTCCTCAAACAACGCCATGACTGATGCGGAAATGGAGTTTCAAAAAAAAGCCAAAAGAGTAAACAGAGCCAGAAGCCAAGAAGAACCCAAAAAAGAAACCAAAAGGAGCCAAAAAGAGCCAAAAATAAACAACACAGAGTGAACAAGCAAGATTCGGCTCATAGAAAGCCGACTATCTTTTTTGGTATTTTATTTTATTTTCTCTTCTTTGTATTTTGTGCGAGAAGCGGAAACAAGTTTGGAAGAAATCAAAAGCAGCTGATATCAGGTTTTGCAGAACGAAGATCAAGAGATCAAGCAGTGCGAAGATGAAGCGAAACGAAACGAGTACAGGTGAGGTGAAAGAGAAAGAGGAATTCGGGGGGCGCGAAGAGGACGAAGCCCGTAGTTTATGGAGCGCAACAGCATGATGGCGAGGAAAGAGCTCTTACCTGTAACTTGAAGCAGTCGCGAAGAGGCTTTCAGTATCAAGTCCCAAGAGGGAAGGAAGCGGGCGGAGGAGACGTGAGTGGTCCAGATGACGGAAGACGAAGAGGACGGCTGCGGGGAGCGATGTGTGGTATCGAGCGACGAGGGGAGACCGCTATTGCGTCTGAGTGGTGGTATTCGGAGGAGAAGAGAGTTGTTGCTGAACTGAGGAGCGACGATGATGGGATGATGCAAAGAGGGACTGAACGTTCGTCCGATAAGCGATTAGACGCGGCGATAAGCGCTTCAAACTCCACACGTCGCAAGGAGTCAGGAGAGATTCGATGACTTTCAGGGATCGTTATTATAATCGACGCTGTTCGGTGTCGAGGAAGCGAATTGACTCGAGAGGTCAAAGAAGAGGATCCTGCGCTGTGGCGGTGGTTGATGGGGGGTTGAAGAAGAGGAAGGAGGGGAAAGAGCCGGCCAGCAACGGTGTTGTGTTGTTGTTATGATGACTCCTTGGAACTCTTCTTTTTTTTTTTTGTTTCCCCTACATTAGCGTTGTTTACCCACAACTGTCACTAACGCCGCTTTGGGCAACCAGATGTGGAGCCTTAGGCTGCCGAACGGTTGATTCAGGCCCCGCCTTCCACCACTTTCGTTCTCTATCTTTGAAACTGTCTTGTAGTGTCTCTTTCAATTCGGGGGCTATCTTGGATTTATTAATCTCATCCTAGACATCTGTCGCCTATAAACAGTAGATCATCATCATTATAATCAAATCATTACCTAATTATGTATTAATCGCGACTACAGGACTACCAGTTCCTATGTCTGGTCTGTTTTGTAACCTCGGAGCATCTGCGGGCTTAATGGGGCCCAATCATCCTGTAGGCCTGATAAGCCTCGGCGGGGTGTCAGCCAGTGGGAGATCAACATACGTGATGTATTGAGCGGGAGTTTGTAGAATATGCCTCGCAGCGAGGGTGATTGTACGCGTGCCGCTTGGTTTATAGGGAGAGAATTTGTAGTACCACCATTATTGTTAGCAATTTCAATTATACTCAATGTTTACTTGTTTACCCTGGTTGATACATCCGACCGGGAAGGCGGTCGACTTTAATAGTACAAGAGGTGACTACATATATTTTGGTGGAAATATCAACCTTAATCATAACCACATTAACTGGGACTCTGACCAGTGCGATAAAAGCACAATCAGGCTCGAATGATCGTAACGATAATGATAATCATCATAATACTAAAGAGTCATCTTCAATCAAATACAGTTAAACACTGCTGATTTAGTCCTAAAGCTAACCTCCACATGATCGCCGGAGGGGTGGATCGATAACAGCATAAGCTTAATCGAATATAGCAGGGGTACGAAGCCTGCGGACGGGTTATTTGAATTTATTACAATGGACTCCTCAATACCTGCTTTCATCAATTACCTACTGGAGATATCGCCTTGCTACGGAAATGTCCCGACTCACTAGCGCCACTGATTATACCAGGAACTTTATAAGACCAACGTCTGACCCCGCTCGCCTTGTATGAATCCTTCCACACTCCCAGCACCAACACCATCCATCAGAAACATGTCAGCTACACCAGAACCCCCTCGTTCCTCCGCCGTACCTCCGAATCCAAGCGCAGAACCCCCACGCGACAACAACAGCGCCAACAATCTCGCCAGCTCCCAAGAACACCGCCGACAACCAGACCCCCCCCTCCCCACCCCCAAACTCCGCCTCCAAATAAACGACCTCCGCCATCCAGGAGCCCTCTCCTTCCAAACCCTAGTCCCAGACGTCGTATCCACCCTCGAAACAGCCCTCACCACAATAGTCCGCACCCTCTACACCGTCCCACCCCCACAACAAGAACAAGATACCTCCTCCCCATCCCCTGCCACCCACCCCACCCCAATCATAACATTCACCCCATCCCTCCCACCCACCCGCTCAATCACCCTCATCCTCCGCGACATCCCCGGCGTAGCCTACACAACAGGCACCGAGCTCGACGACGCCCACAAAGAAATCACTATCTCCCTCTCCTACATCCACACCAGCGCCAACCGCCCCTCCGAGATACCAGGCGTGATCACCCACGAGCTCGTCCACTGCTACCAGCACACTGTCCCCCCGGCGGAGCCCGGAAAAACCAACAACAAAAGCACACCCCACCCACCTACCGGCCTCATCGAAGGCATTGCGGATTTCGTGCGGCTGCAAGCCGGCCTGGAGCCGCCGCATTGGAAGAAGCCGAGTGCTGCGAAGGAGAGGGCCGAGAAGTGGGATCAGGGGTATCAGCATACGGCGTATTTTTTGGCCTGGTTGGAGGATGTTAGGGTGGGGCGGGGGCGGTGGGGATGTTGAATGATCGGTTGTTGAGGGTGGGTTATTGTGAGGAGGGGAAGGGGTTTTGGAAGGGGTTGTTTGGGGTTGGGGTTGAGAGGTTGTGGGTGGAGTATGGGGAGTATTTGGATGGGTGTGGTTGTGGATTGGATTCGAAGGGGGGAGAGAGGGAGAGAGATCAGGAGAAGGTGGTTGTTTCTGCTGGGTAGTTGTGTAGTCGACCTCACTGTTAGATACCATGACGATGCGAGGTTCTTCTTGGTTATCCTGGGAAGCATCACTGCAAATAAATGTCACGTTGATGCATTGACTGGTGCCATCTATATACCTAAGTCTAAAAGCGCAACCTTGCGTATCAGTTTTAGGATCAATGCCGCACAAGTTCAAACAAACGGTTAAAAGGGACAGAGACATAAGAGAAAAAGAAAAAAAAATCATCTAATAAATCGAATAAATTTCCCATACTGTACAAAACCTGATATTCAAAAGAAAAAAGTAAAACAGATAGTATGTAATGCTGTTGTTGCTGTCGTGCCTTTCCTCGACAGCAGTACAATCGGAAAGTGTAGCGCCTTTTCATAATCTAACACGGCAATTCCAAGTGCGTCCCGTCTTTCCACCATCTCATACAATCACCTCGCCCAGGTCCACGTGGACGGGCTTCCAGGGCGCGGCACCTTCCTCCTCGGTGGAGCTAGGCACACGCACATTCAGCGGGCTGTAGAGATACCAGCCCTTGAGGGCAGCCACGGCAGCGCGGGACCGAGCCTCCAGCAGGCTGGCACCGGAGCCTTCTCCCAGCTTGTCCTTGCCAGAGAAGATACCGACGATGAAGACGGGGTGTCTGCTCTTGCGACCGGTCTCGCTGATGATCTTGGCGACAGGCGGCTCGAAGTTCTCACGCGCACAAAGTCGGGACAGGTCGCGGGCGGGTTGCGAGAAGTTGAACAACTCGGAGATGTTGAGATGCCGGGAGAGGAAGTGCTGCTCGAAAAAGCGCTTGGCCGCCGGCCGGCCAGCGTGGAGGTAGATCGAGCCCATCAGTGCCCGCACGAAAGTCGCGTTGGCCCGCTCAAAGGAGACACCACCCTGGGCGCCTTGAGCATCAGCCAGGGATTGCGTAGTAGACTGCTCCCCGTATTCATTGTCGTACACAATCCGGGAAGTGACCGACTTCCTCCACGACTTCTGGTGTGCGTTGGGCCTCATTGTAGCCCCCTCCGAGTTCAGCTCGGTGCCAGGAAGGAGTCTCTGGAACTGAAGCAGCCCAGGGTCAACTTCACCTCCCGGCGCGGCGGCCCAATCCACGCCCCATTCTCTCGCCATTGCAGTCAACGTTTTCGGACCGACGTAAGCGTACATGGCCGCGAAGATGACGGTCAGAGGAAGTCGCGGGTAGGTGCAAAGGAGGTGTTCGGAGGTGTAGTAGGTTAGAAGGTCATGACCGAGCGTGGCCAGCGATTCATTATTGAAGTTGGGATTCGGATCCGCAGAGGCGTCCACGAGGGACCGTGCTAGTGTCTCGAGCGGTAATCGGGAAGGGAGGTAAAGTCGTGCATGGAGGGCGGCAAGTTTTGCGGATTCGCGTGCGGCCTCAACCGGCGGTGATGGAAGAGCGTATTTCGACTGTTGGGGATTGGAAGAGAAATGAGGGGGGAATGTCTGCTCATCAGCCAGTTGATCGTTTTCAGACTGAGCAGCAGGCGACACAGTCGTTTGGTATCGTGCTCCGCGATAGATGTTTTGTTGCAGGCGGACACCAGCCCGCGCTCGCGCCGAGAGGGCCGAACTGCTCCATCGGAGGAGCTGCAGCCGCTTCATCTGGAAAATAGAAAGGAGGAGGAATGTAATAGAAAATAGACAAGAAGAAGGGCAATAAACAGCTACTGCCCAATTCGTTGCGTGGAAGGATAGGGACGAGGGCTTCAAACGAATCTCGTATGAACTTTTGGCCGGACGAGAAAAGTCGAGCTTCGGCGGAAGTCACGGGGTCTGGGTGTTGCGAAGGACGCTAAACCAAATCGGGAACGAATGTCACGGGACTCGGACCAGCGACGTCGACGGCCCTTTCGGCATCGACACCCCTCAGAACCCACGCTGTCTCAGCGAGCCATTGTCTACACCACACCTCTCCAATTTCTTACACACACCCGTCATCAATATGGGCGGAGGCGGCAAGATCCCGTATGTACTCGCCCGCATCATCCGATTTGTTGCTGGAACCGGGGACTAACGGATCGCCCATACAGGTATCCCAAGGAAGTCTGGTCTCCTGCCGGAGGCTGGTATTCTCGGCCTGCGAACTGGAGGCTCAACACTGCCATTATTGGCGCCGGCATGCTCGGAGTTGTCGCTGCGACTTGGAGTCTTAGCGCCGAGCGCGAGCACCGCGACAAGATGCCCGAGCCGGGCAGATTCTTCCCCAGTCGCTAGTAAGTTCATCACCCAGGGAAGGTGGATTCGAATGATGCTGATACGGGCTTGTCCAATGTAGCTGGAGCCGACAGATCGTTGAACACGAAAGACAACAAGCCGCTGCGAAGCAAGACTCATAAAAGAGATTACGATGTGGTGGGTGGTTGCCTGGGATGATGCTACAAAACAGCAGGAATTTTTGTTTCATATTGTGGGCTGTACGACAATAGAAGGGCGTTAATCGATCGGTCAATTGATCTGCAAGTGCTTTTGGGGAGCCTCTTCAAGTGTCTGGTGCAAACGCCGAGTGTACAGACGGACCCGTTCCGTGAATTCAGTTTCGTTCCAAAATTCCCTCCCACTGCTCGACGTAGACATATGTGGCACTCCAATCTGCTCTACCACGAACCCTGCTGCAACAGTGGCGAGGATAAGCGCGAGGGGGACATTGCTCTGTTCTCCCCACGTCTCCATCGCTCTCTTCCAGCCTGCGGAGTCCGCCAGGACAGACTGGATGACATCCGCAGGGACTCTCCCCACACTGACCAGACCCTGCGCCATTGCGCCCAAGAAAGAATTCCCCGCGCCCGTGGGATCGACAACAGCAGTAGACCCATCATCACCAGGTTGATGATAAGCGGGAAGCCAGATACTGTGCGTTCTCGAGTATGCGTAGCTACCGTCTTTACCAGCACGTATGACCAAAGTGCCTTTACCCTCAGGGCCGATCCCAGAGTCAAGGATCCTCTGGACTATATCCTTTCCGAACTGACTCTCTTTGCTCCACCCGGATTGCCCGAACATCATCCCCAGCTCCAGCTCATTGGGACTCACCACATCCACTACCCTGTTCGCCGCGAAGAAGTTGTCTGCTTCCTCGGGCGTGCAGAGGTTCGGCACTGGCTCCCAGACAAAGAGAGGTCGTTGCGCAGCAAGGTCGGAAGAAGGCGCTTTACCATCCTGTAGAAGCTCTTCCCGCCGGCCAAGAATACCTTCCACGATGTCTATGCAGCGCGAAGACGAGCAGACCATGTGAAACGTCTTCGAGAACACCTGAGCATCAGATAGACTCGAAGCATCCAGCCGTAGCTTCGGCGTCAAGTATGCGAAATCTGCAATTCTCTTAGTTCCTCTTTCTTTCTCCCAAATCATCACCAAAGCCCCCAAAAGAACTTGGTGCCTCGAATGAACAAATGAACAGACGGACAAAGTACGAACCTCTCTTCTCATCAGCCCCATACCCATTCCAAGCCCGCGTCGTCAACCTCGTACGGTCCTCCCGAACCACACAAGCCGTCCCCCACGACCTAATCAACTCGAGCACCTCCTCCGGAAAGTCCTCGCCAACATCGACAGTCCAACTCACAGACCGCGCGTCGTCCTTCCCTGCGACCATCCGCGCCCCAACAACAGCGAACGACGCCGCCCCGCCAATCACATTCTTCACGCTAGGTCTGGTACCCCCGAAGTCAATGTCATCTGCAGCCAGGTAAAATGATCAGGGTGAGTATGCCGTGCTATGCGGGGTGTTCAGGCGTTTGAGAGTGGATGATGCACTGATAGCATACCGAGGATGAACATGCCCAGCGTGCAGAAATCAACATCGTTTCCGATAGCAGGGGCCTGAGCCATAGTTTAATAGATATATATATATATACTGGCGTGCTGGAGTTGAATTGTAACCTTGCAATGATCTTGCGGGCACTTTGTTGGAGAGACTGATTGTATGAGCGGGGTTTATTGGAAGGAAGTGCTGTGCTACTCTATACGGATAAAATACCCGAGCGTTACGGTTTGATACCGCTGCTGTTATTTCTGATGGCGAAGGGTTATCTATTGCAGCCTACTACGATTTGAATAGTAGGTATGCTTTGTTTACTCCCCGCTAATTTCTATAGTGATATACTACCTATGCAAAGTTTTTGATCGATAGGAAGTTTGAGTTTGCATACACTCTTGTACAGGACTTAAAAATACCTACGGGTATGTACTGTGCCAATTTCCTGGTATCTACCTACCTTCGAGGTTGGAGGAATGTCAGGTAACCAGTTAACTGAACAATTTACTAGATACTTATATTTTGGCTTAAAAGCGTAGAGGAAAAGACCTTGGCTATGGATTGCCCATTGCTACCTCGATAGACGCCAAACAAGGGTAGAAAGAAACGTCAGAAGCATTCGCCGGTCCTCCATAACACCAACGCAGATATTCTGAAGTGTAAAAATAGAGACCAAAAGAAGGGTTCCTCAAGTCCCTTGTGCATTTGAGCCTTTTGATTCATCTTCAATACTAAATGGAGCGTAATCTATACGGAGAATGAAATGAATGGCACTCTGGCAAATCCTGCGCAATTAGTCGGCTACCCCAGAGCCCCCTGAACAGCTGCGATATTTGAAAGGTCCAGATAAAATTTTCACTTCTGGTATGTATATCAATCCATGGTTTGCGGGTCGGGTTTTTGTACCTCGAGTTCCCTCAATCTTTTGGCCAGGAGACTTTCCCGGGCTTTGGATCCGTTGAAAGAGCTAAATGGATAGCGAGAATATCCAGTATCCTCGGTATTAAGCTTACTATAGTGACTGGTGCCAGGAGCGTATGCCTCCGTTGGCGTTGCATCATGTGCCGGCAGAGATTCTTCCCGCAAAGAAGGGATAGGTTGGAAGGGATGCGGGGGACGTTGATGCGATTGAGTGTCCTCCGGGTTGATTGCGCCCGGTGTCGCCTCTCTTGTAGCCGGCGCTCCTGGCGTCCGGGCGGAGGGACTCGGATGCGAAACTGCGGCGGACTCTCGACCAGTGGAAGACCTTTGAGAGCTCAGCTTTGCGCCACAGTGGCTATGGTTGGAGTCCCGAGACGGACGATAAGGTGTATAGCGAGGTTCTGGGTGCTGTATCTCGTTCCGCAAACTTTCCTTTCCATCGGGTACCCGATTTGCGAATACGACACGAATAACGGAGTGAAGATAGAAACGGCCTCGAGAGGGACTGCAGATGTTGAGATGGACCATGTATCTCAATATAGGCTTGTCTTGGGGATCTTCCGAAGTATTCAGAGACGCTTCTGGACGGTCGGTCCCGTAGTTCTTTCGAGCGTGCAAGGGCATGTCGATGATGGGACCTGCGGAATAGCTCCTTTGCCGGAAGAATGTCTTCGAGCCTGGCTCCATATCGCTCAGGTCGTACGGGACGAGGAACAGCTTAACCGCCGTTTTGTTTGGATTTTTGATCATGATCTGGAGCTGGCCTTGTTGCGGGATCCGATAACAACCGCCTGGTGGAGACTTAGGGGACTCAGCCCTCCGATGCTTTTTCTCCCGCTTGCGTATAGCTCCCTGATCGTTGAGCGTAGGAGGTAGAGCGCTTTGACCGTTGTGTGTTGGGGTTTGGCTCTGATGATGCCTACGGCGTTGGCTGGCTCCTGACGTATCCTTCGGAAGGGTGTTTTCGAGGTCGATGAGACCAACGTAAGGGCTGGGGTTGTCGTCTGATATCGATCGTCCGCACCCAGATGTTGGATAGCTATAGAAGACCGCCGGAAACGGTATCGTGACGTGTGGAGGACATCTAAGATTAGCTTTACAATTCCCCTTGCCAAGCACGCCAATCTGGGCAGTAAAGTCCAGCGGCTTTGATGGGTTGGTCGACATCCTGCCCCGTAGGATAGACTCTTCATAAGAACCCACCATCGGGGCGAGTGCTTTGGCAGGTCTTTCGGACACCAGGGATAGCCTTCGGGCACTTGGGCATGGTGTTTGAACAGATGATGCCAACTGAAGGCTATATGGCGACGTAAATGAGCGCTGAAAGGAGCTTGGCTCATTCCAGTGACCGGGGGAGACCCCGAACTGCATATCTGGCGCCCCGCGATGCGCCGGCGAAGGCGACTGAAGGTCCCGGAACGTTTCGGGGGTAATGTACGACGACGATTGGCCTTTCCCCATGACTCCGATTGGTCGATCGCGTCGGTCTTTGGAGAAAAATCCAAGTCTGTATTGTTTGCTTGGTATACCAGGGGGCTTGTCGGGGTCTTCAAAACGTAACTTGAAGAAAACGACCCCAACGATGGTGCCCTCGCACGGGCTGTTGGTGTATATTTGTCACTGGGAAGATGAAATGATGTCGATGGCCCACGAGCCGAAGAGAACAACGACGGGCTGAACCAAGGCGTGGTGGGAGAACTGCCCAGAGGGGGAGGTTGGTAATCGGCACAGGGACTCGGCCCAGACTGTGGCAATTGCTGTCCATCCTGGCGCTGAGGAGTGCCTTCTCGAAAATCGCCCGAATGTAATGCTGACCGGGGGCGTTCAATATCGGCCGGGGACGCTAGCTGTTGGTCATCCAACGGAGGACCACTAGAGACGGTATTATGATTGGGATCGGCTCTAACGTCCGGAGTTTCATTGCATGTTTGGGGGAGATGACAGTGACCAGCACTTGTCTCTCCTGCCTATACGCGAGTAATCAGCACACGAACATGTGTGACCTCCATCTTCTTGGATCAAGAAGGAAGAGGAATGTTAAGGAATAGACCATACCAAAGCGGGTCGGTTCCATTTCGAAGGATCGGTGCTTTTTATATACCGGATGAGCTCCTCTCGGTCATTCGTATGGACACCGGACGTATTGTATAATGCCGGACTATCAGATGGAAACACCGGGTTTGTCTGGTCCGGACTGGGCTGCCAACTGCGTCCATGATTATGAGACCAGGAGAGCGCCTTCTGTCGTTGATCCTCCTCATTTACCAGCGGGTGGCGTTGGCGGCTATGGCTGCGGCGGTCGTCAGACCACAAGTTATAAAACCGTTGACGATCTGGATCTTGAAAGATAGGCATTTTCAGAGGCATATATAACGACAAGATAGAAAGAGAAAAGAGCCAACCATCTCAACCGCAGTATAGGGTCGCGGAAGAGATGGCGGTAAAAAGGTGACGGCGGAGATAATCACGGAGTACGGAGTATAACGGAGAGAGCAATAGTAGTATGGTTGCACAGGGGGAAATACTAGAGGGTAGCGCAAGAAAAACGAACCAATGCTTCAGGTGATCAAAGGGAACAACTTATATGAGGGGAGTTTGAAGCCATCGATACATCATGTCATGCGGACCACTAGGGTCAGTGGATCCACCAGGGTAGAGTTAGTTAAGTAAGGCAATCAGGAGACCTACCTAGTTAACTATGGATCATGGGTGACTCAAAGAGCGAGATGGGATTGAATGGATGAAACGGCCGGATGGGATGAAATATTACCATCCTGCAAGCGGAGAGGGTGGTATTATAATACACGATGATATCAATGGCAGTGTGGAATGGCAGGATCAACTTGCCCATCTTGCCTCTTCCGGCTTTTGTTCTGTAATAGAATTACTGATTCCATTGTACGTCACTACTTGATACTTTCATACTCTGGTTTTCAGTACACTGATTTGATATCAACTCTGTCATTATAGGTAATCATGATCATAATTAATAACATCCGAATATCTGTATTCATGTTCTTTACTGTTAAGACATGATGTGGTTGACACCTCATACTCAAACAGTCTGTGACTTGTGAATTTAATTAATTACGCCTCCTGCACGGTCACGTCACGTCTGCCTTTCTCTCTCTTTTTTTTCTACTACTCTGTACTATACTACTTCTAGCATAGTCCCAGACGGGCCTAGTAAATCTTTTCCAACTCCAATTATTGCCCGCACACCGCCTTACCCATATCGCTGGTTTTGCTCCAAGATACCATCAAGAAGAGCCAAAAAAATAACAACCAGACAGAAGATTAACCCACACATCTCTTCCAAACCCCTAATAATCAAAACATGGCACCCAAACGCCCCCGAGACACCGACTCAAACCCCGCCGCGAAAAACCCCACAGAATCGCAGATCAAAAAGCGAAAGGGCTTCTCCGTCGGGCCTGAAAACCTGCCCGATGGAACCTATCGTCGCAAGGGTACGTGTTAATTTGCTTGTGCTTGTCTCAAGCGCATGAATCTACATACCTACCTAACCTAGGCGCACCTGTGTGATGAAGGCCCATTTCTAATTTTATCTCCGTTTACAGCGCAAAAAATCAAAGCCGACCTGATCCAAAAAGCAAAAGTCAAAAAAGCCTACGCCAAGATCAAAGCCGCACAGGAAGCGGACGCTCCGCGGAAGCCCGCCTACACAACTGAAGATGGCCAAACCGGCGATGGGCAGGACAATAATAATGCAGAACCGGTGTCGCTCGACCCCCACCCGGAGCGCGTGGCGATGATGAACGAACCGGCGCGCCCCAAGCGAGCGCCTCTACCGGAGAACCCGATGCCGAACATGAAGCCGAACCCCCGCGATCGTCGGCAGCGGAAGCCGAAGAAGTCGGCGTTTGCGAAGGAGTTGGAGATTGCGGAGAAGAGGAAGCAGGAGGTTGAGAGACGGCGGAAGGAGCGCGAGTTTAGGCAGAATGATCGGGAGGCGATGGCGAGGGCGAAACGGCCGGATCAGAATGGGAAGAGGCGGTTGGGGAGGGAGAGTAATGTTTTGTTGAGTCGGGTGCAGCATTTGGTTGGGGAGTCGTAGAGTTTTTTACCTTGTTACTTTTTTTTGAGACGGTGGTGGATATATGGGGAGAAAAGTTTCAAATATGATACCCACTCGAGATAGATAAGAGAAGAGCATGGACTATTATTTCGCGAAATGCAGAGTTATTTACATAGTTGCCAGTCGAGTTGATTTTCTGCGCACAGAGAGTATGTAGGCTAGGTTTGTATCACGATACCGAACCCTTCTGGCCCGTGCCGCTTCTCGGCTTGCGGAAGCACGCAAACTCTCCCTTCGTCTTCTCCCGCAACTTCTTGAGGATTCCTCTCATCTCGCCCAGTTCGGACTGGAGTCGAGCGCGCGCTTCGTGGCTGGTCCGACGGTCGAGTTCGACGTAGATTTGGCTTTGGATCGCGGCGGCTTCTTCTGTCGAATACAGCGACATCGTCTGCGCGATGAATTCCGTGTCCAGTGTGGCTTGCATCAGAGCGGCGAGCGTGTACGAAGACCGGGAGCTGAATGCCGTGAGCAGCGATGACGAGATTTTCGTTAACAGGTGTGTGAGGACGATAGATAGCAAGGGGGACGGAGAAGGCGGCTTCGAGCGGCTAGGTGGTGCTGCGCTGGACGGGATGGTCGTTGATATCTCGGTGTGGACGAGCACGAGAGTCAACATCGTCGCGTACACATAAGGGCGCACTTGGTCAGGCCGAGAAGTGGACGGCTCCCAGTCGGGCGCAGTGGCGCCATTGTAGATAGTGGTGTTCAGCGTATTGACCGTCGGTGCGGTGTATGCATGGAACAGGCGATTGTCGATCTGGTTGAGCACGTCGCGAATAGTCTTGGCCTCTTCGGTCAACTGGACGGAAAACGACGTCTCGAAATTGGCAATTAGCTGTGGAACGAGATCGGCTTGAAGGCATTTGATATTCGACAGCGTGAGCAGGATGCGTGCGTTCTGTGAGTTGATTAGATATTGATTCTGAGTCCAACCGCAGAAGACGCCGGGAAACTTACCCTGTCCTTGGGATTGATAGTGTCGGCAACAGCAAGGGAAGAGGCACCAGGCCTATTGCGTGCCGCAGCTCTGGAGACAACCCACTCGTTCTCTTCTTCAGGCGTCGATGGATGTTCGGCATTTTCGACCAAACCACTCAGTGCTTTGTAAACGCTGGACACAAACTGAGCGCGCACCATCTGGAGCAGCTTTGTGGGAGGTTGAGTCACAACGTCGACAGCGCCAGGCTTTGCTGTCGCTTCCGAGATGTAGAGGACCTTTTGCATCCCGCTCAAAATTACGTTCTCGAAAGCCACAAACAAGCCAGGCATCTTTGTCAAGTCCCTTCTCTCCGAGTCGCGCGTCCAATCCTCCAACATCTTACAGTATTCGGCGTCTTTACCCCACGAAGAGCATATGGCGCGGGCCGAGCGCTCACGAGCGACACTCACGAGCGACTTGAGAAGGTCAGAGGTCGTATTGTCTCTTGATACCGGCCCCAAAGCTGCCATCTCACTCGCAGCTGCGCCAATGATGACAAGGAACTGGCTGAGATAATGGACACCGCTGAGAGAATTCGAGAAAGGCGGCCAGAACGAAAAGTCCTCCCAGGGCTCTCCATGCTTGGGGGTCGGGAAGGGCATATTCTTCGGGTCCAGCTTGAAGCGGGACTCGGTGGGAGTCACGCCAACACTGACGGGACTATTGGGAGTTGGAGGAGAGATGGGGGATGTGAGCATGGTCGCATCGTCCACCGGCGAATTAGCGAATAATGTCAGGACGCTTTCACGGACCAAGTTGACCAGGTCGACGACCCCTTTCTGCAAGTGCATGACATTCTCAGGTGACAATCTGTGGTGCTTACGGCTTTCCCCCTCGAAGCCAGCCGGGAGGAGCTTTTGCTTGCTCCCATCAATGAACGATCGCGTCACTTCCCAGAAATCGAAAACCTCACCTAAGAGACCGCCTTGAGATAAGAGGAGTCGGTTCAAGTACGCGTGAATGCAGTCCCAGAGCTCAATGATTTGATCGTTGTCCAGTAGTGTTTGTGCGTCGGCGGGAATGTCGTTTGATGCCAGGCGGAGATACGACACTACGGCCTGGGCCGTTGGCTTCTCCAGACTGAGCAGTCGGCGCCTCAGTATCTCGATCTCTGCCTTGCACCGTTCGCAAAATGCCGAGATCTTGTGCCTCAGGAAATCGTAGCGGCTGAGCAGCCATACCCAGATCGGATTTTCCTCTACGCCCAGCTCCAGCAACGCTCCAATTAATTCCATGTGCTCCTCGACGGCCCCCGACGCGGTCACCGTGGTTGATGTGGTCGGAGCATCACTGAGACGTTTCCACAGATCGCGTTTGAACACTTGTATTTGCTGGTCCACATCCATCCACATTCGCCCCATGGCCAAGATGGTATGCGTTTCCTCGTCCGTCAGCTGTCGGTGTCTGCTTGTCGCAGCGTCTGCAATATTCTGCGCATCCTTTGCCAGTGTCCGGGCTTTGGTGTATTGCTCGAAAACCGAGTCGTAATCTCGCTGCTTAATGGACTTGGACAGCAGACCGCCTATTTCGTAAACGTCGCGATGCCGTTCCATGCTGCTGACTACCGATTTCAGCATCAGCTCCCTCTCCCGACCCCCTAGCGCCGGCCCCCATACTTCCTCGGCCTTGACGGACGCTTCGACGAGAGGATCCCGGATCCCCTTCATCCCGTATTCGCTCTCCTTCACCAAAGCATTCTTCTTCGGTCCAGGGGTGGGGGACGCCAGAGGGGTGCTCTGCTTTCCGCTCGAGTAACTCCCAAATTGCCCCGATCTACGAGGCCGGACCGGTGGTTCCTCTTCCTTCCCTTGGTTCCTCATTTCGGTGTAAACGCTATCAATTGTCGCTTTCGCGCGGACGAACCGCTCGAAGTTCGCTTCAACGAGGACCTTCAGGGACGCCGACTTTTTATCGATCGACCGCGACAGGAACTCGAGTCCATTGAGGAGGGACTGGATGGAGGCGTCGGAGTGGACTTGGGAGAGGAACAGGGCGGGCGAGAAGGAATTCGACGACAGCAAGAAACGGTTGCGTAAACGGCTCTCGTCCTCCACCGACAGCCCTCTGCTCTTCAGTATCTTGAGGACACTCTCGCGTGTCCCCAAGGGGTCGGGTTCGTCATGTTTCACCAGATTCTCTCGGCCCGTGTTGGCCTTGAACGACCCTAGGTTGATGGTCTTGCGCTCGCTGCCGCTGCGCTCGAGAGCGACGTACCGCGAACCCCGGCGCCTCAGGCCGTCATATTCCGGGTGATCCTCCTCCTCTTCGAGCTCTGCCGGCCATTCTTCGGGGAACGCCGTGGGTAGATTATAATAACTGGCAATGTCCGCGTCGCTCATTGTGGCCAAAGGTGAGGCGGGAGGCCGTCAGATCGCAAGGAAGGGTGGTGGGATGACCGATCAATGGCCGGAACGAGGAGTCCAGCAGGGCCTCATGCAGGGTGCCCGCAGCGGTAAGGGTGGAGCAAGTCAGCAGCAAGCAGTCATGCCAAGCGGACAAATAGGTTAGTGTAGGACGACGGAACATTAACCAAACCAGGAGAGATGAATGTTCCTTGGTGGTCCACGGAGGGAAGAGGAGGCGATCCTTCAAACTAGGCGTTCAAGTAGAATCAGCATTGAATCTTGATAGACGCGTCCGTGTTATCTGATCTGGGAGTTACTGTATTCCATACCTCTAGTAGAGTACTAAGTACTAAGGTCGAGCGATGTTGCCACTATCGGACCGGGTGCGGCGCTGCCGAAGACCCAAGATTGGTCTGGCCTAATGGAATAATGGAACTTCTCTCTCTCTCTCTTCCCGCACACGCAAAGCCAGTCCGGCCCGTCTCTTCTCTCTCTCTCTCTCTCTCCTCCACTCTCTCTCCCTCCTTTTTCATCCCTCCCTCTTTCACATCAATTGTTTGTGCTGGGGTTATATCAAAATGATTGCTGCTAGGAATTTTGCTGCCCCCGCCCGGCAATGCTTGCGGGCGTCTCGTGTCACCCCCAGAGTTGTCTCGCCCTTTTCGCAGGTAATGATTTTCTCACCACTAGCTTGACCGTATATCGCTAACTTGGATATTTAGCTGCGTGGTTTCGCCTCCGCTGATGAACGGGTCGCTAAGTTCAAGGGACAGAAGGGTTCTGATGTACGTGGGTTTTGGGAATGATCCTTTCTTTTTGGAGGGGTTTTTGCCCGTTTTCTTTTTTTCTTTTTTTGGAAGTCTTGGACCTTTTTTCGCTGCGCTGGTCTGGATCCGATGGCATCCGCCTCAATTTTTCGCCCGTCTTTGCACGCGGCATTGACCACGCTACGCGATTGGAAAATCAATTTCAAAGAATGAGTCTGACATGATTGGAATTTAGGGAAAATACACGGTGACTCTGATCGAGGGTGACGGTATCGGTCCCGAGATCTCTCAGTCTATCAAGGACATCTTCGACGCCGCGAAGGTATGATTCCCTCGTGTCCTCAAGTGTCGCCTGTCGTACCCAGACAGCGCGCTAACCTCACACCACACATAGGCCCCCGTCAAGTGGGAGCCCGTCGATGTTACGCCGATCCTGAAAGATGGAAAGACCGCTATCCCCGACGATGCGATCGCGAGCGTGAAGAAGAACTACGTTGCCCTGAAGGGTCCCCTTGCTGTATGTCTACACCCGCCAATGCCGGAGATGGACCTTGCTAAGCATGATCGCAGACCCCCGTTGGCAAGGGCCACGTCTCTCTCAACCTGACTCTGCGTCGTACCTTCAACCTGTTCGCCAACGTCCGTCCCTGCCGCTCCGTTGCGGGCTACAAGACCCCCTACGACAACGTGGACACCGTCCTGATCCGTGAGAACACCGAGGGTGAATACTCCGGCATCGAGCACGTCGTCGTCGACGGCGTTGTCCAGAGCATCAAGCTCATCACCCGCGAGGCCTCCGAGCGTGTGCTGCGTTTCGCCTTCCAGTACGCTCGCTCGATCAACAAGAAGAAGGTCCGCGTCGTGCACAAGGCCACCATCATGAAGATGTCCGACGGTCTCTTCCTGAACATCGCCCGTGAAATCTCCAAGGAGTTCCCCGACATTGAGTTCGACGCTGAGCTGCTTGACAACTCCTGCCTGAAGATTGTCACCGACCCCACCCCTTACAACGACAAGGTCCTTGTCATGCCCAACCTGTACGGTGACATTCTGTCCGACATGTGCGCCGGCCTGATCGGTGGTCTCGGTCTCACCCCCTCCGGCAACATCGGTGACGAGTGCTCCATCTTCGAGGCCGTCCACGGTTCGGCCCCCGACATTGCTGGCAAGGCCCTCGCCAACCCCACTGCCATGCTGCTGAGCAGCATCATGATGCTTCAGCACATGGGTCTCCACGACCACGCCGCCCGCATCCAGAAGGCTACTTTCGATACCCTGCAAGAAGGCAAGGTAAGTTATATTCCAGTCATGATATCCTGTTCTATCTCATAGGGTACTAACATTCTTACAGTACCTGACCGGTGATCTTGGCGGCAAGGCCAAGACCCACGAATACGCTGGGGCCATCATGAACCGCCTATAAGGGAGTGTTCACTGTACTATTTTTGTCTATCATCTCTTTTTTTATTTAGCCTGTGAATGGTTAGACCCAATGTACTGATCAGTCCTACGTATTCTTATATGTAATTATTCAAAAGCCGTTTTGATAATCTGGTCTTTCTTTGTTGGATAAGATTTATTAAGCAGAGGCCTTGGGTTACTTCGTCGACAGTCATTGAGACTGCCGATCAAGAGTAACCCAACCGTAGGGCGCAGGACACAACGACAGGTATAAAAACACGAGTAACCATGCAAAGCCAAGCAACAGCCAAAAACGCCAGCGCCGGAGACTGAAGGTATCAATACAATACAACACAAGACAAGACAAGAGGCATCCCGACTCAACGCCGCCGACCACCTCGTCTAGTCCCCGTCGCGCCTCCTCTCTTCTGCTTAGTCCGAGATGTTTGGGCGCGTGTGCTTCGTGTCGTTGGAGACCCTCCTGTATCCCCATCACCGTCTTCATCGCCTTCGCTCTCGTACTTCCCACCGTCTGTACCGTCCTCGTCATCCTCGTCGTTTTCTTCCGAGTCGTCGTCCTCTTCTCCAGTTCCAGAGCTCTTCCTGTTTCGCTCAACCTCGACGTGGAGTCGTGAGGACCGTGTGCCCCGGGCTGCTTGACGGCCGCCCCGACCGGGTTTCCTTCCTCTCGATGACGGCGCGGGCGACGATCGTGGTTCTGTAAACAGCCTTGCGTTAGTAGTGTAATAATCTAGATGAGGGTCGGGATTGGAATGGAAATAGCCAACCATCTGTATCAGCCACTGTACTGGGTCTTCTTGAATCCCCTTGGACACTGTGCTCCGGCGATGCCGAACCCTCCATCGCCAGCCGTCTTTCAAACATCATCTCACCGTATTCATCTTCAGGAAGCTCGAACGGACAGTATATTTCCCGCGACCCATCACCATCATCCGCGACATCCATAATCAGAGAATCTTCCTAGACACGCAGACACCAGTTAACCTCAAATGACAAGCTCCAATACAGCAATCCACAACCAACATACCCGTTCATTGAGCGCAGGAAGATTATACAACGTCCCCAGCTTCTTCCAAATCCCAGGTATGCGCGTATGCTCCGCATGCGACGGCGCATATCCCTGGCTCTTCATGTACTCCGCGATAGCGACCATGCGAAAGTGTTTGTGTATCCCTAACAAAGCGGGGGTTCATCAGCATCCGCCCTCTCTTCATTTATCGGGATCGCCTATTGCAAGGTAAAAGTGTGACGAACCAACCGGCTTCCATTTTATGATCCCCTTCAGCAGCGCAGTCTCCTGCTCGTCGGTCCACGGGTCCGTTACAGCGTCGTAGTCTGTGTTCGGCTGCGCTGGGGTGTCGCCGGAGGGGGTAGTCGTTGACGATGGCGTGGGCTCGGCTTGCGCTGTGAGCTTGGGCTTCTTCCTTGGTGGCATGTTGTGTGTGTTGATCTGTCAATTGGTGCGGATGGCGGGGATGGATTTCTTGTAGAATGCGCTCCAAGAGAGGTCGCGATGACGCTGGGCGGTAATGGCTGGCAGCAACGGCGCCCGCGGCGAATTTCGGTTTCCCGAGCTGGAGGTGGCCTGAGCGCAGCCTAAGGTCTCGCGTCACAACGCGCCGTCAACTGATAAGAAATCATCCGCATTCCCCAGGAGGTTCAATGTCGTGTGTCTGTGATCATGGAGTTAGATGATCATGCGACGGACCCTTTCTCTAGTGATGGGCTCTGGAGGATCTCTAAATTCACTTTGCAGTCTATCCAGCCTTTAGAGCCGCTGCCATGGGACGAGAAACTTCCTGGTTCGTCTTGTTATCGTTAAACCTTCCGTTTGGTTCTTGGAGTACTGATTTGCGGATTTTCCTTAGACCTTTCTGGAGGTTTCTTTAAGAGTCCTTTGAGTTTGTTCGAAGACCGTAATCATGGACTACACCAGCTCGACGTACATGGACTCGAATTGTTCAACCCCGATCCTCCGCCGGAGTTGACGACGGACGCCTCCAGCGATACGCACCTGAACTTGGATCTCGACGAGCATGAGGACGATGAGGAATTGGAGCATATATGGGCGCTTGACAACTTGAAGCACGAGCCCGACACCAAAGCGCGGTTAAAATCGTGGGAAACCTATACAGACCGAACGTACCCCGAGCCCGTTTCAGCATACTTCAGCGAGTCCGGACCGAAGGGTTTCGATGCGGCATTGGCACGGCAGACTACAAGTGGCGATAAACATGGCACGAAGCGCGTGGTACGCAATGGTGTTTTCCTACAAGCCCTGCTTAGGCTCGGGCTGGGCTGGAGCTCTATCTTCTTCCGGTATAACGACCAAGATAAGAGGTTCGAGCAGGTGCTGCATGGTATCCGGGTATCTGGAGTCAGCGCAGCTGCACTGAATGGTGTGACGAATGAAGTGCTACAGTGTGGAACAAACATGCAGAAGGTGCGACGATTCGCCGAGAAGATACCTATGAGGTCAAACGAGCCCTCCGTGATGTGCTCTTTTTCAAGCGCCATGGCTGTGATCATCTACACGCTAGAAAGACAACTTGCGAGATGCTCTACCGGAGCAAGGTCACTTCTTCAGATTAGGGCGTTATTCGAGCGACGTGGGGAATTGGTCGGTGCACTAGCGAATATGGTGGAGGCTGTTGAGGGAGCTGCCTCGGACGCCCAGATCATTTCGATTGTCCTTGAGAGAACTGCCCATTTCTCTCAGACGTATAGTCACTTGGAACAGCTCTTCCGGGAGATTGTGTATCGAATCAGCGAGCCTTTCTTGCGCCATGTCGAGAGCTGGGTGGGGTTCCGCTCCGAGACGTCGGCGTTGAATGAGCTAGCGACTACTGGGAGGAGCTTTGTGGCTTTGGAGCACCATGAACACAGTTCCAAAGCAGGAGCGTCGAAAAGGAACGAGGTTGAGTACAGCTATCGTTCAGATCAAATGCCGTCTTTCATACCCACGGACCAAGCGAGGCTGATATTCGAAAGCGGGCGAAGCCTACGGTTGCTCAAACGATCCCATCCCCAGCATCCAATTGCGAGCGAGGGTCTTTGCGATAATTCTCCCAAGTTTGAGTGTGCGAGAACTTGGAAAGACATCGAGAGAATCCAGGGCAAGGCCCACGACTATGAAAGGAGGCTCCGCTCTGAGATACGCAAGTACAACCGGGGAGTAGTCTCTTCCCATAACGAAGTTGGAAGCTCTGATCTTGGCGATCCCCAGAAACGGGACGCGGCGATAGTCGCTGGTACTTTCGAGTTGTTCAACATCGACGATCGTGGAAACACGACCGGACTTTTGGAACTCCAGTCGGAGAAGGATAAAATAGGGCAACTACTCGATAACAACAAAAACACCGACACCAGAGAACTCGAACAAGAAGTGTCATTCGGTCCGGACCTCGTTTCCTCTCTTTATCTGTCAATTGCGCCGTTGCTATCATCTCAGGCCTTATTGATCGACTTCTCCTGTCTTCACCTCCTGTTCAAAGAACACGGCCTCAGAAACCATCTAAATCTTCAATGGCGTTTCCAGCTTCTCGGCGACGGTTTTTTCACATCACGTCTCTCCCACTCCCTCTTTGACCCAGAAATGGCCAGCGGCGAGCGCAAATCCGGCAAAGTACGGAACAGCGTTCACACCGGCCTGCGTCTAGGCAGCAGGGATACATGGCCGCCAGCCAGTTCCGAACTACGACTGGTGCTCATGGGTATTCTCAACGAATGCTACGACGGAGGCGACCACTCAAGCGAAACGGAATCCCGCAAAGAACGAGAACTCCCCGGCGGACTGAACTTCTCCATCCGCGAGCTGACCGACGAAGAAATCATCAAATGCAGGGATCCAAACGCGATCGAAGCGTTGGACTTTCTACGCTTGCACTACACACCATCAGCCGTTCTCGAAACAATACTCACCAAGCGGTCTCTCACCAAATACGACACCCTCTTCAGACACGTCCTCCGCCTGCTCCGCATGGTCTCAGTAGTCAAAGGCCTAATCCGCGACTCCACAGCCAGAGACTCCCTCTCAGGCGACACGCGGAACGTGTTCCAGAAATTCCGCATCGACTGCCAGCACTTCGTCCTCGCCGTGAGCGACTACTCCTTCCACGTCGGCATCGGCTCAACGTGGCAGCGCTTCCAGGAGACGCTCTCCCGAATAGACACCTGTCTCAGCCGCGGCGACATCGAAGGCACGATCGACGCCGCTCACTCCGTCCCCAGTCTCAGGGACTACCACGAGGATATCCTCGACCAGATGCTGTTCGCGCTCTTCCTCAGCCCGCGCCATGCGGACGCCGCCAGGTTGCTCGAGGGCATCTTCGGCACGATCCTCGTGTTCGCGCCGCTTTCGAGGCTGGATGGATTGCGGGGTGTGCGGCATGAGAGCGAGGCGACGGTTTATCGGCTTTATGCTACCTTCCGGAAGCAGACTTCTGCTTTTGTGGGGTATCTGCGTGGCTTAGATGGTGCTAAGGAGTCGTCGAAATCTGGGGGGAGGTTTGGGAAGATGTTTGCTTCGAGGGAAGCGCCTGCTGGTGCTTTTGAGCAGCTGTTGGCTCGGTTGGATATGAAGAAGTATTACTGATTATAGCTCTTGGGAGTATTTATGGGTTAGAAGGTTGTATGCTTTGATGTTGAATTTCTACAGATACCCAAGATAGCACAAATATTATCGTCTACGCCGACACATAAATTTTCGAGCAAATATCACACTCCCAAAAACCATGCAAGAACGCCATCTGTCCAATCCCCGCCCAAATCCCTAAAAGAAATGGAGATTCGACTCCGACCAGCCCTGCGCAAGGAGAATCCGGCGAGCAGACTTCTCCATAGCCTCGGGACCACAAACAAGCACCATGCTTTCCTCATCAGGCGGAGCGTACTGCTCCAGGAGTCTCTCAGATATGCGGCCGCGAAGGCCAGTCCATGAATCTGGCGGGTTCGTCAAAGTGTGTATCACCTGACACCTCTCACTGTCCTCCGCCACGAACGCGTCCAGTTCCGCTCGACACAGGATATCTTCCTCCCGCCTGTTTCCGTCGATGACAGTGCATGTAGTCGGATCACGGGAGTCCTGGATCACAGCGCGCAGAACCTGAAAGATGGGCGTGATCCCCGTGCCGCCGCATATCATGATGAAAGAGCGCACGCGGCGCTCCTTGCCGCTGATGGTGACTCGTCCTTGGCCGAGGTATTCAAATCTTCCTGTCGGGCCTTTGAACTCGATACTGGATCCGATGGGGAGCTTGTCGAGGGCTAGAGTCATCTTTCCGCCTGGTGTGGTGGAGGTCGCGAAGTAGACTTTGATGAGGAGGTCTATTGTTCCTTTTTTGGCTGGGTCGGAGATGGGGGTGTAGGATCGGATGATTGGGGAGTTGGTTGTGGGGTCTGGGGTTTTGAGCATTAGGTGTTGGCCGATTGGGAGGCCAAGGGTTTGGGTGTCGTGCTCGAGGCGGAATGTTAGTATGCGTGTGTCGGGTGAGATGGCTCTTGTTTGTGTGAGGGTTGCTGTTGTCCATGATCTTTGTTGGAGGAAGATCTCTCGTGGCTCGGCAGGTTCTGATGCAGTTTCGGTGTTCAGCGCTTCGAGTGACGCCTTGTCCATTGTTCCGATGTGGTATTCGGGCATCATTGCCTTGGCCGTTTCGCTGTCTTCGGTATTGTCAGCGACTGGCATTTCTTGGGGTTGCAGGTAGGTATCTTACGGATGGCGAGAAAGTCCCCAGAGACATCAAGGCCCGCAGAGGAAATAATACTCTGTGCCCCCCCCGGGTGGCCCTCGAGGAACCCCTTGCCATCGTATACCTCGCCGTCAACAACGAACCACGGGCTCTCGTCACTGGATGCACTCTTGAACTCCTGCAGATCAATCATCCGATTGACTCCGTCCTTTTTCATACTGATTTCCTTCACCGGCTCGGGAGCTCTCGGCTTCTCACCCACATGTCTCTGGCCCCAGTTCCCGTTTATTAGATCACCTCCCTCTTGCTTGACGCGTTCCATCCAGCCGCCGGGCTTGCTCGGATGAGTGGGATGCTCGAACTTCAGAACCCCGTTTTCTTTCGTGATTGTCACGCGGAACCAGGGGTTGTTCATCATTCCGAGAACGGACCAGTACATGTCGCGCGGCTGGATGCTCAGCGCCTCGTCCATGGCTCTCACTAGGATCGCCTCGCTTCTCTCGAGGTCCAGCAACGGAATGTCAAGCGACCAGAAGCACCAGCAGAAACAGGTCTCTCGCCAGTGCATGTCGACTTTTCCGCCGAAGAGGTTGCCCTCGAAGTCGCGGTACTTGTCTTCGGCGTAATGGATGTCGGCCAGCCGCCAGGCTAAGACTCGTTAGCAAGGCGTTGCAAGTTTCTTTGGGGTGATATGTGCATACAGTTGCCTTTGTCCACGGAGATCTCAACCCTGGTAATTCGTCGACCACCTCCAGCATAGGCATACCCCTTGGCCGTGTAGGACGGTCCAGCGGACGCGATTTCTAAAGTCTCTTCGTGTTGTGGGTAGACGACGGAGGAATTGACGTTCAGGTCATAAATGGCGTATCGATCGTCACGCCACCATTTAGGGTCACTAGATGCCATTTCCGGCGAAACCGTCGTCCTGCAAGAAAGCACATCAGCACCTGGCACATAGGTCGAATGCCAAATAAACCCACGGTAAAACACGATTGTCATTGATATGATACCAGTTATCACTGGGTGCATCGGTCAGAATCAATCGCTTCAACCACTTGACACTCCGACCTCCGATCTGGCCCGGCACGACTGCCCTAAGCGGGCGTCCATGGTCCGGACGAAGCGATTCTCCATTCATCTTGTGGGCGAGCATAATCCCCCTGTTGGGATCCATCGCCCAGTTCAACTTGACCGACGTGCCGTAGTGGCCGTTTGGCTGCGGCGTGGTCAGCGGGCGAGGCCATGTCTGCGGAGAAGGGAAAGACACGTACCAATTTGTCGGCCCCTTCCATGCAGACGTATTTTGCACTGCGCAGGGGTTTCGCCTTGCGCAGGATATCTGCCATCATTGGCCCTGTGAACAGGGCCGTCGACAGGGCAGCCGAACCCCATGAGAAACCTTTCGATTTGCGCACGATGTTCTGCTCTTTTCGACGGTTTCCTGCGCATACTAGCGTGATGGGGGATGTGATTTGGTCGAACTGTTGCAGGATCTGGCGGAAGCTTAGGACGATCGGGTTCTGTACCAGTCTGTCACATTGTCAGATACATCATAGATCCGGAAGAAGATGGGGAAAGGGGACAAACCCTTCAATGCTAATCTCCCAATTGGGAATCTCCTCATCTTGGACGCACGGCACGGGGCCATGGTTCCTAACGTAAAACAGCTCCGGTGACGTTAAGAAGCCTGTTGTAAAGAGATGTGAGGAACGGTCACTCCTCAATGGCAACGAAAATATGGACCAGGATAATACCTTCGTTGTACAGAGCGGTTAAAGGTGGCTCTACGTTGAAAGGGTGTACGCCCGTCAACCGGATAAGGCGGGCATCTCGTGGCACATGGTTATCCGGGGTGCCCTTATCTACGGCCAGGATCTCCGTGGGCGGTTTTGATGGCGGCGGTAGTGGAAGATCAGGCAGATCCAGTGCTTCTTCGTTTTCTTCTTCTTTGATTCTGATCTGATCTGACTTGAGGGAGGGCTCCGTTAGAGTCAACGTCCTTGTTTGGACTGCCGTGAGAGTCGCCATGGTTGGGGGGGAAGAGAGATAGTGAGAGTCTAATCTACCAAGCGCAACGGTGATGGTCATGGAGCGAGGATAAAAGGGACCGACGCCGATAGCATCCGGACTAAAACGGGATCTGCAACGGAGCAACGGTTCTCCAGATCGCTAGGAGTACTTGCAGAGACCCATCCGCAGAACTAGCCACTCCTCCGATCCAGTCTCACCCGCGGAGAAAGAAAGCAATTGGTTACCAGAACTGAGGCATCTCCGCGGGCTCTGATGGTCGGGATTCCGGCTGGAAAGCTATCCTGTCCATCGTGTGGCGTCTCATCTGGTGGTGGATGCAAGGACAGAAACACTGACTCCATCCGGGAACCAAATATGCCTCATACTCGGAGCGTGAGAAGCCACCCTGAACGCTGCGTTCTTGTGCTCCCTAGGGAGAGGAACTCTACTGACATCTCCGTGGATACTCGATCGTAAATCTCTCATTCTGTGGAATGTGTGCCTTTCTCCGTCCCCTGTCATCTGGACTCCCTACCTGCGGATAGCCAGCTAACGGGAAGAATGGGTCCGTCTAGGCTGGGGTGGGTCTGCCTGTGGATCAATGGGCACTCCTGTGTTGACTATAGTCAGTGTAATCCCTCCGAGTGACGAGCTCTTACGTTTGAGGTGGAATCATTGAATGTAAACCACTATCAACATGATCATTATCGTCAGGTATGGATTCGATGAATCCACACAGAAGGACCCGAGTGGATAGGGTAATGATTGGTTCAGAGTTGCACGACCGATGCTTATCTCTCGCACTAGCGATTGAGATTAGACTAATTGTTGTCGTCTCCGCGGAGGTCATCGTTCTCTATCAGTCCGAACAGACTCCACTCCAACTATGGTTAGTGAGGTAACTTAGTACCTGTTCTAACGGGTGACCCTGAGGTGTCCAGTTTGTGGCCTGGTCAGTCTTATCTGTACGTCACTGTCTTATCTCTTGATCATCCCACTAATCGTAGTAGTAATAACAGCCCATGAATTGGATCCATGATCAATCGGTTCATTTCCTACTATTCCCGCGCCTGGTGATTGAATCATCCTACCAGTAAATGATCCTGGTTTTGAATTACCATCTCTAATTTGTAAAACCCCGATGTCGTGTGTTGGCCACGGAGATTTGCCTCAGTGGATTACTGGCACGAGACAGTAGATAATGGAGCTCAAGCGCTTCAATCTCCATACGCCCAATGTCAATTTTTATTCCTCCCTTCGCCATTCCCCACTGAGGTAATTGAAGTGAACTGACCCGGGCTCTGGGTACTATGCCTCTGCTTGACGGCGCGAGAAACAGGGACGGTGCTAATGGCGTCGTTCATCTCGAAGTATCATCTTCTCATGCCGACGATACCGGCCTGGATGTGAGGAGTAATGGAGGAGGACGTCAAAGAATTGTAGTGGTGGGTTTGGGCATGGTGGCCATCTCTTTCATGTATGTGGATGATCCTGACGGAGAAGAGCGACCATTCAATGCTGATAATTTGAAAGCGAAAAGATCATCAAACAAGACACTGAGAGGCGGAAATACGACATCGTGGTCATTGGCGAGGAACCCCACGTCGCTTACAACCGTGTCGGCCTCTCGTCGTTCTTTGAACACCGCAAGATTGAAGACTTGTACCTCAATCCGACGGATTGGGTGAGTCCCTGCTTTCTGAACCTGGGTCACGCTGTTGACTAATTTTCGTCTAGTATGGCTCAGTCAAAGACCGCTCCTTCGACTACCATCTCAACACCCGAGTCACCAACATCTACCCCGAGCGCAAGACCGTCCGGACATCCACCGACGACCTCATCTCCTACGATATCCTAGTCCTCGCCACAGGCTCCGACGCCGTCCTCCCCACTCAAACACCCGGACACGATGCGAAGGGAGTCTTCGTATACCGAACAATCTCCGACTTAGAGCGTCTCATCGAGTATGCCGCGCACCACAAGGGTGGCACGGCGGCCACCGTCGGAGGCGGTCTCCTGGGCCTTGAAGCGGCCAAGGCCATGACCGATCTCCAGGACTTTGGCAATGTCAAGCTCATTGATCGTAACAAGTGGGTCCTGGCGAGACAACTGGATGGCGACGCAGGTACCCTGGTCACTCGCAAGATCAGAGAATTGGGCCTGGATGTGATGCATGAGAAGCGTGTAGCCAGGGTCAAGACTGATGATGATAATAACGTTGCTGGGATTGTCTTTGAGGATGGCGAGGAGATCGATTGCTGCTGTATTTGCTTTGCAGTATGTTTGGTCTTAATCCTAGTCTGTACGGCGGCTAATGTCGATTGCAGATTGGAGTGCGCTCCCGAGACGAGCTCGGTGTGTCGGCTGGCATCCAGTGTGCTCGCCGAGGGGGCTTCGTGATCAGTGGAAGGTATGTCTAACCACTGGATTGATTCACGTGTGCTTCCATCTAACAGATTCAGCCTCCAAACCTCTATTCCTGGTATCTACGCCATCGGAGAGTGTGCAAGCTGGGATAATCAGACCTTCGGCATTATCGCTCCTGGGATTGAGATGGCCGAGGTGCTGTCATTCAACCTGACCAACCCAGACAAGGAGCCAAAAAGTTTCACGCGTCCCGACCTCAGCACCAAGCTGAAACTCCTAGGCGTAGACGTTGCCAGCTTCGGTGACTTCTTCGCTGATAGAGATGGTCCGAAATTCCTCCCCGGTCAGCGACCATCAGTCGCGGCTGATGGACACCCCGCTGGAAACGATCGAGAGGAGCCGCCCGTCAAGGCACTGACGTATAAGGACCCGTTCGGCGGTGTCTACAAGAAGTACTTGTTCACGCTCGATGGGAAGTACCTGCTTGGCGGCATGATGATCGGTGATACGAAAGACTATCTCAAGTTGAATCAGATGGTTAAGTCGCAGAAGCCGCTGGATTTACCCCCCAGCCAGTTTATTCTCGGAGCGCAGAAAGATGGAGAGGAGAATGCGGATGATTTGTATGGCTATCGCCGGGAATCTTTCCATTAGACAAGCAGGCTGACTTATAACAGGGATGACGACACTCAGATCTGCTCATGCCACAATGTCACCAAAGGAGACGTGGTGGCTAACGTCAAGAATGGAACGTGCAAGTCTATTGGAGAAGTCAAGTCGTGCACAAAGGCAGGGACCGGATGCGGTGGCTGTATGCCGCTGGTCCAGTCAATCTTCAACAAAACCATGCTGGACATGGGTCAGGAGGTTTCCAACAACTGTATGTTCTATGCCTTTTTAGTATGGCTATCTCTAACCCATGAACAGTATGCGTGCACATTCCGTACTCGCGTGCCGACCTCTACAATGTCATTGCAATCAAGAGACTGCGGACCTTCGACGACGTGATGCAATCAGTCGGAAGGAACCCTGAATCGCTGGGCTGCGAACTGTGCAAGCCCGTCATCGCCTCAATCCTCGCCAGTCTTTTCAACCAGAATGTCATGGACAAAGGCCTCCACGAACTGCAGGAAACGAATGATCGATTCCTCGCCAATATCCAGCGCAACGGAACGTTCTCCGTCGTCCCTCGAGTACCTGGCGGTGAAATCACCGCTGACAAGCTCATTGCGATCGGCCAGGTAGCGAAGAAGCACAACCTATACTGCAAGATCACAGGGGCGCAACGGATCGACATGTTCGGGGCGAAGAAGCAAGATTTGCTAGATATCTGGACATCACTGGTAGATGCCGGCATGGAGAGCGGCCATGCATATGCCAAGTCCTTACGAACCATCAAAGTGAGCATCCTTGTCTGTCCCCTACTGAGCAAGACTGACCATTCCGGCAGAGTTGCGTTGGATCTTCGTGGTGTCGGTTCGGCATTGGAGACAGCGTCGGCCTAGCGATCCGCCTCGAGAACCGCTATAAGAGCATTCGTGCGCCACACAAACTCAAGGGAGCAGTTTCCGGCTGCGTCAGAGAGTGCGCCGAGGCCCAAAACAAAGAGTAAGCATTTATGCCGTCTCATCCTCCTTGCAGATCTAACAACCAGCAGTTTCGGATTGATCTCCACCGAGAAAGGATACAACATCTACGTCGGAGGCAACGGGGGCGCCAAACCCCGACACTCGGACCTGCTCGCGAAGGATGTACCCCCCGAGAAGGTCGTTGCCGTCATCGACCGGTACCTGATCTTCTACATCCGCACGGCAGACAAGCTGCAGCGCACAGCCCGATGGATCGAGAACTTACCGGGGGGGATCAACTACCTCCGGGAAGTCGTCCTCGACGACAAACTAGGCATCGGCGCCGACATGGAGCAGCAGATGGAGGAGCTAGTAGGCAGTTACTTCTGCGAATGGACCGAGACGGTCCGAGACCCCAAGCGTCGGAAATTCTTCCAGCAATTCGCCAACACAGACGAGACCGTCGAGACCGTCGAGGCCGTCAAGGAAAGAGACCAAGAGCGCCCCACCTACTGGCCGAAGGAGAGCGCCACGGAAGACTTCAAGAACCACCAGTGGTCGCAACTCTCGTGGCAGCCGATGATCAAAGCCGAGTACTTCAGCGACGGGCCGCCGGCGATCTCATCCGCGAACGTCAAGCGCGGAGACACCCAGCTGGCTGTCTTCAAGGTGAAGGGCAAGTACTACGCGACGCAGCAGATGTGTCCGCATAAGCGGGCGTTTGTGTTATCGGACGGGCTGATCGGCGATGACGACGCCGGGAAGTACTGGGTGTCGTGCCCGTACCACAAGCGCAACTTTGACTTGAACGGCGAGCAGGCGGGACGGTGCTCCAATGATGAAAGTATGAATATTGCTACTTTTCCGGTCGAGGAGAGGGAGGATGGCTGGATCTACGTGAAGTTGCCTCCGGTGGAGGAGCTGGACTCTGTGCTGGGGACGGAGCGGTGGAAGGTGAGGAAGGGGGAGGCGCCGGATCCGTTTGAGAAATATGACAAGAAGTATAAAGGTATCCGGGGGAAGAAGATCGGGGATAAGGTCCATCAGGGGGAGAATGCCTTGTCACCGCAGCCTAAGTCGATCGACTGGTGATGTTCATTACGGATGATGGTTCTAATGTCTGATATCATATATTGCATGTATTATGCCCGTTTCAATCCTATATACCAAGTTCAACCAGAAATAAACAGACCAAATCTATAGATTCCTATATCAACTTGTAAAAACCTAGAAGTCCAATCCATAGAGTAAAACCTAGAACTAGAAACCCACAAAGACAAAGAAGTGGACCGAACTAGGGCCGTGACCAGACGGAACTTAGCTTAGGGCTCCCCCCCGACAGCCTATGAGCCTTATCTGAGACCGACCCTGATAGAGGTGGATCTTCCTGCCTTCGTTATCTCTCCCTAGATCAATTCTCTTTTTTCTTTTTTTTTTTCTGATTTATAAAAAAAGGCGCTTCTCTTTCTCCGCGGAGGATCAAAGTGGATCTATGATCTGACGCCCTGTCCCTGTCGTTCATCCTCTTCTTGTCCCGGACCTAGATACACCGTGGGAAGGAAGTACAGTAACAGAGTACACCCTACTATACTTAGCACCAGCCGACTTAACGTCGATCCCGGTGGCGCCTCTTCTGTTGACAGATGGCCAATGAGGTAAGACTTGCTTATCTGCTTTTCGTCTGCCTGTTACTATGGGTTGATGTCGATCCCTGGGCAGTTTTCCGTCTGTTATGCCTGGAGACAGATGGTCCCATTTTTCTTGCCTCTGCCATGCCATTACCTCTATACCCAGAACCCAAGGGACTGGCTCCGCGGAGTTGTTCCAGCATAATCTCAGTCTTATCATCCTGATAGCTTATCTCCAGCACTGGCCATGCCCCGACACAGTCCTAGCCCCAGACCAGTATGCGAGTGGAGTGGCAGTCTAGATCCCTCGTTAGTCGATTGACCTCCCGTCTCCACGCGTTAAGCAAACGGACCTGGGAAGAACCGGAGTCGCACTCCAGTGGATATCCCGCAAACCTTATTGGTATCGTGGTCTTTTATATCTCGGTCTGGGTTTTTGTTACCAAATGGGTTGCTGGGTCCTGATTCGTGAATTGATTGGATCTGTGCTATCAAGGGAGTTTTGTCGGACTTAGTCTGGGTGTACCTACTACCTAGTAAGTGGTCTTCATGCATTCCTCGTAGGAGATAGATGGATAGATAGAGGTGTTCTCTATCTGCTTGCGTGCCGTGAAGTGATTGATATGAGATGTGACTCTGTTTATTTGCTAGGCTTGTTGCGTCTTTTCTGTCTGTATAGATATAGATATAGTCGTTGCCCTTTTGTTCGGTGTTTAGATTCTCTTGTAAAATTCATACTTTTTTCTCGGTTTATGTGCAAGGCCTCTATATCCAGACGGCGTACTGTACCATCTTGATCCTCTTCATAACCATTGCAATATATTCTTGAGAAAGTGTAGGGTATCCAGCTCTCTACTCAAGACTCGACCGACAAGCCCACAATGAGCTTCGGCAAATCATTGTTTACTTCTCCAGAGATCAACCCGAGTAATCGAAAGGCCAGGTCAATCCCGATCTTGAACCCTTTCGATCAATATGGACGGGTCTTCTTCTTCTCGTGGATGGGATTCATGGTCGCCTTCCTCTCGTGGTATGCGTTTCCACCTCTGGTAAGTGTTCTCTTCCATGGTGACAATCACCATTCCTCCATCAAATACCTCATCAATAACTAACAAACACACAGCTAAGCGCAACAATCAAAAAAGACCTCAACATGACATCCGCGCAAGTCGCAAACTCAAACATCGTTGCTCTCCTCGCAACGTAAGCTTTTCCCCAACCCCCGGTCATGTACAACAAGGATATATCACTCACCTCTCCCAGTCTCCTCGTAAGGTTCGTGGCCGGCCCACTGTGTGACCGATTCGGACCCCGTCTCGTCTTCGTCGGACTGCTTCTCGCTGGATCCCTCCCAACAGCCATGGCGGGCCTCGTCACCACCCCCCAAGGCTTAATCGCGCTGCGATTCTTCGTGGGCATCCTGGGCGGAACGTTCGTTCCCTGCCAGGTGTGGTGTACGGGGTTCTTTGACAAGAAGATTGTGGGCACGGCTAATTCCCTCGCTGGCGGATGGGGCAATGCCGGTGGTGGAATCACATAGTAAGTATGCCCTAACTCCGTTACATGTCGCTCCGACTTATGAACTCACTTTCTTCGTCCAACAGCTTCCTCATGCCCGCTGTCTTCGACTCCCTGGTTCAATCCCGAGGCTTGTCCCCCCATCAAGCATGGCGCGTGGCCTACATTGTCCCCTTCATCATCATCGTCGTCGTCGCCCTGGGCATGCTCCTCACCTGCGACGACACTCCAACAGGCAAATGGTCTGAGCGCCACATCTGGAACAGAGAGCACGACGACTCCAAGGACAGCAACAACAACATCGTCGACATCCCCACCAGCAACCCATCCAGCGCCCCCTCCCTCAACACCAACACCCTCACCACCGACATCGAGAAGAAAGGCGGCACAGGCACAGACTCCCCCAACTCATCCCTCACCCCAGAGAGCGGGATAGTCACCAACCTCGACGCCCTCCGCACAGCCGACACCGTCATCCCCCTCTCCCGCAAAGACGCCACCAAAGTCCTCCTCAGCCTGTCCACCGCAGCAGTCGCCATCCCCTACGCGTGCTCCTTCGGCTCAGAACTAGCCATCAACTCCATCCTCGGCGACTACTACGCGGCGAACTTCCCCCACCTCGGACAGACCCAGTCCGGACGGTGGGCGGCTATGTTCGGCCTCCTCAATGTCGTCTTTCGCCCTGCGGGCGGCTTCATCGGGGATATCCTCTACCAGTACACGGGGTCCGTGTGGTCCAAGAAACTCTTCATCTCCTTCCTGGGCGTCGTCATGGGCGCCTTCCAGCTAGCAATGGGGTTATCGAATCCCAAGAGCGAGTCTACCATGTTTGGTCTCACTGCCGGACTGGCTTTCTTCTTGGAAGCTAGCAACGGGGCGAACTTCGCCGTCGTGCCGCACGTACATCCCTTCGCGAATGGTGAGTCTATCTATACCCCCTTCCCAAAAGAAGTAAAACCATATGAAAGAAAGAAACGGAAATACTAACGCAGATATACAGGCCTCGTCTCCGGCGCAGTAGGCGGAATGGGAAACCTCGGCGGTATCATCTTCGCTATCATCTTCCGATACAATGATTCGGACTACGCCCGCGCGCTCTGGATTATCGGTGTTATTTCTATAGCGGCGAATTTGGCTGTTGCTTGGATTCGACCTGTGCCGAAGGGCCAGACGCAGCGGTAGCTGGATTTTTTTGTTCCTTGTCTTGTCTTGTTTTTCTTTAAAGATTCTGTCGACTCTTGTGTTATGGATTTTGGGTTGGATCATGTGTATTTTACTTAATGATGGTAATGAAGAGGCGCTGTTGGGTTTGGTTTATTTATTTTCTCATGATTTTTTTGGTCTGTGTTTGGGGTAGAGATAGATGAGTATGACTATGTAATAAATAGGATTGGGAATAATATCTCCTTCTTGGAATGAATAGAGTAGTTAAATCAATGTAGAGCTGGTTTCTTCGACACCGAGTGTATCGTTCGTTAGTAGAAATATGCTCGACGCGATTTTGAGGATGGTGTGCAGGCGGACCCTAGAGCGAGAGACTGGCAGCGTAGCCATGATGGATGCAATGCAGTATTTCTTCCCTCATTGACTTCTTCCATGTGTTCCAGGTTTAGAATAAATTGCAGTCTACAATTTTGATTATTAATGTTGAAAGTCCCATTCCGGTGCCATTGGGAAAAGGTCCGGTGGTGGATGGTATCTCATACTTGGATAGTACATTTATTGAACGAGGATATCATGAGCTTACGGTAGGAAAACCCGGTAATAATGTACTATTAAATGACTGTAACCAAGACAGCTAAATGACCGCCGTATCCAGATAAGGCCCCAAGATTTCCAGCTGATGACCGGCATTTCCGAATATCCTGAGGGTCGGAATCCAGACTCCTCGAGAGTCCGGTCCTGGAACCTCCAAATGTGAGAAAGAAAGAAAATGAAAATGGGTATCTTCGCCAGGAAAATCCGCACCCGGTAAAAGTCGCCGCGGTAAAAACGCCAGACCCATGCAGAGGAAAGTAAATATCGGCAGAGATCATTGTCATAGCTCATGTTGCTGCGCACCCCGACACGTGCGTTCGCTTAGTCGAGTCCACCGGGCACGTCCTTCAAGAGTTCCCAGCCGTATTCTTCCTCAGGCTTCTCGGGTTCCATGCCGAGCGCGTGGCGGTACGCACGCACTTCGTTTTGAAGGCCGGCGACAATACGGAGAGGCACTTCTTCTTCCTCGCAGCGGAGACGGTAGGCGGTTCGGATCATCTCGGCGCACTTCATGGTCTGCGCGTGCCAATGATCGCGGTCCAAGCGGCTTTCCAAGTGGGAATCGCGTTCTGCCTGGAGAAGGCTGTTGTAGTGACGTTTCTGGGCGAGGTATTGCATGTTGTTGTTCTGACAGTAGTTCCGGATCTGTTCAACCATAGTTCCCACGGCCGCCTCGTATTCGCCAATCAACTTGGTATTCTCCACCTGTTCGTTTTTGAGTACCTCGGCGATACGCTTTTCCTTCGTGAGCGCACGCTCGAGGTCGGCAATGCGGGCGGCTACCATGCTTATTAGAACACTCTCAGGGATGCGAACAAGTCTGACGCGATGCTTACCTGTAATTTCACCGTTCACCTGCTGCATGCTAGGACTGGCACCGTCTGAAGAAGAGCGTCTCTACACGACCGTTAGCAAGTGCCATTTCAGATCAGACACAAAAGATCCAAGACATACCATGATCTCCTCCGCGCTCGTGACAATGTTTTTGGTCATCTCACGGTTGTTCTTCAGCACATCGCTCAGTTCAAGCACCATATCATAAAGATGATGAAGATCCATCTGGTGACCCGCATTCATAGGAATCCCCGCGTTCATCCCAGGCAATCCACCGCCGTTGACCTGGCCAGGAGTATGAGGCATCGCGGGAGACATGGACTGGCGAGGAACGTTGGGTATATTGGGTGGACCCGCGTTGTTTTCGACATAACTGGAAAACATGCTCGACCCAGGACTGTTGCTGGTCATGCCACCGCTGCTGTTCAGGGACATGTTCGCGGACTCGAACGCACGGTTCAGATCTTCGAACTCAGGGTCGACTGAGGGATTGATCCGTCGGCGAATGTTACCCTCCTCCTCGAGTCGGATACCCGTGGGCGGTTCAATGCCCAGAACGTCCTTTCTGAATTGATCAAGGTCGCGACGACTGACGTGGGTGGAGCGACGCCGGTGCCCACGCACAAAGGGTGCCCTGGAAGCAGGCGAAGGAGTGGAGGAATCGATGATGTCGGGTGCGCTGGCAAGCTCGTCTTTAGTCGGGCTCTCGGGAGGCGTCACAGGGCCAAGAGTTGTCGCAGAGACTAACTCTGGAAAAGAATCAGGCGTAGACTGGACGAGCTGGACATGAGATGATGGGGAGGGAGTAGTAGTAGCGGCTTGAACTGGGGGAGCTGGTGGAGGAGAGCGGTCATCACCAAAACAGTCTAGTGTCGGTGCCTCGGAACCAGGGCTCCGACGGTCAGCCTCACAGCCCTCCCTGATTGGTGCGCCTGAGGACTCCTCCATCACGTGCTGCTGGGGGGTTGTGAGGAGTATCATTTCTGACATGGCTTGCACTGAGGGGGCTCAACGGGGATGGAATTTTCTCATTATTAGTGATTGACAACAGTAGGAGGTTGGTCTTGTTTTTTTTTGACCCTGTCACTGGCAACTGCTGCTGTGAATTGTGCGCCGCAGGTGCAGTCAATGCACCCACAGTACCTTCCCCCTTGCACGTCTCAAGAAAAGTTACCTAGGTGAATGCTGGCTTATTATTAGAGTGGAAACTAGTCGATTCTGTAACCTTCTGGGTTGTTACAGAGATGGAGGGAGAACATTCGCTAGGCATGATAATTTATTATTTCCATTTGTGTCGGTGGGCATAGATACAGCCTTGTTTGTAAACACCACCAATGGGTATCAGAGGTAGATATCTCCCTCTCGTTGTCTGCTCACCTCATAGGTTAGGTACTACTTCCTTCTTCCCCCTTCCTGGTGATTCGCCCGTTCTTAGTTATCCCCCTCCCAGGTCATATCCATCAAAGCTGCAAGCTTTTGGTCCGAATCCACCAAGGGCCCATCCTGGCTTCCTTGGTTGAACCTCAACGTCCTGTTTTGTTCGATACGGCCTCCGACCCGCGCAGCCAGCATTCTCATTTTCTCCAACTCTTGGACCAGTTCACCATCGCGCTTGACCAGATTGGGTTGGATATTCTCCTGGGGGTTGCCGAACGGTTCCAAAAGCTCTTGTAGCCGTCGCAGTTGGTCCAGGCGCTGTCGTCGTTGTTGTCGCTGGTCGTCTAGGCTCACGAGTCGCTCTCGTAGTTGCTGATACCTGTATAACTCATCAGTCGGATGAAACTGCAATCCGCCAGTACAGTGTCCGAACCTGATGCGGTCCTCCTCGCTTGCAAGTTGATCCTCAAGCTCAGTCGGTAATTGGGTGATATTCCTGGTTTACAACCGGACGAATAAGCAAATTACTGCGCAAAAACAGGGTGACTCGGGGGAGACAGCTCTCACATGTGGCTGGATAGGTCCACTGATTTCTCAACACCCCATCTCAATGAGTTCCGATTGCGCGCGTCCTGGCTCACAGAAGACCAGTAGAGACTGGAGATTTGCTGCGCGACATGTTGGACCGCCTGGGATGGGTAAACGATGCGGTTATGTTGCTTCAACGTTGTATTGACTATGTCCAAGTCAGTAAGCCTGTTGGCATAGTACGTCTCGCCATCGTAGGCGGCAGGCCGCTTGAGGGATAACGAAGGGCCAAACGGTACATTTCTGTATGACATCCTCCACCACCTTCTCTCTCAGCTCGTCCTCTTCGTTTCCAGTCGCATAACTCCTCCAATCCTCTGGAGGCTCAATTCTTTCTGAGAGAATCCGGATCTGAGCCCTGATGAAGGAGGACTTCAGTTCAGTGATGGTACGAGTCGACTCCATGGCCCCATCGCGACACCAAACATCTCGTCTTGAAAGCGGGATGGATCAGGACGCGCGACCGCTTATCGATAAACAGGTCACGTGGACTGATCTCGTGTCTTCTAGATAAGAGGTCGGCCCCACCGCAATGATTAGTCTACGTACTGGCAGATGCATACTGCTGAAGGGTACTCCTTAAATTGGAGGAACTTCTGAGTCGCAGTCTATACTCTGTGTATACGGCTATTGATGATTCCCTTGCATCTGAGTATTACTGAACATTACCGGGGAAGCAAGCGTGGCATTAGAGCTAATTGATCTTCCTCGGTCTTGGACAAGTACTATCTAACCTCGGCAATCTGTCTCATCGATCCCTCTACACTTGTACTCCGCAGATGAGCAAGAAACATCCCATACCTCTCTAAGGCTAACGAGCTGGCGATTTACGACTTCTCGTCTCTGAACTACAACGCCCTCAAAAATATCCAACCCACCCAGCCCTTCAAGGAAATACCACGGCATCGCCATGGCTGACGGTAAACGCCCCTTGGGCCTTCTCTTCGACATTGGTGGAGTCTGCGTAAGATTTGCGCCTCAAGCTATCACTATAAACAGTCTATTGATAATGAACAGGTTGTGTCGCCAATGCAAGCCATTTTAGACTACGAGCTCGCCAACAACATCCCCCCAGGATGGGTGAACTTCAGCATCTCGCGGACCAAGCCTCACGGGAGTTGGCACAAACTGGAACGGGGCGATATCAAAATGGATGCCGAATTCTTCGCCGGCTTCAACAGCGACTTACGGATTCCCGAGCTGTGGCAACAGTTTCATGAGCGACTCCAGAAGAAACAGGCGCCGGGCGCCGTAACCTCCACCCCCGCGCTGCCGCAAGTGGATGCGGAATGGCTCTTCTGGGAGATGATGCGTGTATCGCGGACCCCAGACACTTACATGGCTCCTGCGTTGAAAAAGCTGAGAGCGTCGGGGCAATTTGTTCTCGGGGCGTTGTCGAACACGGTTATCTTCCCTGAGGGACATCCGTTCAACTCGGACTCGAACGGAGTCAAGTCGCAATTTGACTTCTTTATCTCGTCGGCACATACTGGCCTGAGGAAACCAGAGCCGAAGATCTACGAGGTCGCTATCAAAGAGATGGATACGTTGGCGAAGAAGAAAGGCTGGAAGGGCATGGCCCCGTCTGACATCGTCTTCCTCGATGACATTGGAGAAAACCTTAAAGGCGCCAAGAAGGCTGGAATGAGGACGATTAAGGTGAATCTTGGACGAACGCAAGATGCAGTCAAAGAATTAGAGACGATCACTGGCCTGACTTTGCTAGAGGATCCAGGCAAGGCCAGGCTGTAATGGATGTAATGGAGACAACTGCAGCGCATATTCCATGGTTATATAACTTTCTTGTTCAAATAGATATTTCTTGATATACACTGAGCAATGCTAAAATGGTGATCAACAACAAACATGAGTATACCAATTCAATTCCAGTTCTTGTTCTAACTTGTTGTTCAGTGTAAGTATTGGTGGAATTGGCTGGGTCCGCACTTTTGGTGTTCCGACCCGCCGCTCGTCGCCGACCCCAGTTTTGCAGCGGGATGCAGCCACAGGCTAAGCGAAAGGCTTCCACAAAGTCGGCCCACGAATTTTCCCACTTCCCTCTCTCCAGCCAACGTCGACAACTCAGTCATCAACCTACGGCAACCGTCAAGATGGTGAGTCTTACTGGAATCCCAGCTGGATGACAGCCAATTCTGTTATGATTATTATCATCTCTGTCATCTCTTCTCCCACGTTCCCTTATGGTTCTACGGGAATTTTCCCTAGAGGGGGGAACCGGGTCCTTGCAAGATGCTTCGGATGAAAAATTCTGAAGCGCAAATTGCTGACTCGAGTGTTTGTTACTGCAGGCCTTCCACAAGCTTGTCAAGAGCAGCGCTTACTACAGGTAAGGATTTCTCAGAAAAAAGAAATTTTTGGTTGCGACACACACTAACTTCAATATAGCCGCTACCAGACCAAGTACCGCCGTCGCCGTGAGGGAAAGACTGATTACTACGCCCGTAAGCGTCTGATCACCCAGGCCAAGAACAAGTACAACACCCCCAAGTACCGCCTGGTGGTCCGCTTCACCAACCGCGACATCATCACCCAGGTCGTCTACTCTGAGATCTCCGGTGACAAGGTCCTCGCCGCCGCCTACTCCCACGAGCTCAAGGCCTATGGCATCAAGAACGGTCTGACCAACTGGGCTGCCGCCTACGCCACCGGTCTGCTCCTTGCCCGCCGTACCCTGAAGAAGCTCGGCCTTGACGAGCAGTTCGCCGGTGTTGAGGAGGCTGATGGCGAGTACACCGTCACTGAGGCCGCCGAGACCGACGATGGCACCCGCCGTCCCTTCAAGGTTTTCCTTGATGTCGGTCTTGCCCGTACCTCCACCGGTGCCCGTGTCTTCGCTGCCATGAAGGGTGCCTCCGACGGTGGTGTCTTCGTGCCCCACTCCGAGAGCCGCTTCCCCGGTTACGACCAGGAGGCTGAGGAGCTCGACGTCGACACCCTCCGCCAGTACATCTACGGTGGCCACATCGCCGAGTACATGGAGGGCCTTGCCGACGATGATGAGGAGCGCTACAACAGCCAGTTCGGCAAGTACGTCGAGAACGGCGTTGAGGCTGGCGAGATCGAGGAGCTCTACACCAACGCCCACGCCGCCATCCGTGAGGACCCCTACAAGAAGGTTGAGGGTGCCGGTCCCAAGAAGACCAAGGAGGAGTGGAAGGCCGAGAGCAAGAAGAACCGTGCCTACAAGCTGTCCCACGCCGAGCGCAAGGCTCGCGTTGAGAACAAGATCCGTGAGCTTGCTGCTTAAATTGGCGTCTTGTCGTTCTTGTTGCATAATTGAGTGCGATAGTCAACCAAAAAAAGTTCAACTTCTCACAAACCAAGTTTACATATACCAGGGGCAATCTATGGTGCCAAAATGGCGTTTTTCTTCGAGGGGATATTTTGTAGCCTCGTTCATGATCGATTATGACCACGTTTTTATTCATTCTATCAGTTTTATCCGGGGCAATTCAACGGTGAACCAGACGATTTTACATTGATGATTCTAAATTGCTCCAGTAAACTCCCAAGACTGTAGAATTGTCAGTTTAAATTGTAGTGATGATCAGTGGTCTTTTGCCCCCATAATTTCCAATTCCAAAAATCCGCCGTATTGTGCGGCCAGCCCCACCAAATTTTCGGGAGTACCATATGCATTCTCCACCACGACATCATGTCGTTTCCAATCAGCGCCGATCTTTCTTCCTTACGAGGATCTTTTTTACCCTCGTTCTCACTGGTTTGTCCAAGCACAGTATTACATGAGGAAAAGGCGAAAAAAAAGTGAAATCAAAGTTCACACTATTGAGCGTAAGGTCGAAATGGCGGCCCGGGCGGCAATTTCTGTTGTTCAAGGGAAAAGGTTTACTACCCTAAAAGCCCGTCCCTGGTCAGTGCCAGTCTTTGGCCGTTTTTCTGGGCCACCGCTGCTCCCTGCGTCACTGGTGTGTCTTCCCCGATTTGGTGCACGGGTTTGGTTGCGCCTTACATGGTGCTTGATTCGACACTTAAAATAGAATGGGACTTGGGTTTGCGAATGTTGTACTTTTGTCGTGGCTGTACTCTGCACAAGCCAATGCTATACCAGGACCTATCGAGGATCGGTGGCTACAGGCTAGGTATAGAAGCAGTTGGAAAGAAGACGGCTGCACCGTGCTTCCGCAGCGGTGTACACTGTACAGTGTACTAAGTTCCGTCCTCTCTTACCGATGATCATGATCCTCATGGGGCGTTTTTGGGCATCATTCAAAGCACTTCGTTCCATTCAGCTGGAACGATGGAGACAACCGCACCAATCGTCCTATTTGGCTTCAGTATTCCCAGAATTGTCATTCCAGCATCCGCCCAAGGACTACATGATAGTGGGTATCTTTCGGCCGGGAATGGACACTAGAACGACGGATAGGGGAGGATCATTGACTGAATGGGCACCTCGTAGGTCCACATTTAGTGTATATACAACTGACCTACTTATTATCACCGCCTCGCGATATAATGGTGAAGTTGCCTTGTCAATATGTCATATCACACTACATAATCGGTACCATACAATTCGCGCCAACCCTAGGTACTTGTTTGGATCAACAAGTTATCCCCAGAGTGCACAATCAAGAGAACATCTTCTCGTATCTGGACTGGCGGAGAAGTCGACTGAAAAAGCCACTATTCCCCAAAAGGATCATTGAGGGTCTCGGATTTGGACCAACACGATCAGTTCGGATAGGACAGAGCGGTGGCGAAGAGATAGTTATGGGCCGCCGTGATCTCTGCAGAGCGCAGATAGTCCCAGAATGGGGGAGGTACTACTGGTATTTAGCAGTGCCTAGTGGCCAACTAAAACATGGCACAGAGGCCTCTCGTGTGTGGGGAAAAGGATCGCCTCTCAGACTAACCCCCAGAACAGCCTAGTTTCCCCCTCTTTAGGTATCATGCTAATGGGCCTCACGCCCTCACCTGCCTTCTCGTTCTGGACGATGACCGTAATTTTCCACCGGGGGTGAGTGGGGTTAGTGTGTGGTCTTGGCGTTGTGTCGTGTGAGGGACTGACTCCTTTTGGCGGAACCAATAGTGCGGAATATAAGGACGATTGGTGGCAACTGACAAGCAATCCGACGATGACGTCCGAAAGAGCTGACTAGTGGCTCACTGGCTCGACTGGGTGGAGGAGTTGATATGTGACAAGTTGTGTGAGTGGAATGGATCCTCAGACCGAGAGTGTAGTGGTAAAGAGACTTGGAAAGATCCTCGGGAATCGGTACACGGTACATGTCAAGACAGACCTAGGTCCATAGTGACCCTTTCAATAGCTTAACTTCTGGTTCCTCCTATTGCTTAAGTTCTTCTTTGGACCATTCCAGTTGCTGGTTTGAACTGATTGAGACTGTAGTCAGCTGCACAACGCTTCCCTTGCGCCCCGCCGCCCAAATTCTGGCTGTCTCTGATCCTCTCTTCCCTGGCTAGCCGGCGACTCCGCAGGGATTCCCGCTAAAGTGGGCATTCTGCAACTTACCAATCGCCTCATTACCCTTTTTCCCCACGGCTCTTTTCCTTTTCCTTTTCCATTTCCTTTATCCCGCCCCTTTCTGTCTCAACCGTTGATCTCTTGTGGGATTTCATCTGTGCGATAATCCCATGTTGTGACATTGTCTCTTCTCCCCACCCAACCTGACCAGCATCTTCTCTCCGCTCACCATCATGCCCGCCATGCTCCGCCGCCTTGTCCTGATGCAACGTACTTACTCCCGCTGTTTCTAAAATATTTCCGTCGAAGTCCAGATCGCATTCTCCTAGCCGCCATAAGGAATTCTCCAGGAGGCCCGCGACGACCACATTTTGTCGCACCGAAAACCCCGTGTGACTTCGGACAAGGCTATCAAGCGCACGCAACGGCAGGACACTGAGGCCTCGAGCGCGAAAGCTTCCTAGTCGCCCATTTCTTCTTGCCCTTCAGCCAACCGTCACAATATCTCGAATTTCAACATGGAGGGGGTGGAAACGGTAGATGTTAGCTGGCTGCACCATACGCAGAGAGGTTTGTTCGCGCCCAGTTGGTCCTGCGTCGGGATCGCATCTCAGTCCCTCTTCTAATACGATTACACAATTATAGCGGATTTGTCTCGCTGCAAATCGGCCTCGTCGACGGTCAGTGATCAATCTAGTAACGAAACTGAGGCCCCGCCCACCTCGCAACCCAGAACCGATCGGACGGTGCCCGTCACTGCGAACTCTCCGCCACCCGCAGCCGAATCGCCTGCTTCCGTGACCCAACCGAAACCGATACCCTCGAACGCTGGCGCTCGAGTGGAAAATGGAGGAAACAAAGAGGAGAGCGCGGAGGACGCAAGGCTGTCAGCTTCAACGCTGGCGCCCCATAAAAGTTCACCACGACAGATAGGTCGGAGAAACTCCTGGATCTCCAGTCTGAGCTCCAAGTTTTCCTCCGGCTCCACGCCGCCGTCGTCATCCAGCATGAGGGCGCCAGCCACCCCCAGAGCAAGCGCTCCTCTTACCAAGCTGGATACCCATAATCCTTATGGGGCGGCATATTCGCCCAGGGATCAGGAGGAAGAAAAGAACCATGAACCGCTCGTCTCTACGTCGCCCAAGTCGCCGTCGTTCTTGACAAATGCCTTCCGCAAGCTCTCCTCATCGGCATCCAGTGGCTCTGGCAGGACCGTACCCAATGGAGTCATCTGTCAGCGTCGCGTGATGAATATCGACCAGGGCCGGGATAGGTGCAAGATACCCACTCTGGATCAGGGGAAGCTGCGGCGTGTCGCGTTCTGTGTCGATGTTGAGATTGCGGGAACATCCCGTCGCGAGTCCGACGAAGGCAGTCCCCCTGCATGTTCCAAGCGACGTCTGGTTCCAGATATCACCACGCCCAAGCTGAAACGAAGCAACTCGAAATCCAAGGATAGAGACGAGTCGACTGCATCGCAACACCCACAAACCGCGGTAGCCGACCAGGAGAAACCAGGCCAAGGGGCCGCTAGCTCTGGAAGCCCTGTGGCCTCGCCCGAGCCTCCATCCTGCGAGGTCAAAATCACCAGCGAGGGCAGAGAACCTACCAGGAAGCAGGAAAAGAAAAAGCGATCGGAGGAGGAACGACGGGAACGGCGAGATCGTAGGCGCCGGCAAGCTGAAGCCAACGGCTCGGTCCCCCTGCAACTGAATGGTGATGACCCGGACGATGATGCTCGTGTGGCCGAGGCCGGAGCCGCTCGGCCCAAAGCGCAAAGCCACCCAACAACGGACCCTGTTCGCATCTACCGACGCTGTTGTCAGCTGCGGGAAACGCCTGTGCTCAAACGGGTAGTCGACGAGATCTCCTCCCCTTCTTCGGTCCTAGCCGAATCTCCTGGCACTGTCGGTGTGCTGGATCTTAGCAATTTTCCCATGGCTCCTCCAGATATCGTCACTTTCTGTGACTGGCTGGCTGTGGTTCCGGTTCGGAAACTCATCCTGGAGCAATGCGCTCTGGCAGATAGCTCTGTCCGGTCTATATTGGCCGCGTTGCTTTCGACCAAGACTACGGAGCAGATGAGGCAAAGGCGCAAAAGAACCAAACAGTCGGGATTTGACATTTCGGGGACGCAAGAGAGAAATAGCGTTGTGGAAAAGCTGTCCCTGAAAGACAATCCCAAAATCGGCAGAGAGGGCTGGCGCTACATTTGCCTATTCATTCATCTTTCGAAGTCCTTGAAGGCTATTGATCTCTCGGGTATTCCCTTCCCTAAGCCACCCGTCGTGGCTAATGGACCTGGTGAGAACACGAATAGTTCTCCAGGATCTGCCATTGATATCGCTTCTATATTTGCAAGTTCACTTGCCGAGCGCTTTGGCGGCGACCACCTCGAAGAACTATTACTCAGTGAATGCAAGCCTGCAACGGAAGATGTGAAGAGAATCTGTGAAGCCGCCGCAACGGCTGGTTTAAGGAGGCTGGGTTTCGCGAACAACGGCTTAACGAGGGAGGGTCTAGAGCATGTTGTTCGTTATTGTGAGTCCAGCAAATGCGAGGGCCTTGATCTCGGTGGAAATCCTATCCGCGATCACTTGGACTTGCTCGTCTCCGCTATCGGGAGAGACCATCCGCTTTATGCTCTGAGCCTTGCAGACTGTGCCCTTACGCCGTCCACCATCCACCCGGTTCTTCAAGCCTTGACGCGTCTACCGAATCTCCGTTTCATCGATTTCTCTCACAATCCAGGGCTCTTTTCCGGACAGCCGGATGCGTTGGCGTTGTTCAGGCGATTCCTTCCCAAGATGCATTCGCTCAAGCGCATCCATTTAGCCGACGTGAACCTATCTGCCGACCACGTCATTGCTCTCGCCGAGATTATTCCGGAGAGTCCCAGCCTGTGCCACCTCAACATCCTTGAGAACCCCTCCATCAGTGTGCTTGCGTCTGCGACAGATCCTCGCATCCAAGAGGAGGCCTGTGCGGTATATGCCTCTATGATGGCGGCAGTGCGTGTGTCGGGGACAATCATCGCGGTGGATATCCAGGTTCCCAGTGCAGAAAACAACGAGGTTGTCAAGGCCCTCGCATCCCAGATCGTTGCCTACTGTCTCCAGAACCTCGAACGAGGGGCCATAGGGGCTCTAGAGGGAGAGATTTCCGAGCCGGCAGACTCCTCTGCACGCGCCACCGTCCCCGTCCCTGAGATTCTGCAACATTTTGTCGGTGCGGACGAACCGTTTGAGGAGGAGATGGTCGAGAACGAGCCGGCCGCCGATGAAGACTACGTTATCGGAGGCACCGGTGTGGTGAAAGCCCTTGGAGTTTGTCTGGGCAATTTGGACCAGCATATGCCGGGAGATCAGTCTGGGCCGCCTAGTGGCACGACAACGCCCAGACATAGGGCATCCCGGTCTCTTGTCCAGAAACGGCCCCGTGATATGTCTAAGAATCTGTTGGCTTCGGCGCGCAACATACGGACTAGGATCCAGTCAGCTCTGGTTCGAGAAGACCGAGCCGGGAATGACGACAACTACCGTACGTCCCGTCTCAATTCCCCTTTTTGTTTTCGATTCTAGATTTACTGACCATGTGTACCACAGGACGCCTTCAATTCCTTGATTTCACCCTGGCTAGGATGATCAAAAGATTCGAAGATGAATACCCCGAGACACGGATTTCACCGCAGTTCGGTCTGCCGACTACCCAGGAGACGGATTCGCAGAATTCCGGCGAAGATTTGGACGCTGCCCCTCTTGGTAGCTCGTTACCGACCGCCGGGCTGGGTGATGAAAATGCGATCGACGATGAAGATACCGACCAATACGCTATCCGACTCTCGCGCGCCAGTTCCATCACCTCGCTTCATTCCCGTGCCATGATCTCAGAAGAGGGCCATGTCCACCGTCTGGGACAGAACCTCCGACGTGATTTCCTCGACCCCTCTTACGACCAGTCGGAAGACGAACAGACCATGGATGACGCCCATCTTACCGCCTTGCGCGAGAAGCTCGACCGTCTTCACGACCAGCAGAATCGCCACAGTTTCGAGACGGTCGGCACGGACAAAGCATTTGAGGAGCTCGGTTCGACTGTCAAGGAACTGTGGACCATCCAGCGGCAGGATACTGAAGCTTTCCAGAAGTTCAGGCAGAGTCAAATCGCTGCCCAGATCAATAGCGGGAGACCGAGTTCGCGGAGCCAATCTGGCCTGGAAACTTCCAAAGAGCAGACATCTTTGTAAGCTTGGAGTCTGTTACAGCGACTATTGTCTCGCTGGAACCTTTTTCTATCTTTTTTTATGATCTTTTTCGTTTATCCTGTTTGTCTGTGTCCATTCTAGCATGTTGCCTGTTAAGTTCACTGTACTCTAGCATGGGTTGTTATTAGCCGGCAGATGGTGGTGAAATTGTATATACGTGTCTATCCACGGACTCTACTCTATAATATATATAATCTGATTTAAATCTATAAGTATCTGGAAAAAGAGTATATGGGGAGGAGTATGTGGTGTTGAGATCGGCGGTTAGTCAAGTTCCTCGGCATTCCCCAGACGGAAAGGAAGAAACGACCCGGGGTTCACATGTCAACCACCGATTCGGTTGTCTCCGATTCCCCATCTGAACCTCTCGTCACTTGACGTACCCTCTTCCTCCTTCTTTCTCCGACCCCCTCTCTCCGCGACTTCAGTTCCTAAACCACCCTCTCCAACACACACCCTCTCACAAATCGTCTCACCGGTCATGTTCTCCCTCGTCGACTCTGGCTAACCCATATCGTGCCCCCCCCTTCCCCCCTCCCGCGCGGCCATCCCCTCCCCGCAAAATGGCGGCCCAGTCGAAAATCCTCCCCCCCGAACGATCTGTTCGCCAGATCTTCTCGAGTCTAACTTCCTCATACCTTCGTCACCGGACGAAGATCTCCCGAGCCGTCTATTTGACCCTCTTCGCCGCCCTCGCTAAACGGATCCATAATGCTATCTCCGAGCAGAAAGCTGCCTCCCAGCAGCAGGTCGAGCTGCGGCGACGGCCGGGGACGAGCAGTCTGGACGAAGAAGGCGATCGCCCGCGGAAGAAAGTCGAAGTCAATCGCGAGTTTTTCCGCAATTTGCTCCGTCTGCTGAAGATCGTGATTCCTAGTTGGCGGAGTAAGGAGATGCGGTTGCTGGTGGGACATAGTGTCTTTCTTGTCCTGAGGACTTTGCTCAGTTTGTATGTTGCTGAGCTGGATGGACGGCTTGTTAGTAGTCTGGTTCGTGGCAAAGGAAAGGATTTCTTGTTGGGGCTGGTGTGGTGGATGATCGTTGCCGTGCCGGCCACGTTTACAAATTCCATGGTAGGTGCTGTTGTCGGTGCTGTTGGTCGGTTGCCTACTTTCGATGGACTAGGCAATCGACCGACTTACGATGGACAGACGGCTGATTATGCTTGCTTCACAGCTCTCGTATCACCAATGCAAACTCGCGCTCGGCTACCGCAAGCGTCTCACGGATTACATCCATGATAAATACCTTTCCAACATGACTTTCTACGCCATCTCCGCGCTGGATGACCGGGTCAAGAACCCCGACCAGCTGATCACGGTGGACGTGTCCCGGTTCTCAGACAGCTTAGCGGAGCTGTATTCGAACTTGGCGAAACCGATCCTCGACATGTGCATATACAACTACTCGCTCTCGAAGAGCGTGGGCGGCGAAGGGCTGTTCATTATGAGCCTTTTGGTGCAGCTGTCCGCCAATGTCATGCGTGCGCTGACGCCGCCGTTCGGGAAATATGTGGCCGACGAGGCCCGACTCGAAGGGGAGTTCCGCTTCCTGCATTCGAGACTGATCGACTATAGCGAGGAGGTTGCCCTGTACCAGGGCCACGACGCCGAAAAAGATACCCTGGACAAGGGCTACTTCACGCTGATCAAGCACGTTAACCGGATCCTGCGGAGGCGACTGTACCACGGCTTCATGGAAGACTTTGTTATTAAATACTTCTGGGGTGCCCTGGGCCTGATCTTGTGCAGTATTCCTGTCTTCTTCAAGGTCCCTGGCCAGATCAGCCAGACTATGGGTGATCGCACAGAAAGTAAGTGCTAGCCATATAGCTTGGTTTGGACAATATCTAACCCCAACCCAACAGGCTTCGTCACCAATCGCCGGATGCTACTGTCCTCCTCAGACGCCTTCGGTCGACTGATGTTCTCCTACAAGGAGATCTCCGAGCTGGCGGGCCACACCGCGCGCGTCTCATCCCTCCTAGAAGTCATGGACGACCTGCTCGCCGGACGATTCGAAAAGAAACTAGTATCATCGGCCTCAATCGAAGAGAACGCCGAGATCCTCTCCGGCCGTGGCGCAATCGAAGAAAGCGAATCCATCGAGTTCACCGACGTCCCCATCGTCTCCCCCAACGGCGACGTCCTCGTCCAGAAGCTCTCCTTCACCGTCCACCCAGGCGACCACCTCCTCATCGTCGGCCCCAACGGCTGCGGCAAATCATCCCTCTTCCGCATCCTCGGCGGCCTCTGGCCCGTCTACGGCGGCAAGGTCAAGAAACCCCGCTTCGACGAGATCTTCTACATCCCGCAACGCCCCTACCTCTCCCGCGGCACCCTCCGCCAACAGGTCATCTACCCAGACGGAGTCCGCGAGATGCGTGCCAAGGGCATAACCGACACAGACCTCTACGAGATCCTCTCCATCGTAGAGATCGCCTCCGTGGTCGACCGCCCAGGCGGCTGGGACGCCGAGGAAGAGTGGCGCGACGTGCTCTCCGGCGGACTCCAGCAGCGCATCGCCATGGCGCGCCTCTTCTACCACCGGCCCAAGTTCGCCATCCTCGACGAGTGCACCTCCTCCGTGACGCTCGACATCGAGCGCGTCATGTACGAGACCGCCAAGAAACTCGGCACGACGCTCATGACTGTCTCGCACCGCCGCAGTCTCTGGAAGTACCACAAGATGATCCTGCAGTTTGATGGCGAGGGGAGTTATGTTTTTACGGGGCTGGATTGGGAGAGACGGTTGAAGCTGGAAGAGTATGTCCCCCTTGCCCCTCTGCCACTTTTTCCCTTGCTTGAAATGACCAAAACCATACATGAACGGATCTAACAATCAACAGTGAAAAAGACGAACTCGACCTCCACCTCCGCGCCGTCCCGGAACTCCGAAGACGCGTCGAAGAACTCAGCTCTTAGCTGACAAGAAGGATGACCCCTCCCAAGCCAATCAACGATCGATAATCAATCAATACCTATATATCCCCCTCACTAACACACCTTCCATCATCCATCCATCTATATACCTATCCACCTATCTACTCATCTATTTATCTCTCCTCATAGACCACTCCCATGTTCTACGGGCGAGATATTTAGTCACCTTTCCTATCTATCTCTTATTTCCTATGTTGGAGATTTACTATAAATATATACCTCTTATGATTGCTTATGTGAACTCCATCAGCTGATGAACTAAGGACTACAGTAGTTTCAGAGTGAGACTATGTATGCATATGCCATTCATTAGAGTCATAAAGACAACAGAACAAATCAAATCAAGGCTCAAACAAGCATGCATTAAAGTCACAAAAAAACAAACAGTCAAAAACAAACATGCAAAATCATCATCAATGCATAGCAAAGCCGTCAACAAACAGCACACTCAACCGTGTACATGTACTGTATATGCGCACTCAGCAGAAACAAGTTGTGTCACTTCTCCACAGCCAAAGGCTCCACATTCCAAATACTATCCGCATACTCATTAATCACGCGATCAGTAGAGAAGAAGCCCATGCGGGCGACGCAGGTGATCGACTTCGTGAGCCACTCGTCCTGGTTGCGGAATGCCTCGTCGACCATGGCCTGGGTCTCGATGTAGGAGTCGAAGTCGTCCGAGACGAGGTAGTAGTCGCCGTGGTCGACGATCGAGCCGACGAGGGCGGAGAACTGGTCCGGGTCGCCGAAGGTGCCGGATTGGATTGCGTCGAAGACTTTGGACAGGTTGGCGTCGAGAGTGAAGTCACCGTAGAAGTGGCGGTGGCGGAGGTCTTCGACGTCTTCGGCGAGGTTGCCGAAGAGGAAGATGTTTTGTTCGCCGACTTCGCGGGTGATTTCGATCTGGGGATGTGGGTTAGTGGATCTGTTATGGTTTATGTTAAGGGGTAATAGAAGGAAGGTTGGAACGTACATTGGCGCCGTCGCATGTGCCGATGATTAGGCCGCCGTTGAGGACGAACTTCATGTTGCTGGTGCCGCTACCTTCGGTACCGGCGGTGGAGATGTGCTCGCTGATGTCCGAGGCAGGACAGATGATCTCGGCCTTGCTGACGTTGTAGTCCTGGATGAAGATCACCTTCAAGAGATCACCGACATCCGGGTCCTTATTGACAACGGCTGCAACATTGTTGACCAGATGGATGATCGACTTGGCCATCCAGTACCCCGGGGCCGCCTTGCCTCCGATTATGGATACCCGCGGCAGGACTTTCTTTCTCTCTTCCGGGGACATGGCCTTAATCTTTAGATATCGGTGGATCACACCGAAGATGTTCAGTTGCTGGCGCTTGTATTCGTGGATCCGCTTCACTTGGATGTCGAATAGAGCGGTGGGATTCACACTGTACCCGGTACTTTCCTTGATGTGTTTGGCCAGGCGAAGCTTGTTCGCTGTTTTGATCTCCGACCATTCTCTCTTGAAATCCTTGTCGTCCACAAATGCTTCCAGCTGTTCCAGGAGAGTCAACTCAGTCAGGAACTTGTGGCCGCCAAGCTTAGATGCAATAAGCTCCGAGAGTCTCGGGTTAGCCTGATGGAGCCAACGACGCGGCGTGATCCCGTTCGTGACGTTAGTAAATTTATCAGGTCCGTAGATTTTCACGAAATCTTTGAACAGCGTCGTCTTGAGTAAATCGGAATGAAGCTCCGCGACACCGTTGACCTTGTGCGATCCGATGATGGCGATGTATGCCATTCTCACCATCTTGGGATGCGACTCTTCAATGATCGACACGCGGGAAAGCATTTCCCTGTCTTTCGGGAACCTCTTCTCCACCGACTGAAGGAAGAACAAGTTGATGTCAAATATGATCTGCAAGTGTCGTGGCAATAAGTTTTGCATCAGAGGGACAGACCACTTCTCCGAGGCTTCGGGCAAGACAGTATGGTTGGTGTACCCAAAGGTCTGGGTGACAATGTTCCACGCCTCATCCCATTCGAGGTTCTCTATGTCGATCAAGATACGCTGCAGCTCAACGATAGCCAGCGTGGGGTGGGTGTCGTTGAGCTGAATGGCGACCTGATCGGGAAACTCGCTCCACGGTCGATTCGTCTTCTTGAACCTGCGGACGATATCGTGCAGCGAGGCCGCGCACCAGAAGTACTGTTGCTTCAATCGGAGCTCTTTTCCTCTCTCAAGATTATCATTCGGATACAGTACAGCCGAAATAGTCTCCGCGCGCTGCTGATCCGCCACGGCGCTTTCGTAGTCACCGGCGTTGAATTTTTGGAAGTCAAACTCTCCGCTGCTCGCCTTGCTCGACCACAGCCGCAAGTTGTTCGTCGTGCGGGTTCCATAGCCAGGGATGGGCACGTCATATGCCACCGCCTGGACTATTTCACCCTCGTCCCACACGAAGGTTGCCTTGTTATTTTCGTCATGGTGTTTGGTCACTCGACCGTAGAACTGGATATCAACGGTAATCTCATGTCGAGGGAATTCCCAAGGATTGAAATCCAGCCAGTAATCTGGGACTTCAACCTGGTAGCCGTCGACGATCTCCTGTTTGAAAATACCATATCTATATCGCAGCCCGTAACCCCATGCTGGGTAGTTCAGAGTTGCCATGCTATCGAGGAAACAAGCCGCCAGGCGTCCCAGGCCACCATTTCCAAGGGCAGCATCGTGCTCTTGACTGATCACATCTTCAATACGGAAACCGAGATCCTGTAGACCATCTTTGTTCGGACCATTAGCATCGGGACATGACCAGGATCAGCATCACCTACCTCTAGCAGCATCTTTCATCCCAACATTCAGCATAGCATTGTCGAGTGCGCGGCCCATAAGAAACTCGAGAGAAAGATCTACAGTGGTCAATAACTGCCAATGGGCCCAGAAGAGTATCCCACATACAATAGACTCGCTTCTGATCCGCCAAGGACTGCCGCTGCTGCGTCTTGTTCCACTCCACGATCAACCGGTCCCGAAAGGCAAGGGCAGTTCCCGAATATGCAGCCCTTATTCATGTCAGTACTCCAGCAAACATTTCATCAATTGACACAAAACATACGCTTCATCGCAATTGTAGAGCGATCTCGCCAAAGTCGTCTCAACATGACGAACCAGCTCATTCTACCCATCATTAGCCCACAAGAAAACCAACCTCAAACCAAACAACAACCTACCTCAAACTCATCCTTATTGGTAAACCCAGTCACCGACTATATTTACATCAGGGTTACCCGTTAGCCTTCCCGCTCTATACCCCAATCGGACATAGACATGGAAAGGTCTCACATGTTTTCTCCACCTGTAGAAGCAAAAGTCGCCACCAGCTATCAGCTAACCGTCGGGAGAAATTTCCACAGAACAAGGACAGGAATCAATGGGGTGATTTATATTACGCACGCCTCTCTCAATGGTTCCGGGATGCTGGCCTCAACGCTCTTGATCTCCGCTGGTCCGAAGCCCGTGAAGGTCCGCTTGTGCTTGGGACGGCTGAATCCGGGGCCAACTGGGCCTTGGAGCTCGGAGACGGGGGCTCCGATGGATGGGCGTCGCTCGCGGCGTTCTTCGTCGGCCATGTTGACGATTGGGGTGACTGACGATCGGTGGAGGAGAGCTGGCAATGGAGAGGGGGCAGCAGCTCGAATGACACCAGTCTTGTAAAGAGACCACAAGCTGAAAGACGAAAGAGTCCCCGAGTCAGTATATCACAAGTAAGACGTAAACACGAAAGAGAAACAAGGTCCGCCAGAGAAGAGAAACCGAGGGAATAGATATGTACCTTCCCAGAGGGGCTCGAGAACAAGAAGAGGGGAAGACCTGAGACCTCGTGACAAGCTGACCAGGATCAGATCAAGATCAAGCCATTGAGTAAGTTACAGAACAGGGAGAACAGCAGCAACAGGTGGCGGGGTAGGAAAATAATGTTGGAAGTAGTGGGGAGTACAGTAAGGTGGTGTACCTGAGAGCACGGTGTGGGCAGATAGGTACTACACCCTCATACGATGATGGGTGTATACAATTGCCTCGAGATTTCCAATCATCCTACGGGAGAGGCCCACTTGGACAGTATTGATTCAATGACTGGACTGGGTATTGCTTTGGGTGGTACATATAGAAAGGGACTGGTTGGTTACAGTAGAGGTGGATTACTGCAGTGGGAAAGTATTCAACTGTACATGGTGATGTCTACTATTAGACACAGTCACTCCTCAACACCTCCTCAACACCTCCTCCAGCTCTCACCCGTACACAAATCAACAGATCTCCTCCTAATAAAGTGACCAGGTGAATCATGAAAGAAAGAACTCGTTCCGAACCCTCCAGACCTCCACTAACAAAGTTCACTCATGACGCATGCTTCCCACCCACCAAGGTAAAGCTCGGGTGGGGAAAAGGCCTGGAACATGCCTCAAAGACCAATGGTTATTTATGGAATGCAACTCTCAACTGAACTGAAACCTCCTTTGTGCACCTTTCCATGTTTGCATATACAAGTCCTTTATTTATCTCCCCCCCCTCAACATCCGTGCATTCTCTAATGACCAATTCCGAGCTCCGGTGACCCTACTTGGGCCTGTGCTCTACTCCCCACACCTAGACCCCTCTGAGGGGTATAATATGTCTTACAGGAACCACTGTCAGCCTGTGTGCGTCTACATACGTACTACTGTAGATCTCACCCAATAACCATCGATAAATGAGCTTTCTCTATCCTTGTAGTCGCAATAGATTCATCGTAAACTGTAGAAAAGACACGGGCAAGGGTAGGAAATTATAGTCGATCGATTGCATGCAAAACGCTATAGAGGTGTATGGTATGGTATAAGGGAATTGCAGCTCACTGGTCACAAAGAAAAAGATATCCAAAGCGAATGGTTCGCCACAGGTATATCGGGGTAAGCGTGGGATATGTAAAGGGCGGGGGGCGCGGTTGTTGGAAATTCCCTAACACCAACGGAAACAGATCACTTTCCAAAGGCAGGGGGGTTATTAAAACCTTCGCACAAATCATATATGCAAGTCGTGCCCGCTGAGGCGAGTAACTTTTAATCCAGAATGTTCGGATAATATGCTCATTGAATCGAATCCCGGGCCAGAAAATAGGGGCAAAGCAGGTGATACTTTACCATGCGAATGGAACAGTTCCCGACAGTAAAAAGGGTAAATATGGGAAAGATGGGAAATGGAAAGCAAAAGGATGGAAAGAACACAGAAACAATAGTCAAAAACAAATCAGATTAAAGTCAAGAAATCATGCCATGGGATTCCAACGGTAATATCCCAACCCAGCGCCTAACAAATGGACTAAGAGGCAGTATTATAGCACCACAACGCCTGTTCCCGATCCATGAAACACGAGAGAGTATCAATAAAGAGAAAAGCCAAAGGGATTAGAGTTAAAGGAGGGCACAAAGGGAAAAGGAACGTCAACACCGTGAGGAGTCAGTAAGGTTAGGTCAGTCCTGCGAACCAGTGCCATGCTAAAGTAGTGGCTCTGATCGGCATGGCAGCCATGTGGCTAGAGATGGACCGGGAGAAACCTAGAGGATGCCCGAGTCTTTCAAGGCGTTCTGCAATATTGTCTCCTTGACAGCCGCAAATACTAGGCGGATATTCGTCGTGTCGGTCGCTTGGGTCAGACTGAATATTGGCAGACAGGTCAGCGCTCCCCTCTGGGTAACTGGTCTTGGGGGTGAACTCACTGGGGATAAAGGTTCAAATGAGCCCGATTGACCTGGTTGAACCGCCACAACAGATATTTGGCAGCGCGGTTGACGTCGTTCCCGCCCAGATAATCGGGGAAATAATCGCTCAACGGCGACCGAGGGAGTTTCTGGCGGAACAGATCGACCTTGTTCAAGAAGAGGATGATACTGGTCCGCATGAACCACCGGGAATTCACGACGGAATCGAACAGCACTAAGCTCTCCATCATTCGGTTCTGCGAAAGCACATCAGCATCAGGTCTCGTCGCGCGACACGGGGTGGAGCTTACTTGGTTGCTTTCTTCGAGGAGTACCTGATCATACTCACTCAATGCCACACAGAAGATGATCGAAGTGACGTTCTCGAAACAATGGATCCACTTCTTCCGCTCACTTCGTTGGCCGCCAACGTCAAACATGCTATATACCATAAGCGACCGCACGGAAGAATGATCGGGAAAGTCAGCCATACTGTATGCTCAATTGGCCCATCGTGAACCGTGTTTCGTAGATACCGGTGGTCTTTGTTCTCGCGCGAAGCACATCATTGACATTCGGGGTGTATCCTTGCGACGAGATCCGTTTCGCTTCCTCGAAGAAACTAGGGGCGCATTAATATGGGCATGTGATATCACAAACGCCAGCAGGGGTTCTTACTATGGCGCAGAGTCCATCAGGTAGAACTCATTCTGATGCTCCAGAACTGTCGACGTGCACGGGTCATTCCAGAGGTATGTGATCGCGTCCCCTACTTCCGGATCGAGGAATTTGGTCGGGTCGGGGTCGATATTGTAGTTGTCAAGGTATTTGATATAATCGCGAACTTTCTGGCTCGACGGCTCCAGACTAAACTGCCGGTAGGCTCCAGTGATGGACCTGGCGCAATCCAAGAGGTTCTTATAGACCGTGATGCGATATAAGAGCAGTTCCTCCGTTGAGTAGCCATTCTGGTGAATGATCTTCATCTGTTTGACAATCGTGGACTTTCCGCTTTCGCCGGATCCTAAAGCAAAGGAAAGAAAAGCGATCATTAGCCAGACATAGGGGAATCATCAAAGAAACCATTCAGACCTACCCAGTAGTAGGATCTTGCATTCCTTCCGTAAACGCCGCGAATCCTCCTCTAATTTGCGATCGATCGCCTGGCTGTGTTTCTTCTGCTCCGCATCTCCTGTCGACTCCGAGCTCAAGCATGAACCCATATTCTCGTTAGATGTCCCAGACAGCGAAGGCTCTCAACCATTAGCTGCCTGCGGAGGTGAACAGCATCGACCTATCAGGACACCTGGACCCGACGAACACCGCAGGTACCTAATATCACAACGCCAGAGAGTAAATCACAGTGCGAAAAATAATTACTGGCGCGATCGGGTTTCGGAGGCGAGCTGACAGAGAAGAAAGAAAGAGCCAAGGGAAATGAAAAGAAAGGGAGCAGAAGGAGCGGGCAAGTTTGCGATCGACGAACGAGCTCGGTCCAAGAATCGAGGCTGCACAGTGGCCAGAAGCAGGCACCACAATAATAATTCCGGTCTGGGACTGAAGGTCTGAGCGACAAATGCAAGCTCCCGGGGAAGAGGCGGGGAGGGGGGCTGTGGTTTGAGGGAAGGGAAGGCGATGGCTCGTGATGCAGATGAAACTAGGGAGAGGGTGGACGGGGGTGAAGGTTGGAAAGGGAGTCCAAGCGTTCTTGTGGTGTATTGTCCTCCTTATTAGGCTGGCAATGATGAGGGGTGACAAGAATCAAACTGCGGAGCAAGAAGGCGAGAGAGAGTGACAAGCCGACGCTAAAAGGATAACAGAGGTCGATCGGGGGGGATGATGTGGGAGTGTGGATTGAGAGCGCGGGTCTCCAGTGAGATAATGTAATCAGTGAGGATCAGAGTGTGGGATTCTCCAGGACGCAATGTGTCATGCATGTAATAATGGATGGGAAAATAATAGTAAGAATAGTAACGAAGATGATAAGAATAAGAATAAAAATAATCTGGAGAAACACGAGACAGGTGCGGGTGAGCGGATGAAAGTGTAAAGACAATCAATGGAATGAATGGAATTAGGATTTATTAGATATTACTGTCTGGTCAGTAGCGGTGAGTTGTATAAAGAACAAATAACAGGCGGTGGAATTCGTGTGTGGGTAGTCGAGTTGTAGTAGTAGTAGGAGTAGTAGGAGTAGTAGGAGTCGTCGGGAGGAGAAGGAAAGGGAAGATATTGCCTCAGAACCCCCAGAGTGGATGGTTCCCAATCGTCATATATTTGGACCGATTGGGGGTGGAGATGATTACATACACAAACCCCAGTCAACTCAGATCGCAGCGTGTGGGTATTGTTCGCAAAAAAAAAAAAAAAAAAAAAAAAAAAACGTGGACCAGGCGAAGCTTACCAGATGGGTCATGGTTAACATTATAAGTACGGAGTACTCCGTAATAAATCAAGTATTGGAGAAATAAGAGCTTGCTCGGTGTTACTCTATCTAACTTCCGGTGGCTATGAGGAGAAACTCCTTGTGACAGAATCTGGACTTAGATTGAGTCCGGAGTCGGGTCGAGAAGTGTTTTAATTTCAATCCTTTGTGTCCGAGTCGGATGGCCGAAGGTTAAAAGGGCGCTATTTGCATCCATGATCATCCACATATTGGGGGAGTGTGATGAGAGAGATCAGGTAATGGCCATTACCCATGATTTAATTTAATACACCATATTACGCGGTCGTGTCTACCGTGAATTAGTATCTCTTGGTAGGTACTCCTGTATCCTCGTATTATTGACCACCGGGGAGAGATCGGATAAGACGGTTACTGTAGGTGACCCAGGATTGATTGAAATGTTTCTTCCAAGGATTCCTGTTCATTAAATTACTGCCTACTTTCCTACTCTTCTCTCGAGTCCGATCTATCCATTCTATGAGAACCCCACGAATAAAAAGCAAGATAAACCAAACGTCATCCCAATCCGGAGGTGATCAAGACAATAGATCCATTTCTATACGACGTGACCTCTGCACAGTCAGTCTTAGACTGACCATGAAATATCCAACCTAAATCCTATCAACACATATCCTCTAGAGTGATCGGTTGTGTCGTCACTTTCACTCCCATGGCTCGCAGATAGGGTACCATTAGATTTGTTACATCCATACATCTCCTGTTTACTCCGTACATAGCCCCCCCCCACGGAAGCGCCCCGTCCAAGCGCGCGATGCTGGTTTGGGAATGTCAAGGCTGAGGCCGGGCTATGCCCTTGCAGGACCCTGGTTGGAGGACGGAATTCTCTAGGGTTTATCCTAGCATCACTATCCTAGACAGAGTTTGTGGGGACTGTCTCATCTCTTGTTGAAATAGAAAGGCGCAATGACCAAGTAAGCCATAGATGATATGACCCTAATTAAATCTATTGAATCTGTTGGATATTTGAAGTAGGCGAACCTACAACACTTAGGTACTCCGTACTGGGCCGTAAAATTGACATGATATGGGGTTGCCACGTGCACCGTATGGGTGGGTTGGGGCTAGTGCCCTCGGAATACTACATGAGGCGATCGATTCCTCTGAGGTTGGTGAAACAGTCAAGAAAATATCTAGGATACCTGGGCTCGTGGAGGAAGTGTGCCGACATTATATAGCTATAACTTAAGGCATTGTGGTCGGGAGTAAGCAGGCAGCTGTGAATGTCCATTGTCAACGTCAGTGTCTAGGCTGTATCGAAATCTTTGGGCGATAAGCTACGTGGCCAAAACCTTCTTCTTTGAATCTTTTATATTTTTTTTTCCGGGACAACCACCATCAAAAGATACAGAGGGTCTACATTGTGTGGGTCAGACATGCATTCTACCCTTCTTTCCCTCTTAGATAAGGAATGCAGTTCTCCATGTCCGTCTTTCGATTCGGCATAATACGTGTCTCCTCTTGAAACGCCATGGTCGGTTTTTAGTCACAAACAGGAGGATCTTGCTTGGCAGATTGATACTTCGGGCATTTCCAAGAGACTAACTCGCATATCCATATATAACTGCAGAGTAGCATTCCTACCTAAGACTTTCATACTCCGGTTCACCAACAGAATCCCGTCTCTTTCAAGGGACACCCATGAAATCTAACTACTGTTAAGAGTCCCGATTCATTTTGTACGGTTGGCTCTGATACGAAGCGTCCAGAACGGATTGGAGCCAGCCGTTCAGCCCCACAGCCTGGAGAACAGGGACTATGATGGAATTGCAGCCTTGGAATAGGACTGTCTAGCCTTGTCGGGATAGATGTTGAGAAAGACAGACTGGTCTAACCCTAATAAGTTTATTGTCATTGCTCAGTGTAGGTGAGGTGCTCGTCTCCGTTGATTGAATATTAACTCTAAGACAGCCTTGTCTGCTGCCTTTCATACAGTATGAACGATACTATATCTCCCATTTTGTACTGCGACTATACTAGCAGATGATGCCGATCGTACATTGATGAGCCTCACACACCAGGTGGGTGATGAAAAATAGAGAAAGAAAGATAAGAAAGCTTTGAGAGAAGTGGTGTGTACTCATAGCAATAGCAATTTTCATCAGTCAACTTGTAGTAGTGTATGTCTTGATGTCTGGAATGATGAGGGATATTAGGGGATATATAACCTCATCTCAAGAGGTACACAATCTCCTACCTAATAATAGAAGGTCTGAAAGATGGAAGGCTTGAAGCCTTTCGTGCGCTGAGCTAAAAACCATCCAGTCAAACGTTAGATAAGCGTAGGCAATCTTGCTTCAGTGACTTTGGAACCATAATCCGACCAATAGCAAATGCCCAAGACGATCTCATTTATACATTAGGGACCGCGTGGAAGAAATTACAGTTACTCATCTTCCCAGATCCTGCTTCTCTGGTCGCGGACGTCATCGCTCCTTTTGGTCTTTGGCAAAGGCTCCAACTAAGCGGGCTAAAGTCCAGTTTCCCCACATGCCTACGACCCTGCTACCCAGGTTTGCCGCCACCTAGTCGGACACTCTAACTGACGGCTTTTGCTTCCTCTCTGCTTTCTGATTTACCCCCCCCCATTATTATTATTCGCCCCTCAACTGTCCCTCCGATTTTCAATATCATCCAACTATCGACTCTCGGCTTCATCTTCCCCAACACCCATCCATTCCTTATCCACAAACCCCTCCCTCTCCTTTCACCTCCACTTCCCCCTCTTTTTCCCCTCGTTTTCTCCCCTTCTTCTTGAGACAAAGAAAGGATAGAAAAAGATAAAAAAAAAAAAAAAAAAATTAAATATACGAGGGAGAAATTAGCAACAACGTTGAAGGATTCGTCTCGAATATTGTCGTTCATCCTTGATCCAATATGGCGGAATTCGTGCGTGCCCAGATCTTCGGAACCACCTTCGAGATCACCAGCAGGTACAATTTTTTTCCACCGTCGTCCTTCGACTTGATACAAGAATGGTCTTTCTAAACGTTTGGCAGGTATACAGATCTGCAGCCGGTGGGAATGGGTGCCTTTGGTCTCGTATGGTATGCTTGAACTCAACCCCTCTTTTTCGACTTTTCCTGCAACACCCCGCGTCCCGCGTCATCGAACATGCGCTGACACGTTCCCCGATAATGCATCAGCTCCGCAAGAGATCAATTGACCGGTCAGCCCGTCGCCGTGAAGAAGATCATGAAACCGTTCAGCACCCCGGTCCTATCCAAGAGAACGTACCGCGAACTGAAACTGCTGAAACACCTGCGACATGAAAACGTTAGTCGACCCAACCGACCGTAAAGACCGTCCGCTGGGTTCGTCTGTTGACCATCTGCAGATCATTAGCTTGAGCGATATCTTTATTTCTCCCCTGGAAGACATGTACGCGATTTATCCTGGCTTGGATGATCGACAGGGCTTGAACTGACTGAACGCTGTAGCTACTTTGTCACGGAACTTTTGGGAACCGACCTCCATAGACTCCTCACCTCCCGACCGTTGGAAAAGCAGTTCATTCAGTACTTCCTATACCAGATCCTTGTGCGTGGCCACGATCCCTCTCCCCCCGGTTTGGTGAAGGTTGGTCGCTAACCTTCCGTCAGCGGGGCCTGAAATACGTCCACTCGGCAGGTGTCGTCCATCGGGACCTGAAGCCCAGCAACATCCTTATCAATGAAAACTGTGACCTGAAGATCTGCGATTTCGGTCTCGCCCGTATTCAAGATCCCCAGATGACCGGCTACGTTTCGACACGATACTACCGCGCCCCCGAGATCATGCTTACATGGCAGAAGTACGACGTCGAGGTGGACATCTGGAGCGCAGCCTGCATTTTCGCGGAGATGGTCGAGGGAAAGCCTCTCTTCCCTGGCAAGGACCATGTGAATCAGTTTTCGATCATTACAGAGCTCCTTGGAACTCCGCCGGACGATGTGATCCAGACTATTTGCAGCGAGAACGTTAGTGTTTTCTTCCTTGTGGTTCATTTTGCGGCGTCATGCTAACATCGTCTTCACAACAGACTTTGCGATTCGTTAAGTCGTTACCCAAGCGGGAACGTCAACCTCTGGCGAACAAGTTTAAGAATGCCGATCCCGACGGTAAGCCTAGTTTGACGGTTATTGGATGGGGATGATTCGGTCGCTGACTTTCACAGCCGTGGACCTCCTCGAGAAAATGCTCGTCTTCGATCCCAAGAAGAGAATCTCCGCTACCGAGGCGCTCGCACACGAATACCTTGCCCCCTACCACGACCCCACCGATGAACCGGTGGCCGAAGAGAAGTTTGACTGGTCATTCAACGACGCCGATTTGCCCGTGGATACCTGGAAGATCATGATGTACACGTTCTAAAATCAAGCACTCACGGTGAATGCTCTGCTGACATGACATGCGCAGGTACTCGGAAATCCTGGATTTCCACAACATTGACCAAGGCCCCGATGCCGGTCAAGTCTTTGGACCTGTCGGAGACGGACAGCAGGGGTTTGCATGAGAAGTTCCGATTGCTGATCCCATGATGAGGAAGTTTTCAACTCTTCTTTTTACTCCCCATATGACAATGATCCAAGTAGGCACAGGTGGTCTGCATTTGTCATTCCACCTGTCCAGGCCTGTCCCGGTTTATCACCATGTGTCTGTGATAATTTTGTCGGTCGCCGTTTTGTTCAGAGCGGAAGAAAGTAATGTGTAAGTGGAGGTTTTAACCATTCATGCTATTGTTACTCAGTTAAGAGTTGGATGACCTGGGAGTTGAACGCGTCTGTAACACGAACAATTCATCTTGACATCGTCTTTACATCATCTATATTATATACAAGCACGTGTGAAATCTGCCGTATGAATCATGGATCAATCTCGTATGATCGAAGTCTCTTAAGGTACCTCAAACACCCCTCAATATCCAGGTCGGCATGATCATCATCTGGTGGTCAGGCGCGGTCACAAGATAAAAATGGAAACACTCCACCAGGACCACCTGGGCTGAAGATCCATGGCGACCGTAATGAAAATGGCTGCATACTTGGCCACTGGGCCGGCAGGGCTACAGTACCACTCCGTACTACTACTACGTAATAGGCCCTCAGACAGCGGGGCTTACGGAGGAAGGGAGACTTCATTAACTACTAGTAGTAAGTCAGAATAGTTGACGATCCCCAGCTTTACTTTCCAGTCACCGCCCGAGGAAGAGCAAACCATTCTGCAACCCTTCAATTTCCCCTGGTTCCAAACAAGTAAACCTCTCCCTCCGGACCAACTCTTTCGACCGTTGGGTTGTGTATCTTTATAACGGATCAATTATCATTCTTGGGTCAACACGTGAGGGGGGTTTGATCGACCGTCTTTATTTCTCGCCTTTTCTGGAAGGGCTGCCCTCACCCTTCACCAGGAAGGAAACTGGCTTAGAACGTGTCATTTTCGGTGGTTGTTTTTGTCATTCTTTCTTTTTTATTATAAGTCACACCCCACAGATAGCCCTCCACTATGGCTAGTACCTCGAGTCAACAGGTGCCCATTGTTATGGTCATTGATTTCCACCATGCAAGGTGAGTAGCTCGAATGAGGGGAAGAGAGAGGCGTCGTTGTATACCGCGCGACATTCTTCGGCTTGAACTCCACACGAGTCGCATCCCACACCACCACCACCAGATATGCGACTGCGACACAGGGCGCGACGAGTACCTCATGCGGGGCGGACACATCGGCTAACCCATATCTCTCTTCTTTCTCCACAGGGGCCCCGAAATCGAGCACTGTATAGGAAACGAGGGGACCGACCCCGCGGTGGAAAATGACTGGTCCTTATTACCATTCATGGCGCTATCGGACGGCGCGCATATGTACGAACCGCCTCCCATTTCTCCTTTCTCCCACTCCTCCCATACCGTCTTCGGAACACCCCGCAAAACAACGTTTAGTCCTTCATTGACGTGGTCCCCGCGCTGCGATTAGGTCGACCGAGGAATTCTCGTATTTCACCCTACATCAGAAAGAGACCGCCACGGAGCCTGCGACTTCGCTTTTTGGTATCGCCTGCGCCAGACAGATCGACGCGAGTATTCTCAAGTACAAGCCGCCGGAGGTTACGCGGTCGACTGTGCAGAAGGCTGTCGTGGTGGTGACGGATAGTCCGCAATATCTGGGCCAATTGAGGGAGAAATTGTCGGTGGTGACGACGGCTTGGTTTGCGCAACGGTATGTTGGTGATCGCATCCGATCTGGAGGTGGCGGCGCTCGCGCCGTCAAGTGATCATATGGTGGGACAATGCGATGGGGAATGTGGCTGATTCGTCTGGTTGAAAAATAGGGACTTTTCGGACTTTGATATTCTCAAGGTGTGTTTCGGCGCTGCGGTCTGACCCTTCGAAAACATGCTGATATATGTGGTTAGAAATTCCGAGAAGGGCTGGTGATTAGCCTGGAGAAGAATGAGAGCTTCAAAGACCAAAACTTGGGTAAGACTGCTGCATTGGGTGCTATATGACATGTCTGATCGGTGTAGGACTTTCGCTGCGGGAGATGATCCACGAGTTCAAGTACCAGACGCTTGTATTGTTCAAGGCTTTGCTTCTGCAGCCAAAGGTACGGATAATTCGCGCAAACGACATAGCCTTGTTACTGACCGTCGACAGATGCTGTTCTTCGGCTCGAGATGCGAACGCCTGTGCATGATCCAGTTCTCGCTCGTTTCTCTCATACCGGGCCTTATGAACAGCCTCGGGGACTGTGCCGATCCCTCATTCGATAACTATGCGCAAACCGTTCAGAAACCGACCTCCCTCAAAACTAGCGACAGAAGCTCTTGTATGGGATCAGCTTCCCCTTTGTAACTACGATGGCTAATTATTTCAGTACTATCTTATATGGGGCTACCATTACAAATCTTTGGAAAGGTTTGCACATTTCGGAGAAGCGTTGTGGGTAGTTCTGACTTCTTCCTAGGGCAGCATGTTCGGGCCGTACACACCATTACAGCAGCTGGATCTGCTCGCAGATGACGGAACCAAGTCATACGTTGTCGGGTCGACGAACTCTTTACTCTTGCAACAGAAGGACCGCTATAGTGATATTTTAATCAACGTAAGTAGCTGCACTCTCGGTAGCTTGCGTTTTCTAACTTGATTGCTCTAGCTTGACGAAGATACCATCAATATCTCATCCCTGACTTTACGAAATGCATTGGCGCTGTCGACCGCGGATAGACGTTGGATCGACCTCCTTACCCAAATCATCAATGAAACGTGGGATGAAAGCCACCCGGAACGCCCCAGGACGCACGGCTATATGGGATCCGAGGAGTTCATCAGACTCCAGTTTGAGGAATACTTGCTCGCGCTACTCGCTTGCATGAAGTACCACGAAGAACTTGACTCATTCAACGCCGGTGATCCTGGTCGGAGGACCCAGGAGCAGATAGATGGACTCAACATTGAAGGCGACCCGGCGTTGGAATTCAACGGAGAGTTCCTGGCAATGTGGCAAAACACTCCCAACTACGCTCTCTTCTCGCGTCTAACATCCGATGCCCTCCCTTTCTCGATCGTCGAACCCCGTCATCCTTGCGCTGGAGGCCTCACAATCGACGATGTCCAACGACGTATCTCGCAACAGGTCGCAGATCTCCATCTCGACGAACGCGTCCGCGAAGGCCGCGAAGCGCTCAATAGACACCTAAGCACCGGCCAAAAGAAAATGAGCGCCGCATTCAACAGCTTCTGGTCCGACATCGAATCGATGCGCGAAGCCCAGAAAAAGCGCAACGAAGAAAAGGCAATGCAGTCTCAGCGACAGTCCCTAGACGGAGGATCCTCGCCGCAACCACCACCTCTCCCACGCTCGAATTCCGCAGCCGCTTCAACGACAGCAGGCTCCGCTTGGATGGGCCGCAAAGCGCCCCCGCTAGACATCAACCAAGCGCAAGCCTCAGTCAACTCCGTGGGCCAGAAAGCAGGAGCGTATATCAGCTCGTGGAGCTCCTGGGCCTCTGACAAACGCAAGGAGTGGCAGGAGAAGAAGACTTCTTCCCCCTCCTCCCCATCCTCAGTTACCTCCCCGTCAACGCCCATCCTCGCCACCGTTGCCGAGACAACTGACGCCGAAAGGGGCAGACGGAAGTCTCTCCAAGCGCGTCGCAGCGAAGACTCGAACGCGAGCCTTTCAAGCGTCAGCCTTTCTCTCTCCCGCAGCGGAAGCCGCAGAAAGAGATGGAGCAATATCCTCTTGAGGCGCGAAAGCGGCGAATTCGGCCCCCTCCACCGGAAGGGTGATAGCAGCGGTGAGAGCAGCGACTACGAACCTGTTTATCCGAGATCACCCTTGTCTCGGGAAGCTCCGGTGCTCGGTGAAGATATAGAAGAGCCGGATGTTACGGCCACAGATCATGCGGACAAATCGAGTACGAGTGCCGATGCCCACCACAATACCGAAACCCAGGCCCCGAAAGAAACAAAGGTCTCACCACCCTCCCCGGTAACCGCCAAAGAAACCCATACTACAACGTCTCAACCTCAAGACGATACCAAAGAGGAACAACACGACAATCACCCCCAACAGCCAACAAGTGATGAGAAACCCGCCTTACCCTCTGAGACCACCAGTCTCTCCACAAGCAAATAATCTCCCTTTTTCCTCTTCATCTTTCTCGATATCCAACTCGGACATTCTACCTACCCAGTCTTGGTCTTTCTTGGACATGATGATCTACACGGCACTTACTTACGGGGTGGCTTTCTCTCTTTCTCTTTCATCTTGATTCTTCCAGCGACGTCTATAACACATTATATCACACGTCTAAAACCAAGCCAAGCCAATCAATACCAGGCAATTTCACAATCTACACTTGTTGAACCTTCGATACCCAAATGCAGGGCTTACTTTTGTGTTAGTATTATCTGCTAATTTTTTTCTTTATTTGTCTGTTTCAATCTGTCATCTATGGGTATGATCATAGCCAAAGATACTCGTGTAATATATATATACTTGGACTCACTATTATTTCTTGGTCCTTGCTTTGAGGACGTGCTTTTCTTTGAGATATCACGTACTGCATGTCTACTGTGGTTTACTAGGTGCTGCTACTATCTGTACCCATTCCAACATGTATAGAAGGGACAATAGTGGAAACAGAGGTAAATAGCCCTACAAAAAACAGATCCATCCACTTCCATCTCATCAATTACATTACTCCAGTCAAATGCTATGTAAGAATTGATTCATTCATTTCAGACGTAATAGAACTGATATAAGAAGAGAAAGAGAAAGAGACTAGCGCTAACGTAGGAGAGGATAATAGAGATAGATAACCGAGCCAGGGAGAGTGGTGTATAGCATTAATCAATCATGCAATGTAGGCAATTTCGTCACCGTCCAAACGCTCTATATAGTCTTTCTCCATGAGAGCCTCGATGTTCTTCTTGATGTCCGGTACCTTGGGCGGGAAGCGGGATTTGACTTGGTGGATGACCTCCTGGACAAGCTGGACATGCTTCATCTTCTTGCGGGACTTCATGATGCGGACGATGGCGGACTGGGGGGGTGGGTGGGTTAGTATGCTTTCTGACGGTGGAAGGAATTTGAGATTCTGGGTTGTGTGACATACCTGGAGTAGCAGCTTACGGTCCTCCTCTATCGTCTTGTGGGTGTCGTCTGACTCGACCTTCTGCTCGGATTTGATCTGGATGTTCAGGTTTACCTTGACCTTCTTGTGCTTAAAGTTGTAGTTCAGGGAGAAAGACGCCCCAGGCCCTGGCTTGGTGCCCTCTGGGCTGATATGTAGCACCTTGGCTTTGAGGAAGATACCCAGGTTGGGGTCGAGGATCTCGGGGGCAAGTGAGGTGGCCTTCTGGATGTCTTCATAGGTCAAGGTGTCATTCTCGTTGAACAGCAGAAGGATCCCCATCTGGAAGGTGGACACCTGGAATGTGTATGGGACCTTGGTGTTTTTGATGTAGTTGGTCTTCATCTCACCCTTGCACAGCTGCCAGAGCCAGGTGAGCTTTCGCCCATTGTGTTTGTCGAAATAGAAGCTCTGGAACCGCTCAGCGGTCTTGACAATCTCCGGTGGTGCAAGGAAGTCGGTCGATGGCGCCTGGAGCGGCCAGAACCCAGTTCCCAGAATCTGGAAATGCGAGTCCACGAGCTTCTTCCGGTCGTCATCGTCGAGGACCTTCTCCTGCCAATCTCTGTAGCTACCATTGAGATCCTTCGAGATCTGGATATCCTGGAACATGCGCTGCAGTTTGTTGGTGTATTCGAACCCGCAAGCTTCCTTGAGCTTGCTGATCATACTCGTCTCCGCGTCATCTGACACCGAGCTCACATGCACCAGTCGCTTCGCAAGCATCTTCGAGTAGAACTTCTGGAAAACATCCTTGTCCTCGATGTACTTGAAGACTGTCATGATCTGTACGAGCATCTCTTCTAGTTCCGACTCTTCAGCGGCCTTGGAGCCCTTCTTGAGCAACGAGTCTGTGTATTTAGCCAGGAGCTCGGGCGATTTGGTCGAGCTCGATGCGCAAATCTTGTTGCGGTTGACGAACTCGCGGCAAGCATTGTCCAACGATCGAACAAATTCAGATTCGCCGTTGAAGGCCTCGTTGACCAAGCTTTGGTAGCGAGTATGTACCTGTAATAGCGCATCGACATACATCCTGGGTTCGAACGTCTCGCCCCCGGTAGCGACCTTCTCAACGGCAGCAAGGCCGGCTTTCCGGACATGGGTCTCAAACTTGGTTCGCAGGGGATCCAAGCCATCTTTAATGCGCGACAACAGTCGATACATCCGAGCGAGATCATCTTGCCGCTCATTATCTAACAGGACCTGGAACTCGTCCCGAAGAAGCTCCGAGTGGGCCGTAACGAGCACGTCAAGGCAGGTATCGGTGAGGTGCTTGGAGATATCCGGGTGCAGGTACAATCCAACACGTGCTTTCTCCTCGTCGAAACGAGACTCGGCCTTCTTCATATATTCGACAACACTGTTTTCGGCAACAAACTGGCGGGACTCGTTTTCGTAGTAGACCCGGGTGGCGGCAATGAATGGCTTCTCAAAGTAGATCCGGTAGACTTCGAGCGTGGACTTGGTACTGTCGCTCTCGTCCAGACCCAGAGAAACAAAGGAGTCGACGATGCTCTTGATTTGCGATTGCTCGATGGTCTCCCCATTCCGCTGCTTTTCAACAAGGTTCAATACAGCGTCCATGACCTTCTTGTGGACCTTCATGAAAAAGTCATCCTTCCATTTGACCAGATGCAAGGTGTAAACATCGTACACGTTCTTTTTGCCTTCATCAATCTCCCGCTTCACCCAGTGACGGTTAAGGTACCGGAACAAGTGGTTGATGTACTTGGCGGCCGTTGTGTAGCGGAGCCATTCGCGAATGTAGAACCCTAGGAGGGCCTCCTCGGCGTGACTCTCAGATTCCGTGTACACCGCTTGGAGGTGACGCGATAGGTATTCGCCCAGTAACTTGTATAGCTCTTCGCCCAACAGATGAGCTATCCAAAAATGTCAGCCTACACCGACTACCCAAAGTTTGATGCGGAAACGAACCACCCCTATGCGACTGCAAGCCTTGCCCGTTGGCAACTGCTTTCTGAGACGTGCAAAAGTTATGAACCGCCCTATCATAGTATTAGAGTTTGCTGGGTTTATTGCGGCATGGGGAGACGGCGTACGTATACAGGGCCATGTACTATAGAGCGCAGGCACAACGTTAGCATGCGTCAAAGAACGACCATGTCGGAGCGTCCCGGGAAAGGAGGGAGGTCATACATGCTTCATATCCACGCCTTCCTCCAACTTCAGCATCACGCTATCGATACCCTTCTCTAAGAATGTCCATCTATGGGCGAAATCAATCCGGTATTAGTGGCGACCACCCAAGGATGGGACTGGAGTTGGACCAACGTTTCATCCAGATCCTCCTTCTGAGGCGCCTGTGGGATTAGTGGAGGCATGTTTCGACTGAAGATATTTGGAACGAAAGTGAGACTGTAGTTGGAGGCGATATATTAGCTGCGTGATCAAGCCAGGGAAGTTGGAAGCCAACCACGGGACAGGTGGGCGAGGCAGCATGGAGTTAGGCCAGTATAGGACAAGGATGTGACTCACTTGAGCTTTCCCAGAAAACACCTTTCGTCTGCTCCTGAGCAGTAGGCGTACTATCCAGGTAGGCGGCTTAGGCTGCGGTAGTGAGTCCGACTAGTACCGCCTGACCACCAGCGAGGCAGGAGGAAAGCGGCGCACTCGAAAGAGGGCAATAAGGAGAGCAGACGAGGCAGGTAAGGGCTGCCCAGTATCAAAATAACGCAGAACCGTGAGACACCAACAAAGATAGCGAACTTGATGTCAGGAAAGGTAGCAGGGAAGAAGAGGAGGCAAAAACAATCGACAGAGGGAGAGGGAAAAGGCGTGGCGTTGGGCGGTGGTGAGAGAAGGCCGTGGGGGGGTTTTATGGCTGGTTCGGGTAGGCGGTCAAAGAGCTGTACAGCCTCATTGTTGACTGTTCTCCGTTCTAGATCTTCTTTTCTACTTGACTCATGTTCGAAAGAAAGAAGCTGCACTTGGCTATCTTCCTGTCTTTGTGGTGCCTACACAACGGCTCAGGCATTAGCACTTTGTTGAACAGCCATGAACGCGACCGGAAGCTGCCTTGTACCTCCCTCCATCATGGCCCACCTTGGGCGGTTCCAGCGCCATAACTAGGTACTCCGTCCGTACCCACTCTTTGATGTGAACACCAACCACAATAACCTGATATTGGCACTCCGAGAAAATGTCGTTATGCGGCTGACCTAGCATGGTGGTTCAATACACTAACCAGCGTAGCTTGGTCTGCCTAAACTCATATACTACTTTTGCTCTCAGCATCGGAAACAGGCCTGGTCTGGGCTGAACGGGGCCTAGATGTGACGTCATCGACAGCTCACCCCAGTGCCTTCATTGACGGATGCTCCGTATATAAGTTCAAGCCAGCAGTCGTGCTTTTCCTAATCTCGCTACGAGAGACTCATTATCGATGTAATACAGACGCGCCTATCGCACGAACATCTCACCGAAGCAATAAAACACTGGATCCTAGGAAAATGACAATCGCACCCCTGTCGAATATCCAAGTCACCTCTCGCCAGATTCCGCGATGGCGGCACATACCAAACACCTCGATCCAATCCAAACCCCTCATGATCTACCACAAAGCCTTCACTGCGACCCCTGACCAGCTAGCGTCCCATTTCAGCAAAGTTGGAGAGGTCATGCCACAGTGGGTGTACGGGATGTATGACCAGACACATTTCCACAGCACTACGCATGAAGTCTTGGGGGTTGTGTCCGGTCGTGCGCGTCTTTGCTTCGGTGGCGAGGACAACCCAGATCGGTTCGAACCTACCGTTGAGAAGGGCGACTTGATCATTGTCCCTGCCGGTGTGGGCCATCGGCTTCTGGAGGACCTTGATGGCCAGGAGGGGTTCAAGATGGTTGGCGCCTATCCAGGTGATAAGTCATGGGACATGTGCTATGGCAAGCCAGAGGATGAGGAACAGGTTGAGAATATTAGGAACGTGGAATGGTTTCACGGAGACCCATTGTTTGGACCTAATGGCCCAGCTCTACATGTGTAGGTAGGATTTCAAATCCGGTGCGAGATGTTCTATATGGTCATCTAGTGGACTCGCATGATCCGGCTTGTTTGCGAGACAGGTTTGATAGTGCTTAAGAAATGAGTAAAGACAGTAGGAAAAGCAAAAGGAAAGTCCCACTACCCAGGTCTAAGGGCCGCATCGTGGTTGGCATAAACAAAAAGAAGAAAAAGATATGGGACCAACCGGGATCGAACCGGTGACCTTTAGATTACACTACTTCGGTGGAAGTAGGAGGCTGAAGTTGGTTCTTCAGTCTAACGCGCTCCCAGCTGCGCCATAGTCCCTTGTGATGAAAGTTTGAATCTTCTTTAGCAATATTGCTCTGCGTTGCATATATAACTCTCCGAACATCATGATCACCGTCGTCGATGTCACCCGTCGCTTCAATCAGTTAAGGAACAACCAGTTATTCCCGAAAAAAGTTATAGTGTTATTAGTTAAGTTTTATTATCTCTATCTTACTGTCTTCATGACTATTTTGATCTGTGGATTTGGTCGGAGGTCTAAGTTCTCCTGGTGATGTAGTCTACACTAGTTACTACCACGGACTTCAGGTATATATTTGTGCCTATGCGCCTGAGTATTTCTAACTTCGACTGTAATATGATAAGAACATAACTATATCAAACCTTGTGAATGGAGATAATATTGACATAACCATCATTACATAGTTATGGAAGGTTCATGACCATATCCAATCATATCACAACCAGCTGCAACCAGTTTACGACCGCTGATAAACCATCGCAACCTTTGACATCATCCTACTATATCCACTTGGATTGCGACAGTTCGGGCCATCATGTCTCCTTGTTGCTCCCGCTTGTGCGTCTGGTTTGATTTGCTTGGAGACAGGAATATAAGGACTCGCGGGGCTTATTTCATGATCGAGGTACTATGGATATATATATTGCGATAGTTACACACCAAGCAAGCCGAGTAGTACAAGGTCCACTCTCTATAATAATTGTAGCTCGTATAATCAATATATCAAAATATCACACGGTCTCCCAGCCATCTATTTTGATATAATTCCAGCCTCGGCTTTTCCATCCTCAAAACCCCACCACAATCATACTATCAAACTAAATCATACGACGTCGACAACACAGCCTCCCCCAGCCACATAAATTTACCAGACATGTACCTAACTTAGTGTCCTAGTCTAAGTCAAGAATAGCCAGCACCGGTCCCACCACAACCGCTAAACCCACCCACCCACCTCAATTAAACCAAAAAAAAAGATTTTTTTCGCAGTTCCAAAAAACCGAGGGAAAAAGAGAAAAAAGAAATGGGACCAACCGGGATCGAACCGGTGACCTTTAGATTACACTACTTCGGTGGAAGTAGGAGGCTGAAGTTGATTCTTCAGTCTAACGCGCTCCCAGCTGCGCCATAGTCCCAGGTGTTGAAGATTGTCGGAGCTATACCGGTATCTGTGGCCCATGCTCCTGTCGACGGCCACACCACGCCCACGCTCACGCTCACGCCCGTGTGAGTGAACAAAGCAAGGGCTATTTATTGATACTGCATCGCGACGCCTGTTGGGTTGAGTAGGTATAAACTATAGATATAGAAGTATCTAGTAGTATAGGTTTCATTGAAAGATATATTTTTTGTAAAGGTGCTATAGGATGAAGATGGGAGAAAGTACGCTCCTGCTGAAAAGTTTCTGTATACTGAAAAGTATTTGAGTATACTGTAAGAGAATTGATCTACTTGCAAGATAACGCGGTGTAAGGTCTATTCGATGCAGAGATACAGGGAAGGCTGAAGACCGCAACTGACCAACCCGGCTATTTCTGATTGAAATCGTATTATTCAAAATGTACAATTCCATTATACCAAATGGGTGAGAAGTGTAAAAATAAAGAGATCTTCGCGCAGGCGGGAATACGTCTGACCGGGTATCGTCCGGCCATAAAAATAAAGACATGAAAGTAGACATAAGATGCACGGAGGAGGCCGTGGTACCGTGAGAGTAACAATGAAGGGGTTACTTTGCAACCCGTTCGACCAGACTGGTTTGAGAAAAAAGTCAGTATACATCCGAGGATACTACTTGTTTTGATGAATCGGACACTTGAACTTACCGAAGAACGCTGATCGAAAATGTCGTTAGCCAAGCAATCAAGGCTACCAAAAGAACACTGGCTAACGCTATTTGCCGGTCGCATATGGCGTCGTTTTTGGGAGCGAGCTCCCTGTTGACCTCGGTGTTAGTGCATGCGCCCCTTGCCGTGGACAAGGCCTCGAAGGCCAGACTCAAATTGGCGGAATCGAAGACGATGAAAAAGATGTCCAGGAGGATGAGACGGGCTTTGGCCGAGGGAGGCCGGAGCCCAAGTGGTTTCGCAGTGTACTCATCCCACGTGATGTAAACCAAGTAAACCAGGGCAACAGCGTCGACGATGATGGCCATCAGAGCGGAGGGTCCTCGAGGGTGCTGATACTCTCCGGAGAGCTGATGGATGGAGCTCCCCAGGGCGAGAGCAGTGAGGGAGAAACACCACACGGTTAGTCGGAAGATCAACGGTACAATGGGGCTCTTCAAAAGGGTCGAATGGAACCGCTTAAACCAGATCTTTCGGCGTCGTTTCATCTTCAAGGGGTCTTCGGTCTCGTCGGACGGTAACTGCCCTCGCCAGGGCTGCGAGTAGTCATTGTAATTCTCATCTAGCCACTCTGGTGGCACGGCCTTTTCTTCTAATCCGGGATCTCTGGGATACGCGATCGTTCTTGAAAATGATATCCAGCGAGTCTCACGCCTCGGGGGCTGTCCAAGTCCCTCGTCGGCACTGCCGCCCTGGTGTTGTAGGTTTGATGTCCGTGTCGCAGATGGAGAGTGATTGTGCTGGGCGACTACAGCCTCGTGTGGTTCTGCAGGAAGGAGTCTGTCCGTCACAGATGACTCTGCTAGTTCATCTCCGTCGCCTTCTTCTGGGTGATCTACCGACTGAACCCATGCTGCACGTACAACAACATTAGTAGACGCTCACCACCACGCCCCCACAGAACAACCCGGTTCGGTTATGTAGTTACCTGGTACGCTTCGCAGCCTTTTTGCCCCGTTTGGATTATCCCTCGTCATATAGGTCGCAGAGTCCTCTGATAATCGTGGTACGTTTGACGACTGTTCTGTGGTACTATTGCGATGGGCGTCACTGGAGCGGGTGTCGCTGGTCGGACCGCTGAGCGACTGCTCGGAGTGCTCGGGGGTCCATTCTGGAATGGGAGGGAACTCCAACTGTTGCTTATCCGAGATAACCTCCGATTCAAGGGGCTGAGCGCGCGAATTTTGACCATTTTGAGCCATTTCCTTTCCGATCAAGGGTTGTTCCAAGCGATGTTGGCTGGGGCTGATGGACGTTGGGGGTCGATGGGGGATCTAGTCCGCATCGCCTCACTCGCGAATCGCGACCCTCCGGATCAAGAGGGCTGGCGGAATCGCCGGGATTGTAGACAGCTTTTGGCGCCCCTTGTACAGGGCTTGCTTGTCATGAGAGGGGTAAACACCAGATACAGGCAGACATGATCGGAAGGCTGGGGGAGAGAAATTGGACAAAGAGAGATTGCGACAAGATTGACTGGATCGCTGCTAAACCCGGAAGAGTAAGGAGTCAGGAAAGCAAGTCTGGTTGTCTGTCTGCGCCGGGTGCGGAATGACGTCTCTCCCGCTCCCCTCGAATTATCCTCAGTTTCGAGGAACAACAAAAAATAGAACTGAACGGTCCTCCCCCTATTTTCCCGCAATCCTCTGTCGTCATTCAAATCTACCTCTCACCCATTTAAAGGAATGCTACTTTTACAGTCTCCCTGGAATCGGGTGTTTTCTCTAGTCCGTCGATAGTTGACCTCCTTGGCTGCCCACCCACAATCCTATCCCGCGACCCAACATCAATTGCCCTTCCAATAAAGGAGGGTGTGAAGGAAAGGCATAACGAAAGGTGGGAAAACGAAAACAAAGAAAGAAAGAACGAAAGAAAAAAAATAAAGAAAAAAAGCAAAGCTCAGCCCTCGCTGATATGCGACTCTTTGTCATTCCGATCTCGACGAGACGCGCCTTGATCTATTCCCGGGCCATCAGCAAGGGTCAGACGCCGAAGGAGCTTTCATGGACCGACCGGATCACTGGGAAAGCCGCTGAGAAGTGGGCTCAATGGGAGGAGGCCGAGAAAGGCTGGAAGAAACACCTGGTCACCTGGGGGAATCGTGTTCAACAACGGATACCATTTGAAGAATGGGGTCTCAAGAGTATCCCATCGCTGAGTGCCCAGCGACGGATGGATGAGGCCCACGGGACAAAGAAGATCGATGTGCTATTCCCGGGAAATGCGATCAAGCCCGGCAAGCTGCAGGCGATCTTGTTGAAAATCGCCACGGAACGGCAGGAGTTGCATCGCAAGAAGATGTGGTGGAGCTTTATTGCGGCACCCATCACGGCCCCGATTGCGTTGATTCCCGTGTATGTGCGCCCGCTTCGTCTCGCAAGCCGCCCTGAAGAAGTTACCTGCAAGGGAGCTCCGCTAACCATGTGTTTCTCTAACGCGACTGCAGAGTACCTAATATCCCATTCTTCTATCTCATTTACCGAGGCTGGTCGCATTGGCGGGGTGAGTCCTTCCCCGTATTCCCACCACCATCGAAGTGACCCGCTGACCAAATTTAGCATTGAACGGATCTAAGCACCTGCAGTACCTCGTGGAAAACAACCTGTTGAATCCCATATCGTTTCCCGGACTCGAAGACCTATACGCGAAACGAGTGTCGTACGCCATGCAGACCCCTCCGAACGAGATGCCGATTTCCAGCATGGTCGAAGATCTGGCGAAGAAAGAGGACCGGCTCCTGCTCCGCATCAGCGATGCTAAGAAGTTGGCTTCTATCCTCGACGCGCCTGAGCTTTCGTTAGAGGCAGAACGGGCGATTGCGCAAGTAGAAGAGCAGCTCAAGCCGAAAGAACCGTCGACCGCGGAGGGCCACAAAAAGGATACATGACAGAACCAGCGCGATGTATGGGCTTTTATCCTCACGTGGTTACGAATGATGGCCGTTTCACAGCGATGGCTGTATACTCATGGTTGTTTGGGGGGATGTACACTAGACCGCAGGCATACAACCAATGCTCCAATTTAAAATAGACAACCCATTCCCAACTTATCTGCATGAACCATGCATCATATATAGTTCTTTATATATAGTTCTATCCAGACCCCGTAATATATGGCGGAAATACCATGATCCGACTCCACGCAGGAGGCGGCATGTCCCAATCGGGCTAAGCCGCCAACTGGCTTAGTATTATTGACTTTCCCCCCCAGCGCTCCGGAGTCTGGACCAAACTACGTACTACGACTACTACTACTACTACACTACTCCGTGCCCCGTACACCAGCTTCCCATTCAATCGACCTTAATCCCCCACAAGGTTCACCGCTAATACTCTCGCGTGCTCACACCATGGCGACAAAGCGAATCGAGCAGTGGGAAATCGAGCGATACTGGGAGATCTTTGCCTCGCTGTCCAATGGCCAACCGCGCCTAAACAACTCTCAGGCGGCCTCGGTGCTCAGGAATAGTCGCCTTCGCGATGATCAGTTGGAAAAGGTCTGGGATCTGTCCGACGTGGACGGCGATGGGGAGCTGGACTTTGAGGAATTCTGCGTCGCCATGCGCTTAGTGTTCGACCTGGTTAACGGGGTAAGTTCGTCTCCTGATTCCGTCGGGCCTATACCCCTCCTTCCCGCTGGCTTTCCCCCCCACGCCCCTTCTCCCCCCTGAGGCCCCATCGCCATATGCTGAGATCGTCTCAAGGAACTTCAACAAGTCCCGGATGTCTTGCCCGACTGGCTCGTCCCGGAGTCCAAATCCCACCTGGTTCACGCCACCCGGGCACTGAGCGACCGCCCGGAGCAGTTCGAGCGGATAGAGGACGAAGACGAAACGCTGGGGTTGAAGGACGGATTCGACTGGTATATGAAACCGGAGGATAAGTCCAAGTACGAGGAGATCTACTCCGCCAATAGGAGCCATCGCGGCGAAATCACCTGTACGTCGACCCCCCCTTACCTTTCTTCATTGCTTGAAAGCTAACGCAAGTATCATAGTCGAGTCGCTGCAGCCGCTGTACGAATCCCTCGACGTCCCCGACACCGACATCCGCTCCGCATGGAACCTCGTGAACCCCTCCGCATCCCGCTCCATCAACAAAGACGCCACCCTGGTGTTCCTGCACATCCTCAACTACCGCCACGAGGGCTTCCGCGTGCCCCGCACCATCCCGGCCTCTCTCCGCGCCTCGTTCGAAAACAACCAGATCGACTACCAGCTCGACAATGCGCGCCCCGCACAGCGATGGGGCGCCAACGGCGACACGGAGACGCCCACGGGCCGCAAGACTCGGTTCGGCGACACCTACCTGAGCCGGCTGGGCGCAGGCGGCAAGACGTCGTACACGCCCAAGGGCACGGACTTCAGCGACACGATCCAAGACGAGGAGTGGGAGAAGGTGCGTCTGCGGCGGGAGCTGGCGGAGATCGAGTCGAAGCTGGATGCGGCCAAGAAGGCATCGGAGGGCGGCCCGCGCGATCAGCCTCGCAACGACGGCCGTCCGAACTGGACGCTCGTCAAGAAGGAGGCGCTCCAGCTGCTGGAGTATAAGGAGCGCGAGCTGCGCGAGATGAGAGAGAACACGGGAAGATCCCAGGAGGGTCAGAACCTGGAACGGCTACGGGAGGATGTGCGGACGGTCGCCGAACAGGTCGATGGACTTCGGAGCCATCTGGCGACCCGGACGGAGGCGCTCGACGATCTGCGGGGACAAATCGAACAGGAGAAGCTGTCCCGATAGGCGGGTTTATTTTTTCCCCTTCTACTTTTGGCGTGTTTCATTCTATTCCCTTTCTTAATTGCCACTTGGAATCGATCGATCGTGATTCCTGTTTTCGTCTCGATGTATAGCCACACACATCTTTAGGCGAGGAGTCCGGGGCGTTTGAATGATTTCCTTCGTTTTATTGTTGCTTTTGACCTTCTGTCTTTGCTTAGATTTTGGATTATTCTGACTAGAGTACTCCTGTTACATTACACCAGGTCACTTCTCATCTATCTAATCCATGTACAGTACATGCATATATAATATTAAAAGGGCTAAAAAAGAAACAGATAAACCTCTAGATAGGACTCCCCCACGTTATACAGTCACTAAACGCCACCCCACGAACAATGCCACATTAAACAATAAAAAAAAAAGGAAAAGAGGGACAAACGCTTACTCCCCCACAATCTGGCTCAAGCCATCCCCCCCGGCTTCGTCTCAACAGCCATAAACGCCCGACCATCCTGATCAAGCCCCTTCTCCGCACGCGCATAGGCCTCCTCACTGCGATCCGTCAAGATCTCCAGATCCTCACCAGACAGCAACGAAGCGGCGTCCGCGCCGGCCTCGAAGCGCTCGAAATCATGCTCGCCGAGCGCGTGGCGCAGCTCGTCGACGTCGTTCTGGCTAATAGCGGAGGAGGAGCCCGACTCGAGAAGGCTCTTGAACTTGCCCTTTTGGATAACGAGCCGTTCGAGCCGACGCTTGGAGTCGGCTTTCTCGAGAAGCGTCTGCTCGACTGTGCCCTTTGTTGCAAGTCTGTACACGATAACAGGCTTAGTCTGGCCGATGCGGTGCGCGCGGTCCTGGGCCTGGAGGTCCTGCTGCGGATTCCAGTCAGAGTCGAAGAGGATGACTGTGTCCGCTGCAACGAGGTTAATGCCCTGGCCGCCGGCGCGCGTGCTGAGCAGGAAGAGCTGGTAGGAGGCGTTTGAGTTGAAGGCTTTGATTTGGGCTTGGCGGTCGGATTGGCTGATTGCGCCGTCGATGCGGCAGCAGTTCCAGGAGCGGAGCTGCGTGGCCCAGTCTTGGAGGATGTCGAGCTGGGTTTTGAATTGCGAGAAGATGAGGATTTTGTGCTTTCGCGCGAGGAGGTAGGGCACGAGCCGGTCGAGGAGGAGCATTTTGCCCGAGGCTGTTACGAGCGTGTTGTCGATGGTGCTTGGGCTGTTGTTGTCGCCGCCCCAGGGCCAGTAGAAGTTGTGGGGGGAGTTGCAGGCGAGGCGGGCTTGGAGGACGGGGTTTTGCATTTTCTTTTGCGAGATCTCTTTTTCTGTAGAGCTTTCGTTAGTTGTCTGTTTAGACCTAGATTCTGTAAGAGGAGGAGACTTACTAGCCAGCTTGATCGTGTTTGCTCGCTCGATTTCCTCCTGCTCGCTCTCGTCTGGCCACTGAGTGTCCTCCGTCTCCTCGATGCCTTGTTCTAGCTTCCGTAGTTTGGCGTTGAACTCGCGGTCACTGATATCCTTGTAGTTCTGCAATCCCCTCCGTCGACGGGTCGAGCTGGCCACGCTGACGGGGGTGGAGACACCGCTGGACTTGAGACTCTTGTTAGGGGTTGAACACCTGCTGTCGGCCGCATTTCGCTTCCGGCTCGTCGAACGCGACAGTCTCTCGTTATTAGCCAGGATGCGCTCCGCGGCCTTGTTCTCGAGGTACTGGCGGCCGGTGCCGCTGAGGATCTCTCGGTATAGATCCTTTTGTTCGGGTG